AGGTGGTGCCAATCTCGCCAAAGTCGCCACCACCATCGCGACGAGGCTCAGGTGCGGGGTAGGTGGTGCCAATCTCGCCAAAGTCGCCACCACCAACACGATGAGGCTCAGGTACGGGATAGGTGGTGCCAATCTCGCCAAAGTCGCCACCGCCGTCACGACGAGGCTCATGGGTGGGGTAGTAGGTGCCAATAACACCAAAGTCGTCGCCGCCGTCACGAGCCTCAGGTACGGGATAGGTGGTGCCAATCTCGCCAAAGTCGTCTCCACCGTCACGAGCCTCAGGTACGGGGTAGGTGGTGCCAATGGTTCCGAAGTCGTCACCAAAGCCAGCGTCCGACTCCGAACGGCGAGCAGGGTCGACTGGGAGGGGCCAAGGGGTACCGAAGTGGATGTCAGGTGCGCCTACAATCTTGACATCCTCGTCCTTGTGGCTCTTGGACTTCTTGTCGTCGCCCTTGTGGCCCTTGGACTTCTTATCAGCGTCCTTCTTGCCATCCTTGTCGTGCTTGTGGGATTTCTTCGAAGAGGCGTGGCCCTGCTTGGAGTGCTTCTTCTTCTCTTCCTCTTCGAGTTCCTTGAGCTTCTGAAGCTTCCAAGGGAAGTCGGCAGGTGTAATACCAAAGTCAGGCTCACCGCGGCGCCCCATCATGTTGTCCTCTGACCTGGCCTTGAGTGCTCGTCGAGGAGGATCCTGGATGTGGCCGGGCCTGGGACCGTCATAGTCGTCGATGGTCTTGATATCCTGAGAAACGAGGTTGTGGGAATACTGTGAGAATGTTCAGGGAGTGATTCAGCGTCAGTATCTAGTCGATGTGACTGCAGCCGAGAAGTGGTGTACTTACCTTGTTAGTCGTCATGTCGTAAACAGTCTCATTGATGACCAGCTTGTCGTAGTGTGCTGCCCAGGCCCTCTGCTTGATAGGCTTCTGCTTCTTGTTAGCCCAGCTGACCTTCCTGTGGTGCAGTCGAGGGTGAGTCGAGTTGACCAGCAGTACATCGAAGGAGACCAGCTTCCTCTCCTTGTATGCAGTACTGCAGAACTGCAGGTCGAACCACTTGCCGACATGGATGGTCATGCCAGGCTCGGGCATCATGATACCGTTGTCGATGCCTGGTCGATTGCCCATAGGGTTGCACTTCTTAGCGCGAGGGTGGTAGTCGAAGGGTGTCGATGCATCGGTGCTGTTGCCCTTCATGGGATGCTTGGACAGAGGCCTGTCACTGGGACACTTGGCAGGGGCCTTGTGGTCCTCAAGCAGAGGAGGAATGGCAGCGGCGGAGGCTACAGTGGCCAGCACCGTGAAGACGACGAGGGGCTTGAACATCATGGTCGACGGTGTTCGCGTCTTGGGTGGTGTAGGGTAGGTTGCTACTGTAGAGGCTCAGGCGAGTCTGGAATCGTGATGTTTGGTGATGAGGTGAGGTACAAGGTAGTCAAGTGGACAGAGGGGACCAGTACTTATACCTTTCACCACGGAGGCAATTTTGCTACGGATACTGGGCTGACGTCAGGGCGGGACACTGCCAGGCTGCCAGGCTGAGGGCACTACCACAGTGATCACGGCAGATGGTTTCAGCGGTATTGGTATGCCACAGGAAGGGAACATTGTGCCCCAACACTGCCACTTTCCTCCCTCCCTCTGGCACAATGCTTCCGACGTGAGCTGTCACCATGACTGACGTCAAAAAATTAGCGCTCGCTCTGCCGCACTGACCGGATTCAGAGTTGACGTGCAGCTCTGCACGCGGGCTCTGCCGAGAGAGCCTGCTAGCCTCCAGGGGACTACCGCCGACAGCATCTCGGCATCAGACTTCCCCTATTGCTTACCAATAGTGAGTACGGACTCAAACCTTCATTGCGCGGTCGTTCCACGGCTTTCGTGCGAATGTCTCTCCCTCGCCCTCCTCGGCACCACGCGCCGCCGGTCTCAAAAATTGGCCTGTTTGAGACACACATTTCGTGATCACGCCGTTTCATGACTGACCTTCTTATTCACCTATTCAGACCGACTCGCAGCCAAACCTTCAAGGAGTGTTTCGCTCGGGCTGATGAGACTGCTATATCTGCGCTCTCTTTCCTTCGTCGCCGTCGGCTCCCTCGCCTCGCTCGTCACCATTACAGCAAGTCTTAGCGCTTCCGGTCCGGCTCAAAGCTCGGCCGCCGAAGCGGCCGCGGTGCAGGGGCCACACGGGTCGTACAGTAGCATCATCGTCTTTGGCGACTCACTGTCTGACGACGGCTCTGGCGCTTGGGAATTAACGAAGCATGCATGGCCGAGAGATCCTGCCTATGACGAGGGACGCTTCTGCAATGGTCTCGTTTGGGTGGAACATCTGGCCCGCTGGGTAGGCGGGACGGAGCGGCCGCAGATGGAGCGTGGGAAGGAGCGAGCGGGGACAAGGATCCCGTGGCTCGACGATAGGGCGTTCGGTGGAGCTACGCTGGACAACGCTCGAAATCAAGGAAGGACTGGATACCGAAGCGATGTACCCGTCCCGGCTGTGAAGGATCAGGTGCAGAGGTACCTCCGCGAGCGTCAAGGAGAGCGACTGAATGACAGCACTCTGTTCATCGTCGGAGGAGGCGGGAACGAGTGAGTAGGGTCCTAGCAGCAGGAGATACGCCGCAGAGCACACTCAGACTGACTCTCGCTGCTTCTGAACTCTAGCGGCTACTTCGCCCACCTGGCGCACCATGACCTCCAGCGTACCGCCGACGAGTCCGCCTCTCTCCTTCTCACTCAGCTCCGCATCCTAATTTCCGCCGGTGGAAGACACTTCCTCGTTCCCGCCCGTCCAGATCTCTCCCGCTGTCCCTATGGTCTCGAGGCCCTAAGTGAACACGACCGAGCTGAATTGAGCCGGTATGCCTCTGCGCTCTTTCAGGGACTGAAGAGAGGTGTGAAGGAGATCTTGAGAGAGGAGGAGGGGAGAGTGCATATCGCACTCGTCCAGCAGAGTGGAGTGTACAACGTCCAGGCTGGACGGATATCACTGCCCGAAGCTTTGGTGAAGAATGACAACGAGTGGAACAGCAGCAGCCTGAACTTCAAGAATACCACCTCGGCCTGCCTACGCGGAGTATACCCTGGCGTGGATGACGGAGTCCGCCGGCTATGCGCGGAGCCGGACGAGTACCTCTTCTGTGAGTGACGCTCTCCTGACCAAGTCCTCTTGCGCTTCATCTCGCTGATCAGCCTCGTACCACTGTCATCGGGTCCACTTCGCAGGGGACGCCTACCACCTGACCACTAAAGGCCACTACCTCCTAGCCCTTCACGCCCTGGACGCTCTGCATGCCGCCGAAGATCCCTTGGCCCAGAGCGTTCGGGCGTCAGCATGGTCAGCCCGGGGGGACGCTCAAGATGAGGAGGAAGGAGCACACGCTTCTTTGAAAGATCAGACATCGACAGTGCCAGGTCTCGTCTTCCAAGGCTAAGGGAAAGGTAGAAGCAGGCGCAGACAAGAAGTGTACTCATAGCTGCAATGAAAGATAGATTCGTATAGAAGACAAGAGGAGGGACGCAGCGCACCTGTTCGTCCCTGCGGTGAGCGGTGACCATTCGTGCGGTCAGTCCCCTTTTCCTCCGCTCGCATCGTCACTCGTATCTTGACTTCCCCCCGGCGTCCTGCTAGCTTTGGGAATACTGCTCAACTTCGGCCTCGAACCAGGCGCATCATCCTCCCCACCACCACCAGCACCAACTCCGTCTTCCTTCCCTCCAACTTTACCAGAGGAGACGACCTGCTCGCCTCTGCTCCTCTCATCTCCCCCTCCTCCTCCTACGCGCTCGTCGGACTTTTGCGCCTCGAGTGCCTCGCTGGCAGCTTGGAAGGGCACTCTCTGCTGCGTCTCGGAGCGAGCAGCCCCTGCGAGTTCTTGAGCCGTGACAGACTCGGTGAGGGAGTGAGTCCGACGCCGTCTCATGGCCCCCGATGAGGAGGAAGGGGAAGTAGCTGCATTGCCGCTCGCCTGCGCTGAGGATTCGCCGCCGGTAGCGGTCATGCCTAGCTTATAGAGGTCTTGCTGAGAGGAACGGTTGCGTTTCGAGGCAAAGGATTCGCCTCCACCAGGGCCCAGGGGCAAGGTCGAGGAGCCAGAGCCAGAGCGAGACCGCGAGTGAGCTGCGCTAGACGTGCGCCTTGACCTGGTTCTGGGAACGGTAGGCGAAAGAGGTCCGTCTCTGGAGGAAAGCAACCTTGCTGGATTGAGGAAGGAGAAGATGGCCTCGTAGTCTCCCTCGTCTTCCTCTTCCTCGTCCCCGCTGTCGGAGAACTCATCGCTGTCAAACGTCTCTGCATCGTCTTCGCCGGACTGATCCTGTCTCCGCTCTGCCCCTTCCATGGTGGGATGCTCTCCACTGAACTCGGCAGCCGTGAGCGGTTGTTCGCGTTGAGTACTGCTCAGACGCCTCTTTTTGCCATCTGCACCTGTAGCGCTGCCAGCGCCACCCTTGGCCTTCCAGCCAAACAGCCTCTCGTCTGCCCAAGCGAGCGGATGTGTCAAGGCCTGCGACTCAGTGCCTCTTTGCTTGGCGTCCTTCGCCTTCCAGATCAGAGCCTCTTGTCGTCCGTCCGGAGTCGAAGGTGGAGCTGTAGCGCTCGAAGGAGTAAGGACTCGCCACTTGGCCGTCTCGAAGTCTTCCCAGACTTGTGGTGCAAACTCATCGATCAGGGATTGCATCTCCTCTGTGAGTGACTTGCGAGTCTCCCTCAGCTCGTTGATGACCTTCTGGTTGCCGGGCAGCAAAGAGACGAAGAGGGGAGGAAGCGACTTGATGATATCCACGGCCGTCTCACTGATTTTGAGAGTGGAGTAGGACATCGTGGGTAGAAGAATGGCAGTGTACAGAGGAGTCATTGCAAGCTGCCGGGACGTCATTTCCGGCCAGACACGACGAGAGATGTACGTCGCAGCGATAGCGTAGGTGAGGTAGAGGACGGGAGCAACACCCAGGGAGACGAGGACTTTCCAGGTACCGACAACGTCTCGACCCTTGAGCTTGACTTGACTGGCCGCCAAGGCTTCCCTGGCCTTTATTCTCGAGATGACCTTGGCCAAGATGATTATTGGAGAGTTGAGGATGACTCCCGGTAGTGCTAGTCCTCCCCACATCAGCAGCAGACCTGAGCGGTAGCCGAACAGCCCAAGAGACCTCCATCCTGCTCTGTGAGCCCTCTCGACCTGATGATCCTTCAACCCTGCCCATCCAAGCATCTTGTTGTAGCGCAAGACGTCGGCTTTGAGCTTTTGAATTCTTGCTTCGTCCTTGAATTTGAGGTACCCAATGATGAATCGCCGATTCAACTCGACTACTTGAGGAAGAGTCAGATGCTGCCCAGGCGGTGTATACAGTCTCCTTGCGGCCTGGATGAGCATGAGAGTCTCGTAGTCTGGCGCTCGGACAGTGACTGACTTTAGACCATCAAAGACCATGTCCATCATGTCACCCACAGCCTTCCTCTTTCCATCTCCACCGCCCTCGAACAGCTTGACAAGGTCCGAAGGGACCTCCAAAGGAGCTCCAAATTCCACTACTGCCCTCGAGCGGAACTTGTCTGGGTGGAAATATGAAAGACCTACTGGCACGATTCGGACTCGAAGGCCGGGGTTGGCAGACATAGCTCCCAAAGCCATGATCACCACGCCTGCCTTGAGAGGAAGCAGGTCTGTACGATCATGCGAACCACCTATACCGGAGGAGAAGAGGGCGGAGAATCAATTGACGCCTCTAGCGTGACAACCCTACGCCAGCCGAATCACTCACCTTCGGGGAAGATACCAAGGCAACCTCCTTCAGCCAACTTCTCATAGACACTAGCATACATCTCCGTCTGATCGACATAAGGCAAGCACTGGTACTCGGTTCCAGGTCGGTCATCCGTCCTAGGCGTAGCGGTTCCACTGCTGGGCGCGCTGCCTCCCTCTTTCTTGCCGGGAGGCGGCTTCTTCCCGTTCAGGGCATCCTTTGCCCGCTCGTCCTTCCACTCCTTCTTGACCTTCAATTCCGTATCCGAGATGACCTCTACCACTTCATTTGAGGCGTAGCCAGTCCACTTGGGCAGCATGATCTGACCCTTGGGTACCAGCTGAGATTTGAAGGCGGTATCGTGTCCCTTGATGAGCAGGCCATCGCCAGATGGGTGGACGGAGATGGTCCCCTTGCCTGCTTTGGCTCCGTCCGCTGCGCGAGCTACGGGAATACTCTGCATAATTCTGGCTGCACTTCCGATGAATCGTCTCCTGATCGACTTCTCAGCAATGAGGAAGGCCACTCGTCTGCCTGACCCTCTTCTCACTTCCGATGCTAGTAGGATCGGATCAAGAAACTGATAAAGGCGAAAGAAGAAGCATCGGCAGTGTGAGTGGGTCAGATCTGGCCAAATCATCGTGGCATAGCAATGTCCTTGTACTCACCTGGTTGTGGTGGGGCGCGCCCACGAAAATGACGGGACCATCAGTTGGGATCCTCCATGCTCCTCTGGGCTGTATGCTCCTAAAGAAGATGTTAATGATCAGCCTCCAGAACAGGAGAGCAATGTCAAATGCAAGATTGGTAGCCATGAGGTTATTCTTCGCCAAGACGGTAGCCACTACTCTAGCAGCAATCCTTGGGGTCCAGCGATGTACAGGGAGTGGGAGGGAAGAGAGGAAGAGGGCAAAGTCGTGGATGGTCCTGGCTAGGCGAGGAGAGTCGGACTTGTGCGCCCAGCGGGGGTACGTCGGAACGGCTTGACGAGGAGGAAAGCTTTTAGCGCTGCTACTGGTGGCTAATTGGCCAGAAGTCTGCCCCGAAGATGGTGGCAGACGAGTAAGATCGATGGGAGGTGGTCTGTTGGGGAGGCTGTTCGTGTCTTGACGCGACGACGAAGCGGATGCGCCTGGTGTATGAGTAGCTTCGGGTCTCGTGTCGGCTGAATTCGTTGGCATCGTCTTTTGATCTGGGCCGCGGTATAAAGGCCGTGGATGGTAGTGCCCTAGCACCTGCTGAGCCTACCTGGATACGTGAGCGGATAATGGGAAGAAGATGATGGTACAAGGAGCGTGAAAGGTGTGGGATCCAGAGGTCAGGAAGCAGACCTTGATTGGTGGGTACGCTCTGATTCTGGCTTCGGTTGGCGTCAATCGGCGGCAGTGCCTCTGCCCCCGTCGATGCTTCTCTCCCTTCCCGCTCCGCTCCGTTGTCCGCCGCCGCCCCCGCTTCCCAACACCTGGGGAAGCGCCACGTGGGAAGAATCGCCTGGCCCGCGCGCAGACCGACGCACCGTGCATATCGGTCTTTCCCAGGGTCCATTGGCTGGGCCGATACGTCATGATTGATGAGGTCAGAAAGTGTCAATCTAAGGTCGGTACGATGTTCAAGACGAGGGGAATAGAATGTTATTCTCCTTCTAGTCTTCTCTTCTAATTTCATCTACACTTGTGTAATTTCCACGGCTCCATCTTGATGCGCCTCCTATCCCCTTCTTCGACCAAACGATCATCGCTTCTCCTCCTCTCCTCCACCCTCTTACTCACACGACCCTTTACGGCATCCGCATCTGCTCTATCACACATGACTTCTCCACCCTCTACACTGCCTGAGCAGTCGCCCTTTTCAGCTTTCTCCAAGACGCTCCAGGAGCAATTGGGAAAGCAGGGCTTCAATCTCAATGAGCAGACGCAGCCCGAGATGACGCCACAGACGGAGCAGAGGATTGCCGATGCTCAGGCTCTCTTCCAGTCAAAGGTCACTCTGGACATTATCAAGAGAAGCTGGTCTCCCACTGGTGTATTCGAGGTGAGCATGAGTCACAGCACACAGCTTCGACGCGATCCCGCACTACCCGTACTGACAGATTCCTCGCCCCCTCCACATACTGCGTGCGTCACAGGACCCAATCGCCTACACAAAGGGATTCCGTCAGTACGCCGCCCAATGGTGGGGCATGAAGGTCTTCAACAAATCCGAGACGCTTGCCTGGCGTCTCGTCTCCTCTTCTCCCACCGAAATCCTCTATGCGCAGAAGCACATCTATGCAAAATTCGGCATGGAAAAGGTCATGCACTCGACCGTCTGGATGAAGCTCGATGACACGGGACGTATTGCGCATTTCCAGGATAGGTGGGACGGAAAGGATATGCCAGGCTGGTGGGCTTGGGGATTCAGGAGACTCAATGCTCTGACGCTGCCGCTGTTCATGAGTGTGCCCAGCAAGGTGCACCCTGACATGGCAGAGGGCAACGGACCCAAGGGAAGGAGTGAGCTATAATTCACCACAGCCTGGACGATGTGAGCATGGTCTGTAACGGACGTGGTGGGAGAGTTAGGTACTGGAGAAAGGGGATAGAGGAAGGGACTTCGAAGGGCAGAAATCTCAACAAATCTCAACAAATCACTATGTACAAGCAAGCGAAAGCAAAGGCATTGAAGACCACTGGGAATGTCAATATTTCTACATTTTCGAAATAACGTGAAGTCTGTCTGCTCCTCTGACGTACTGTAGAGGCCGACATTCCTTCACATCGCTCATCTTGAGCCCCTACACAGTGTGAGAACGTTCACAGCTGAAGCGATGCCTGTTACCACATAGCGACCCCTCTCAGCCCATGTCTATATGATTTCATCTGTACGACAGACCCACTTGAAGCGTTCACATGCTTTTCCACAATTGACAACAGAGCTTGCGCGCGTGCGCGCTCATCCCTTGTAGGTCTTGAAGGCAACGAGACCAGCCAGGGCGATTGCGTATCCAAAGTACTGAAGACCAGTGACGGTGGAGCCTAGGAGGAACATGCTTCCAAGGATGAGCAGAATGTCCTTGAGCACACCGGCCAAGGTCAATGTCAGACTGCTGGCAGCGCCGATGAGGAAGACGGCGGCGATGTTGAGTGCGAACGCTACACCTCCGTTGGTCAGCAGGACGAAAGGTCCGAGCTTGCCCAGGTCGAAGAAGGGAGCGAAGCCCTCGGAGAAGGGGATCAAGCAGGCATTAATGGCGGCGCAGACGGGAGCAAAGTAGTAGAGGGAGACCAGAGGATCCATCTTCAGCCCTTGCAGCAGGACTTGCACCATGACCAGACGGGAGGATTCGAATCCGATGGCGAGAACCTGGCAGATGAAACCCTGCATGGCGAACTCGATTTCTCCGTAGGCGGCCAGAGCCACACCGAAGGAGATGGCTCCGACGATACCGAAGAGGGGTGCGCTGACCTGCTTCAGGCCAAAGGCAAAGGAAATGATGAGGACTGCCACGGGCATGAAGGCCTTGAGCATCTGAATGAAAGACACGCTCAATGTCAGGTAGGCCATGTTGCTCATGACTAGACTTCCACTGAAGAGAGCTCCGATTGGCAGGATGTTCTTGTACCACCTCTCCGAGGTCATCTCTACGTCGCGCAGGCCGTCCATAAGGTGAGTATACCTAGCTAGCAGGCGGGTCCCGACAGTGTTGAGTGCCATGTGGAATGTAGTGAGGAAGACTGGGTAGGGGAAGCCGAGCCCGGTCTTGGTGTCAAGGACATATCTGATTGTGGGAGGGTAGAAAGTAGCGTGAGTAACGTGTCTCACTGACTTTCAGGGTGTGAGCAGCTGCCAGTCCGGCTTCGTCCATCCTGCGCTCCAAACAATAGCACACTGCTGAACCTCGATCTTCTGCCTTCGGCGATTCTGCAGACGCGTCCGCTTCCTTCGTATCTGGCAGCTGCCAATGCTGCCGGAGACTCGCCCTGCTTCCGCACCAGATCTCGCTACTCACTTGTTGTAGACAATGACACTTGAGCTCAATGCAATCCAAAGCGCAATGATGACGGCAGGGTGGACCTTCTTCTTCTCTCCCTTTCCCCCACCTCCAGGCAAGATACCGGAAGAGTGAGCCGAAGGACCCGAGGTGGATTGTCCCATTCCGCTGAGACCGGGGGTTCCGACGGACGGGCGAGCATGTCCGTTGATAGGATCGTGCTGGTACTTTTCATCTCCACCCAGTCCGTTCTTGCCATCAACGGAGAGGGATTGCATGGGGAGGGATGTGTGTTGTGCCATGGTTGCAGATGCTACGAAAGGTGGATGCAGCTTGCGGCGAGCTGGTTGGTCGGCTGTCTAGCTAGCTGGCTACTTTGGCAGCACTACGGAAGGGAGAAAGCAGGAACAAGAAGGAGGAGTGGGGAAGGAACGCGGGAAGAAAGGGAAGCCTAGAAGTGGATTGCGGGACGATCGAGAGTGGCTGCAGGGGGACGATGGTGTTGATGGGCAATGAAAGAGTGTAAGAGATGATTAAGATGACTGTCGGCTGCGATTCTGTGCGAGGGTCCGCGTGCGTGCGTGCGTGCGGTGCGTGTGTGTGTGGCAGAGTGGGCGGGCTGAGGCGCGAGATGAGCCTTGGCCCATGGCACGTCAAAAAACCCTGCCGACTCGGCCTCGGCAGCGCAGCCGAGCGGAGCCGGCCAAGTCCTCTGCCCCGCCTGCCTCGTCGACCCGCGCGCGCAACGATGACGAGGTAGCAATGCAATGCAACTCTGCCTCGCCACAAGGGCAGAGAGCGGAGTAGAGCGAAATCGTGGTAGAGGGGTAGTCTATGTTTGGCAAGACTTGGTTGGATGCAGCAAGGTTCCACGTCCTTGGAAGGCTCCTTTGCAAGCTCAGAATATGACAGCAACTGCAGCAAAGGCAAGACTTGCAGACAGCTGCCGAAAAAGTACAAGCAGTGTAGAAGAAGCAGCGCCCGCCGAGTGGTGTATCACACCGACCGGCCTCTTGATCGGACCTCCAGAGGCGAAGATGTGCACTCGTTGAGACTCTCAGATCTTCGCAAAGGACAGACACACAGGCCGGTACGAGATTTGATAGGGGGACCATACCGCAATTGATGGCATACTCTACAGAACTAGAGGAGAGAACGAGTAAACATATTGCTGACATGGGCAGGTAGAAGAGGCATATTCGCTCGCAATCACTGGATGAGAGATATGATGGGAAAAGGAAAGGGAATCCTGACGAGACAGGAATCTGAAGATGACCGCATCTCCAGGACTACTAGGCAGACGAAACAAGGAGAGGCAATCTACTGACTATACTGGGCACCGCGCAGCCCCTTTCCATATCACTCCACCTCTCTATCTCGAATTTCTCTCTTTGTCTGCATGCCTCACTAACGCCGGTTGTTTCTTGACTGAGGTCCGAAGTCCACCGCCTTTCTCACAGGAGCTTCCCGTGGGTGCTTGACGCGGAATTCGGACAGAATGCAGATGTGATCCGAAGGGAAGTGAGCATTGGGGAAACCAACCACTTTGCTCACGTAGCCCTTGTCCACTTCTCCAAGCAGACCCGTGACGGCGAGGGCATTCTGGTTGTACCACACGTAGTCAATTACACCGACGAAGGTAGGAGTGTAGTTGGTGAAGGGCAGCTCGCCGACATTCGAGTAGGCAGACTTGAGGGACAGAGGATGATCCATGCCTTCGGCAGTGTATCTACCATAGACTTTATCTTGGAAGTCATCGTGATTGCCAGCTATAGCGCCCGAGCTCAGATAGTCGTAGACTCCGCTGTCTGGAACGGAATTGAAGTCTCCACAGACAATAGTGGGAATCTGAGTGCCATTCTGATACTTGGGCGCAGCAGGGTAACCCTCTGCGACATTGAGCTTGGCCGGGAATTTGGCAAACCTCTCTGCAATTCGTCCCATCTCGTCCATCAGCATTGCGACTTGCACGAGCTTGACATCTCTGAACTCATGGTCCCATGTTGTGTGCACATTGCCGACAATGAGCCGACTTCCGGAATCCTTGTTCTCGAAGAGGGCAATGACGGCGATGTTGTCTTTGGTCATGACTCGGTTGAACATGTCCTCGGTCTTCTTGAAGTCCGGACGTTGAAGAGCAATTTGGTTGAACTCGATGAGCTGCTTCTCAATCAGAGCAAACTTCGTACTCTTGTAGAAGATGGCGCAACCATCCACCTTGCGCTTCTCTTCGTCTCGCATTGTCCTCACCCGAGACTTCTGCCAGAAGATTCCTTCGTAGTCTTGCTGAGCCAGATGGTGAAGGAAGTAGTCCTCGTACTGCTCAGCATCCACCTCTTGCAGGCAGCAGATGTCGGCACCGTAGCTCATCACCTCTTGCAGAATGAACTCCTTGCGGTAGTCCCACGCAAGCGCCCAGCTCGGTGTGTAGCCATAGAGTTGCTGAGTAGCGTATTTCTCGCAGAGGATATTGTAGCAAAGCACATTGAAGGACTCAGCGGGAGCTTCGGGTCCTTCAGAGTCGTGCCTGGGAGGACCCAAATCCGGCTCGATGCTGATCCATTCGCGCTCAGGAGGCGGAAGCGGCACCGGGCAAGAATCTCTGAGGTACGCGATAACGGCTTGTGTGCCCTCACGTTGCGCTAACGACCTGATGTTCTCGGCCATCGGGTTGCCCTCGATGCCGAGCAGCTCCAGATTGTGCAGAGTTCCGAGCTCTGGAGGCAGGTTGACCAGCTGATTGTCGAACAGGAACAGCTCCTTGAGACCCACGAGCATCCCCAATTCCGCCGGTAGGGTAACGAGCTTGTTTCCGCTGGCATCGAGAATCGAGAGCTTCTTCAATTGAAGAATGTCGGGGCTCAAGCTGGTCAAGCCATTGTGGTTGATGAAGAGGGAGGTCAAGAAGTCATAACGGTAGACTTCTTTTGCCAAGTTGCGAAGACCCAGACCGCCCATGTCGATCGTGGTCCAGCTCTGCTTGTCGTCCTCTCCCTTGCCATTTTTACCGCCAGAGGCCAGCTCGCCGTTGACACCACTGGTCTCTTCGGACTGCGCTTCCTTTTTGCTGCCCAGGTGGAGGCCGTTAGCTGCCGTCTGCGGAATGTGCATAGTGCCCTTGGAGGGATCTTGTATTGCTACAGCAGCGCTAGTGGCGCTCCGAGCCGCGAGCGCTGCAGCCCGAGCGTGGTGGTGAGGAGAAGAAGATTGACGCGAGATCTGTGAAGCGAAAGTAGCGGAATTTGTGGTCAGTACGAGCAGCATACGTCCAAGTCAAGACATGCTCTATCTCACCTCTGCCTTGATCAGCTGCTGTTGCCAATGCGGCGAGCCATTTGCAGCAGCAATAGACGCGGAGGACGTGGAAGCCGGAACATGACTTATGCCTGCGTGCAGGGTACTGGGAGAAGACATGTGAGAGAGGTTGCTAGATGCCTGTACGTGGTGGTGTGGATGGTGATGATGATGACCAGATAGCGTTCCGTACGCTGGGGACGGCGGTCCTCCATTGGCGTTCATCGAGGAAGCTGCAGAGGAGTGGATTAAAGAATTGGGCAAAGATGATAGGGAGGAGTTTTGCTGATGGTGCGCGGCCACAGGATGTTGGTGCGACCGCGGACCACCCCATCCTACTGCTTGCTGAGGGAAACGACCCAATTGAGGGAAACCCCCTCCTGCGCCATTGGGAGGCCCAAAGGGCGAGGCACCATTACCTGCCGAGCCAGAGCCCATCAGGCCGCTACCTCCACCACCACCTGCTCCCCCGGTCCCGGTCCCGCCATGACCTCCCGGTTGATGATGACCATGAGAGTTCAGATAGAGGAAGCCAGGGCCTGGCGAGGGCGAGGGGGAAGGAGAAGGTGAGGGGAACATGCGTTGGCTAGTAGCGGCGCCGGAGCAGGCCTGTAGGATTGCAACGAGCGAGTTCTGTCTGGTGAAGCTTGCTGCTTGTGAGCGCGGTAGATCTGTGTGGTTCTTGTACTGGCTTTGACCGGTCTATCCGAAACCAAGAAGCGTGTTTCCAAGAGAGACGCAAGTAGAAGAGAAGATGATGATGATGGCAACAACGGTTCGGGAGATGTAGCAACAGCCAGCATGTTCGGAGGGAGAAGAGCAGAAGCGACCTGACGCCTAGAGACCGGTGAAGTGTCGCCGATCTTGAGCTATGATGAGTCGGATCGCAACTACACGGAAGTGGTGGATGAGACTTGACAGCGATGGGACTCCAGGACCGATGCGGCTGCCCAAGTGGTCTTTACTGACTGGATGGCCTGACAAGGGGGACGCGCGGAGTCTGTGTAGGTCTTGTGTATTTGTCGAAGACGTGCTAAGCGATGTTCCAGGCACGGGTGGTGCGGAGGAGACGCTTTATAGCTTAGGACAGATTGGCGCGGGGGTTTTGGAAGGTAGGAGGGGCGACGTGCCAGCTGTTCTGTCCGAGCAGGCGCGTAGTGGTGTCCTCGTCGATAGTGCCAATGGGATCAGTGGGTACTGACAGATGGCCTGAGAGGAGCTTGCGATGTAGCGAAGGAAGTCGAGGGGTTTGCGCAAGGCCAGTAAGTTGTCAGCGGTAGACCATGCAAGCGGAGGAGCTGGCTGCCGGGCGTGAGAGACCAGGAAGAGTAGCGATGACGGGAGGATTGCGCGCTCCAGATTCCACTCCCGCTCCACCACCAAGCCACCCTCAATGCAGCGCCAAGGCCACTCCACCAATCAGACACACCTTGCTCTCTCCCTACCACTTCCGCCGTGCAATGATGAGCATCACTGCCTAGACATTCTCTGCTTGGCCGGTGATGGTAACACACGATGAGGCAAGCCAGGCCACAGAAGCAATCTATGCGCAGTTTCTGACCCGTCCGACCGCCAAACGCAAACTGCTCGCAAAGGCTGTAAGTAGACGTGCTGCTCTGTTTCACTGAGTGACTACGCCTGCTCACTCGCAAGCACCTTTGCGTCTCAGTATCGTCCTCCTCATAACACTTATCAGGAATTCTGTGAACACCTGACAGAAGATGATTGTGCTAGAGCTCGTTCAGCGGAAGCAGGGTCAAGCAACACAGCTTCGCCGGTGAAATGCTGCAGACGAATCCACTTCGAAGTGGTCAGATATCCGCAGACGGAGGATGACTTTGGACACTGCAGGTCGGTAACTTTGCCCTTCTCCGCCTCGCTCGAGATTGACTGCTGACATTACGTCGACTGTGTCCTCTCTTCTCTCAAAGCTACTTGTCGACGTGCCACCGCACAGCTACTTGCAAGGTGAATAATGTTGTGCATGCATGCTCATTTGCATCAAATCCCGCTATTCCGCCGACTCATGCCTTGCCTCTTCAATTCAACAGTACTTACACTTTCGACCGGTCGCGCCCATCGAAGCTCCGGACTATCAATGGAAGTGCTCCTGGCCCGACTGGCGTGCACCAGCCCAGGGAGATGACCTAGCTATCTCTGAGATGGCGGTAAAGCATCCTCCTCGAGCTCTGCTCTCGCGAGACCTCCCATCCTGGGTCATAGGCGGAAACAAAGCTCGTCCCAGTGCAGAAGGAGGCTCGACCTTCCCTCCGCAATGGATCAATGCGGACCTCTCCACTTTCGACCTGACCGTCCTCGGCAAATTCGATGTCATTGTCCAGGATACGGCGTTTGACATTCACATGTCTCTGCCTTATGGTACCATGACGGACTCGGCCATCAGGTCAATGCCTTTGCAACACCTTCAAGACACTGGGCTGATCTTCTTTTGGGTCACTGGCAGGGCAATGGAGCTTGGCAGGGAATTGTTATCGCACTGGGGCTATACGAGGGTAGATGAGCTCGTCTGGGTGAAGGTAGGGCAGACGCAGAGGCTGATCAGGACGGGCAGGACCGGACACTGGATGAATCACACCAAAGAGCACTGCCTCATCGGAGCAAAGAATGCCTCGGGCGTAGGAGGCCCGATTCCCGAGTGGGCTCATAGAGGTCTAGACAGCGACGTTCTGGTGTCCGAGGTGAGGGACACAAGTCGCAAACCGGATGAGCTCTACGCAATGATCGAGAGACTTGCTCCCGGGGGTAGGAAGCTCGAACTCTTTGGGCGGAAGCACAATGCCAGGAGTGGCTGGCTTACCATCGGCAATCAGCTCAAGAGTCATCAGATTGTGAGTGCGCGTGTACTTGGAGTGTAGGTCGGGTTGCTGTGCCATCTTGCTGATACCTACCTACCTCTAACGTTGGCGCGCTCATAGTACGACCCAGATCTTCAGAGGCGGATTGACGGGGCAATCACGGGGGTACAAGGCCCATGTGTCAGGGAGACATAGAACATTCGACTGGAGGGATTGCTAAATACAGATACGTCTATGATACCCATGCCATTTGAGCTGTGTGCCGAGAAGTTGTCGTCGACGGGAATAGCCTGCGCTGCCCTTGCCTCAGCGTGCCTCGCCTTGGCGGCACGACGGAAGTGCGAGTGAAAGTCGACGCGCCAGCCGCGTGCTGTCTGGACGGACTCTGACTCTGACTCTGCCGGGCTTTTGACCAGGGAGACATTGTGGGGGCCGTGTGGGCCGAGCGACGTAACTTCCATCGCCTGTACCTTTGCTTCTTCTTCCACTACTTCTGTCCTCTGATTATTGGCTTCCTGGACACCCTCCCAAACAACAATCTTCCACCTGCTGGCTCTCTATAACATTCGTCACCTTGCTGATCCTCGACCTGCCCAAAGCATAGGTCGCGAGCATCTGGCCTTGCAGGATCTTCCCTACCATCGCAAGCCCGAATTTCGCATTCCCCGAGACAATCGAGCCAGGTCTACCAATCGAAGCTCTCGAGCTCTCGCCTGCCCTCAATTGGAAGCTCGCAAAGAGTCCTTGCAGGCCTGCCGAAGAACGACCAGGAAGCTCCATTCACTGCTTTGAGGCCGAATCAGATCAGGCCAAGACGCCGCACTATACTAAGCAGCATCAGCAGCAGCAGCCAGCCAGACCCTTTGAGAGTTCGACCACTCGTGTAGCGGAGGGAACAGACGAAGATGGCACATGAGCCTACATATGATGATTACGTGGAGAGGTGAGTGCACAAGACCTCGCTTACGCTGTGAGAGAAGTTCATAAGGGGAGCAAAGCGCGAGGAGTGGTAGGAAGGGTGATTGTACGGGCTTTGAGGCAGAGCTGGGCTCGCCTCCTCTAGACGAGCTGAGAACAGCCTACGGAAGACCAATGCTGAAGTGAGCTCCGCCTTATTCGAGGTCCAAATGATTGACTTATTTCCACCACATCTCCCCCGCCTTCCCACTCTCCAGGATTCACTACTCGGAGAAGTACACCGACGACAAGTGGGAATACCGCCATGTTATCCTGCCCAAGCCCCTGCTCAAGATGATTCCCAAGACGTACTTTGACCCCGATGAGCCTGGAGTGTTGAGGATTCTGACCGATCAGGAGTGGAGGAGTATTGGAATCACGCAAAGTCTGGGATGGGAGCATTATGAGGTCCATGGTGAGTAGAGTGTCCGAGCAATGATCGCCAGTGGTTGAGGCTTGAGTCGCACGGCAGTCACAGCTTGAGAATGTCTAGGAGGACAAGTGCCGTCTATCGTCGCTGTAGCGTTTGACTGACTCTGCTCCATTGCATCTGCTTTGCCGTCCACCAGCACCGGAACCGCATATCCTCTTGTTCCGCAGAGAAAAGGACTTCCAAGACAAGGTCAGTGATCTGCAACCTGCCATACCCTCCTCTGACTTTGACAGCTGACCAATCATAATTCGACATGACACTTTTCTTGTATATGCACAGTATGGCGCAGGTGGGAAGAGGTGAAATGAAAAGTGGACAAAGGGCTCACGGGAAGAGGCAAGCGCGTAGCTCGTACTTAGAGTACTTTAATCGACTATCGTTTCTGGGAGGCCATCCTCACTAATGAAAGTAGATCAGCAGCAGACGTGCAACAAGGGAGACGAGAAGTGAGATGAATTACAGAAGTGCATGGTGACAAGAGGTATACAGAGGTAATGGTTCGCGCAAAGACTGTCTTCTCCCCACCAAACTCAAGGTCTGCCCTCTGGATTTGCAGGACTCAAGCTCATCCGATTCCTCCGTGCATCCGCCTCGTTCCTATCTAGACTTTCACTCCTTGATCTCGACCTTGAGCGCGACCTCGAGCGCGACCTGGAGCGCGAGCGTGATCGTGGGCGACCTGAATCCCTCTCTCTCCTCTTCGGTGTGAAACTCCTGCTTCTGCTGCGACTCCTACGGGGATTGCGAGAGTCCCTACTGTACTCCCTCGTACTGCTGCTGCTGGTGCGATGCCGACGACGAGGAGGAGAGTACGATGGCGATCTTGAGCGAGAACGAGAGCGGGACATTGATTCGTCTCTTGGCCGTCTAGGGGTGCCTCGACCTCCATCACGATCTCGAGAGAGGGAGCGAGAGAGACTGCGCTTCCTGCCTAGCTTCCTTGGAGGGGGGCTGCGACTCCTTCTCCTGCTGCCAGGGCTAACGCTCCTCCGTCCATAGCCGTTTCCCTGGTCCCTTGCCAGATGCGGTGGGGGATATCTTGCATCTTGATCTCTGCCCGCGGAAGCCCAGTAGCGATCGCCCCTCACAGCGCCATTTTCTCTGCCCATACGACCGTTCCTATCACCATCTCTGCTATTGAGCCGATTTCTCTCGTCACGAGAGTCACGTCGTGCATCCGGTTGAGGAAATCTACCAAAGTCGACGCTCACGACTGCTCCATCAATTTGACCTTTGTCCATGTGCTCGATGGCCTTCTCTGCGCTTGAAGTAGAGCTGAAGAGAACCCATGCGTTACCTTTTGATTCTTGAGCTGAGAGAAAGGCAAAACGAAGAAGAAGACATCTCAGTCAGCTTGTTCAAAGTAGCAAGCTGCCTGGCCGTTTGCTTTGCGCTGCATTACTCACACCTAGTGAAGAGGGGATGAGTACAGCTCTTGACGTGGCCATAATAGCCAAAGATCTCCTCTACATGACCTCTCGTGACCATCTTCGTCAGGCCCGTCACTTTGACGCAGGGCCCTGCTGCGTATGGGTCCCTAGCGCTACTGCGAGCTGCAGCAGGCGAGAAGGAAGCATCTCGACTCCTGGGCGAGACGACGCTGCGCGGAGGAGGAGAACGGGATGGCGAGTGTGTTGGAGAGCGAGAGAGAGAGCCGGATCCAGGGTGTATCGAGGCATCGGATGGCGATCGAGACCGCCTCGGCGGACGCAATGGGGATCGTGATCTGAAAGGCGACCTTTGCGGCGGTGGTGACCTCGAAGCGGCTGATCGTGCGGTCCCCTTGTCTCTCTGCGAGGACGGTGAGCGCTGTCCTTGCATCTCTGCATCCCCTCCTCCTTGAGGAGAGCGTGAGGCAGATGGGGAAGGCATAGAAGTTCAGCAATCGGCTGACGAAGTCTCAAGTTGAGTCGAGGTGAGGTGAGTTGGTTGGATGCGAGTCGGAGCGAGGGGTGGTCGAGAAGATCCGATTCCATGCAGGCGTGAGTGGAGACGGCAGGAGCAACCGTGGCTCCGACCAGGCTCCGATCCGACACGGGTGGACCTTGCCTATACCGTGGACTGCACCACGCCTAGAGAACAACACCACTCTTGCCCTTCGCAGCCGCATATACTCAAGTGCAATCATGAGCGACAACGATGGCGCCACTCCAGGTGAGATGGGATTATCAAGGGTGCAGGCCCGATAGAATTCGTGCTGAGGCCCTGGTCATTGATCCTTCTGCAACAGAGGAACAGCTCCTGTTTGCCTGCAGGACAGACAATCTAGACCTCTTCCAGACGCTCATTACTTCCGAAGAGAACCCACAGCTCAATGTCAACACTACAGACAGGTTCGGAATGACACCGCTGCATATCTGTGTCCTCTACCAGAGTACCGAGGTACTGCCGCTGCTCTTGGAGGAGGAGGTAGACGTTGATCTGAGGGAGAAGGGCAAGGGTGATACTCCCCTGCACGTCGCCATGAGGATCGAGGATAGCGATAATGAGGAAATGAGGAATTGGCTTGGTAAGTGACTCAAGTTCTCCCGAGATGAAATACCTCACAGAGATATCATCTGATCTCTTTGTCCTCTTTCCCTTCCTCCATGCCCTCTATCCTCAGTCGAGCAACTTCTCTCAGCAGGCGCAGATCCCAAGGTTCGCAATTCAGCAAATGAGAAGCCAGAAGACCTGCTACTCGGAAGCGCAAAGGAGTCTGAGAAGGGTCAGGAAGTCAGGAGGATGTTGAGGGATGCAGAGGCTGAGAACACATTTGCGAGCAAGGGAGATGTGGTTGATGGTGAGTCGAGTCTCGCGGACCTGGAAGGATCTAGGAAATTGAGACTGAGACTGACCGTGCTGTCTCCATCAATCGATCCTGCTCCCTCAATCGATCCTGCTCCCTCGAGTAGAAGATGCTGAGCCTTCAGATGACGAGCCGCCGTCGGATGAAGACTAGACTGTAGCTTATCGAGCTTTATGCCACCACATAGATGTCGGAGAGGTGGAGCAGATACAATCGGAAAATTTATTACACAGCCCAGATCGACAATCTCATATCTAGCTATGGTGATGTCGAAGATGCATGCACTGGACGATAATATTACAATAAGCAGCAGACACTCTCTGCCCCGTACTCATCTCTTCATTCTAGCCCGCTTCATCAGTTCCTCCACTCCCACAGGGATCCACTCACTCGTTCCCTTCTCCTTGTCCTTCTCCTCGACCCAGACAATGTCCTCCTGAACGTAAAAGGTCGCTCCACTCTTACCGTCAAGAGATTCGGACACGCGCAAGAGAGGCAGGCCCGTCTGAGCGTGGCTGCGATTGAGAGAAAGGACAAGAAGGTCCAGCTCAGCTGCGCGATCCTCGACGATGGAGCGGAAGGAGACAGAGTCGTCTTCTGCATCACCTGCGCCTGAGGAGGAGGGGATGGCTGGGGTCTTGCTCGAGGAGCGATGGGAGGCTGAGACCGCATCCCTCACGCTGCTCCTTGAGAGGGGTGTGAGATCCGGTTTGGACAGCCCTCGTCGATCCTCTCCCATCTCCACCGCCTGATTGATCAGGGCGATGCCCTTTCTGAAACCCGCCTCGACACCAGGCAGCGCGGCGACTTCGCTCGGGAACCATCCTTTCCAGAAAGAGTACCACTTGGCCACCTCGCCCAAGTCTACACCTGGCTGTACGAGCCAGGCGTGTAGAGTCGTCAGCCACTTGGGGAAGAATTCGCCTTCGAGCAGACGTGAGAGGACGGACCGCCGAAGGAGTTCGCGCCAAGCGAGGATCTTCTCCAGTGGAGCCATGTCCTGTGCACGAGGATTGACAGAGAACCTGCTGCCAAGGTAAGAAGCCAATTTGGGCACGATTTGAGTGAGGAACATCGAATCCCATTCGCTCTTGGGAAAGAATTCCTTCCACCGCTCCAGATGCTGAGGCACAGCTTCGTCCTTCGGTCGCCAGCTCTTGAGCAGAGCGCGTATCCGCCTACGTGCTTCAGACATAGTCTCGTCGATACGTTCGCCGAGTAGGGGAAGCCAGGGGAAGAGGATGTAATGCAGCGGAGCTCTTGCGGTTCGTGGTTCCCAGTCGTGCACTGCCTTCCAAACTTTGGGAAGCAAGATCTGATCTAGAACGTTATCCCAGATATACCGTGGCAGAAGTGGCCGCCAGGCTGTCAGGACTGCCACAGCTGCTCGAGGATGATGGACTTTCCAATCGTTGTTGAGGGCTGAGCGTATTCGAGGCATCCAGAGATGCCACAGCAGCGCTTCGAAGGGCAGCATGATCTCGACATTGCGGGTAGTGGCTTGCTTTCGCTCGTTGGACGCCGTATACCGGTCAACAGCACGAGATTCGGCCGGCGCCGAAGCTCCCCCGAGCGCCCTTAGCGCTCGCCTCCATCTGTGCAGCGTTGCCGAAATACCATCTGCGTCCTGCAGCGGATCCCAGTCCGCCAGCAGCCTCTTCATCGGCGGGGTCAACGCACCTACCAATGCTTCATCCAGCCCGAATTTCTCGATGTCCGCATCAGACTCTTGCTGAATGCGCACTGCTAGTGGCTCGAAGGCTTCTAGCCCCATAGCGGTATTGCTGAGGGCGCTCTTCCCGACAGCTTCCAGCTCCCGTACCAGAGACAGTACCACTTTGAGTTGAGCCAGGTCTACCGCCTCCTTCTCGCGGCGTCTTCGACTTTCGTCGTATTCTCTCTGCAGCCATCTCCGTCTCTCAAAAATGCCAGCCCCTTCCTTGGCCAAAGCATCCAGGGTCTGCTTGCTGTTGTCCGCAATCAATCGGAGATTGTGACGGAGCTCTGGCAACCTCGTCGAATCGCTCGTCGGAACAGCATGGTGTGCCAAAGCGCTGGCGAGAGACGCCACTTCCTTCATCTCCTTGCTTCTGGCATCGATGATCTGACCAACTCCAGCGTCGGTCGATGGGACTTCTCCGCCAGCTTCTTCGATGATCTGCTCATAGGTCCGATGCTGGATCTTGGGCTTGCGAGGCTTCTTCTCCCGAGTAGTCCAAGCTTGACGAAGCTCGACAGCTTGTTCCTTCTTCTCCTTCTTCTTGTCTCCTCTGCCTTTGTTTCTCCGCGCAGCCCGCTCGTCCTCATCGCTGCTCACTTCCTCGCCCCTTCTCTTCGCCTCTTCCTTTGCTTGCTTTGTCCTCTCCTTTCGTCCACCGAAAGCAATACCCGCCTTTTCGGGCCGCAGCTGAACTTCAATCGGGTTCAGCATACCCTCTCCATTCTCCCCCAGCCCACCTCCAGTCCAGCCCATGCTGGCCAGGTATGCGGCAGGGTTGAATCCCCCTCCGAGACCACCACCAAACTTGATACTGGTCTTCGGTACAGATGATGCAGCGCTGGGCAGGAACGACCGCTTTGGCTTCTTCTCTTTCTTGGCAAAGGCGTCTGAGGGCTCGACAGGAGTTGGCACTGCGCCAAAAGAAGCTGGCATGCCTGAATCCTGGAGGGTGGAAGGAGCAAATATCGGGAAGCTAGGCCGAGCATCAGAAGTTCGAGAGGCGGAAGACGAGCCTATACCTCCGCGAGAGGTGCCGATGCTGGGGGCAGATGCTGAGGAGCTTCCTATGCCAGCATGACTCCCGATTCCCACAGGAAGGGCGGCTGCTACGTCCGTCTCCTGGCCGTCATCGACGTCCATCGCGGGTCTGCGGGAACCTATGCCGCCTCTTGACGAAAGGAAAGATGCAGGTGTAAAGCCGCCTCTACCTCTTGAGGAGGATCCAACCCCGCCCAACCCTGGCTTGGCATCCACCTCCTCGTCTTCAGCTTCCTCCCGGATTGTCTGCGCATCGTCTTCGGCTGACGAGCCCCCATCATCCTCGTCTCCAGAGTCAGAGTCTTGATCGGAGCCTCCAGATTCGTCTGAGGCTACCATATCGGCACTTTTGCTTGATGCAGGTACAAAGGCTTGCCCTCTGCGATGATTGGAAGGAAGACAATCAGAGTCAGAGCGCTGAGCTCCACGTCCACTACGCGGAATGTTCTGTACCCACCTGAGGAAGTTTGTCTGCTTTCGATTCGGTGCTTTGCCTCTGGCCTGGGCGTCTCCGTCATCATCATCATCTGCAAAGACGCCGTAGATCGCCTCCTCCTTTGCCTTGCCACTTCTCTTGCGCTTCTTCCCATATCCGTTCATGAGCTGCGCCTCGTCTCTCTCTTCCCTCGTCATTCCCTCGTAGGCATCCCCGTCATCTGACGAGCCCCCCGAGTCCGAGGAGAAGCCATCGAGGTACTGAGACTTCTTCCGCGCCATCTTCGGCCAGAAGAAGACGAGGTAGTCGGTCGTCTAGGAGATGAATGAGGTGAAATGGGAGAGACGATGATGGGCGGAACGGAAGCAGCTTCGGATGCTTTGAGGCAAATTGACAATCAATGTCCGTCCGTGCTTTGACCCTCGCCGCCGCCCTTTCCGTCGTCAGCTCACCTCAGATCCGCCTCGCTACTCTTCCCACCTTGGCATCTGTACTGTACTTCAGCGAGTCTTGCCGCTTGCCATAATGAGGATCTCCATCAAGATGTCAGCACTGGTGTGCCTTCTCTCTGCAGCATACGCAGCCGCTTGGGAGACTGAAGCGCAAGGTGAGTGACGGTGACGGTGACACTGACCCTCTCCACTTCCGTTGCGGCTGACATGCTGACCGCCATACATCGCACTTCTCCTTCGCTCAGCCGCCCAGCAAGTCCGCCACCTCCTCTCCTCACCCTCCGAGCACTTTTCCTCCGGTATCCTCTCCACCATCTACTCTCACAGCCATCCAGATGCCTCCCTGCACAACTCCCCCCTCTCCGGTCCAGAATACTTCGCACCTTGCCAGTCCAACGGCGACCTTACTTTTCTCGCTCTGCCCGTCTCGCAGAACTGGCGCAACGCACTAGCACCAGGAGCCAATGTCACATTCTCCGTCGGGAGCAATCCAGATCCAAGAATAGTGGACTGGAGACATGCGAAGAAGGGAGATGCAAGCAAGTGGGAAGAGGGAAGGCCAGAGTGGAGAAAGGGGATGCCTTCGAAATTGAGGGTCACGCTCTTTGGACACGTCGTGGAGCTTCCACAGGAGGAGACGCAGGCAAGGGCGAGCCTGACGCATCGGCTGGCAAAGTGCTTCACTTCGGTGCACACTGATAGCGTGAAGTGGGCTCCTGGGGCAAAAGAGTCTCCCCACGAGGCGAGGTGGGTGCAGCTCGTCGTTGATAGGATCTATGCAGTGGGTGGCTTCGGGGATGAACACAGGATAGGATGGGTCAGCAAGGAGGCATATGTGGCAGCTGGAATTAGTAGCAAGGTACCTGCCGAGCCAGGTCTCACTGTCGCAGTGGATCAGAAGGACGCTCCTGATCGTCATACTCTCTTTAGCGACACTCAGGGTGCGGTCTTTAGTGTACCAGAGCTCCCGCTATCCCTCTTTGGCAGACCCAGCCAGCGCTACTTTGACTAGCTCAATACATTTCGTACGGGGTGGAAAAAAATCGACCGGCTCGTGAGGTGTGATGCTACATATGCTGCCCGGATCCTGTTTCTCTCATACCTCTGGCTCATCCTTGACTTTAATGCTCGGCGTGACTTCACGCTTCAATGGCGACGCCTCACCTCCACTTTGCCTCTTGACGGGACTTCGACTTCCTCCCCGATCTCTACCAGTTCCTTCCGCCTCTCTCACCAGACTCAATTCGACTTGTACTCCCGCCCTGAGCAAAACGTCGATCCAAACTTTCTGCGTCTCGCTGAGTCGATCATTGACGCTCTTGACCTCGCACAACTTCACAGACTTGTCGCTAAGCCTGTACACTAGCAGGTCGGGCATACCACCGGAGCAATGCTCCCACTCCTCTGCCATCATCTGGAAGATGACCGAGAGGCTCTGCCCAGGGATGCAACTGGCCACTTCAACGAGGTCTTCCCGGGTGAAGGCATCCCAGCGACAGCCCAGCGCCCAGGTCGCTGTTGGGCGTTCGCGATCGTCGACTTCCCTGATCAGAGCCTCGGCGCCACCTTGAGCGACCAGTGACAGCCTCTCGCGTAGAAAGGGACCTCTGGTGATACAAAAGGAGTCTTGTCCCATGTCGAGAGGAGCCCGCTGATAGGGCGTCTCAAAGATGTCCGTCACGCCAGGCGCATGGAAGATAACGTCCCACAAGCACAGGGCGAAGAGCATCTTGAGGGCCCCACCTTCATCATGAAAGCCCTTGTAGCCTTCCAGCTCGTAGTGCTGCAGCACAATATTCTCAACGCGACAGGGATGACCGTCAAGACCTCGCCAGACGGACGCCATCGAGGTGCGAGACTCTTTGCGCGAGACTTCGTACTGGACCAAGGTTGCTTCGTCCGCTCCTTCAGCGTCAAATGGCGATGGTGAGGCCATCTTGCGCCGGCTCTCATCATTTCGCATAGCAACGTCGAGAGAGAGATCCGATGATGACGAAGCACTACGCTTCATGAGAGCGCTGCCCAGCTTCGTGGGTGAGGTCTGTCTCTCAACTTTGACTATCTTCCTCATTGGCGCTCTCTGCACAAACCGAGATCCCTCTGGAGATTCTACCGGCGAGTCAGGCTTGGGGGCTACGATATTGTTCAGAGGCGCGAGAAGCCTCTGCCTTGACTGCATCCCATCGTCCATGGAGTCAAGGCGGACACCGAAGTACGTCTTCTCGGAGCACTGCTTCAGCTTCGCGTACGAGAAGTCATGTTTTTGCGATTTTGGGATCGGCAGCTGATTCTCCAGCCGACAGATTCGCTTCTGAAGCTGATCGTGGTAGATCAAGTGAGTGTCTGGGTCCTCGATACCCTGCACAGCGATCTTGAGGGCTTCTGACTTGCCTTTATTCTTGTTCTCAGGGTACGAGTACATCGCCGTTACGAGAGCTAGCCGGTCATACCATTCGCCTCTTTTTCCTCTCCTGAAGTGTCGCTGCGCAAGCAGAGCTCGCAGCACCTCTTCTTCTCGCTTGTGGAGCTTGAAGCGGGCCAGTATGACAGTGCCCTTGTAGACAACTCGCGTCTGTGGCCAGCCAGCATGAAAACGCATACGATGGTAGGTCATTCTGTCTGGGCCGTCGGGGTGCTCCTGGTCAAAGGCAGTCACAGTGGCTTTCCAGATGGGCCAGATGGCCTCGAAGTAGGTGAGAGCCTTTGCAAATGTAGCTTCGCTCCCATCACCCCACTGCAGCAGCTCCTCCATCTTGGTCTCGACTGCAACAGCCTCTTCGAATGCCAGAAGATGCTCACGGGTGAGGAAGACACGGGGAGAGCGCTGTGTCTCGTAGCGAGGATAGTTGCGCCTACGAGAGCGAGATAGGACAGCTGTAGTCAGAGCAGTAGCTCCAAGCATCGCTCCGCGGTAGAACACCAGCGCCACACGATCAATCAGGCTGCGAGTGGAGGAGTGAACCTTCACAAGCAAGCCCAGCAGCTTGGTGACTTCTGCAGCTAATTTGACAGATTGCGTCGCCTTTTTGCCATTCGACGTGAAGTTCAGCGCGAGCTGCTTGGAGCTAGTTGATGCAGTGGACTTAGAAGGGCTCTGTTGAGCTGCTGCTGCTGCTTTACGCTTGCTTGGGCTGACGGGGAAGAATGCTGACGAGAGCGTTCCTTGGGTGCGGGTCTTCAGCAGAGCGGCAATGTGGCTTGCCTTCGTGGTACCAGGCTTTGCGGTGTTGCAACGCTTCGCGAGGGTCTTCAATTCGTCCAGTGTAAGCAGACCGAGCATTGCTTCTTGCCCGTCGTCGCCAGCTTCAGCATGAGTAATTAAGAAGCGAGGTTGCGCGGTGCCTGTCAGAGCTTCTACAGCTGCTTCCATATCGGTGACTTCCGACTGATATGACGCCCTCAGCGCTTCAAATCGTAGCCAACTGTCTTTACGCTGGATTAGTCTCGAGAAGAGGTAGCGAGCTTCGTACGATAAAGAAGGGTAGAAGCGAAGTACCTTGACCTCATCCTCGGAGAAGAGATACTCTTCGGTAGACAGGACTGTTGCAATCATCTCTCCGAGGAGGACTGGGTACATGGACTCCCTCGCGGCTGCAGGGCTCCGAGCAGCCTCAGTCACACCTTCTGTCGCGATCGACCCTGCGGTGGCGGTCGCCGTCTCGATTGGCTCGACTTTGATGCCTATGTGTGTCGGAGAAGGTTCTACGAGCTGATCCTGCGTCTGGGGTACTGTCGCTTCTTGAGCGATGCTTGCTACTCCTACCTCGCTGGCTGCTTCCCCTACCCCCTGCGGCCTCGGCGGTTCGAGCGTGCCCATTGCGCTCTTCTCTTGCAGATCTGCCTCTGTCTTCACGTTCGCCTTGGTCGCCGTCAGATCTCCTTGCTCGGTCATAGTGTCGCTGATCAGACCTTCTCCTCCTGCTATCGGGAGACTGTGATCTCTTTCGCCCAGATCCGCTCTGTCTGGGCGCTCTTGAAAATCCTGTTCGTCTCGCCTCAGCTGAAGCATCTGCCGCAGGCGCACTTCCCTCTCGGCTTCAGTCTCGGGCGCAGTAGAGCCCCAGGCTTCGCTTACATAGTGACGATATGAGCTCGGTCCGGCATGTGAGGCGTCTTCAGTCGGAGGTCCTCGGTCAGCTGCGCTCTTCCTTTCATCTTCAAGACGCCTCTGCCGGATGGCCTGCTCTCGCTGAGCCAGGAATCCTGACATTGCCTTCAACGGGTCGTAAGTCGACTTCAGAGCTGAGTCTTTGTAAGCAGCTTCCAGCGTCTCGTCTTGCGTCTTCCGCCGTTCCTTTGGTCCGCGCAGCTGAGGGTCGCTATACCAAGGCTTTCCTTCCTTCTCCAAGCCATTGAGATACACGGTCATCTGCTCCTCCAGCTTTGCACGTTCAGCGGCTCCGCTTGCAGCCGTATCACCCTGAGAGTTTCCATCCGAAGAACGCTTCCGACCTCGTGACTCGGACCCGTGAAATTTCCTGCCTTCAAGGTCTGCCCAGAAGTTGATATGACCTGCCGACTTGCTACCACCCTTGCTAGATTCGCCTTGTGGCGGCGGCGGACCATCGACTACACGACTCCTGCTGCTTGCGCTGCTCTCCTCGGGTAGTGGGTCGCTCCCTTCTTGATCTGCTGGGCCCTTTCCCTTTGCATTTCTGAGCAGCTCTAGCCTGGCTTCTGACTCAGCGGCCTGCCTCTGCTGCCGGCGAGCTTCCTCGTTGCGTCTGACTTCCTCCTCATCTTTGCGCACCCTCTCTATGTTTTCCCTATTGTAGGGATGGTATGACTTGTGATGGGCGATGTTCAGAGGCATCGTGTACGAGCAGCTGCCTTGCCATTGGCAAGCCCTCTTCGTTGGGTGGTAAAGTAGGATCAGAAGCCTGGCCCCGGAAAGGTGTTGGTCTGATCGCGGGTGCGGGCACTGGCGGGAGTCGACATCGGGCCTGCACGCGCGCGGGGTCGAAGCGGGCGGCCTGAGCTCGGGACGGCGGCATGAGCCGACCATCGTCCGTCGTCCACCAAAGCACCACCTCGCAATACCACACGACACATCCTCATTGTCGCATTCATAGCATCCCGAGACAGGAGCTGTTCGGCTGCTCACACCAACAAAGCTAGCTCTCTGGTGTAGCTCCCGAGCTGCGATACCCGCTGTGGCTCACTCGCGATGGCCCCACCGGGCGTGATCGCCCACCCTCACTCCTCAAACGGTCTCGCAGTTGCTTCATCCTCCTCATCTGCAACGACGAACACCGTGGGCGTCTCTGCTGAAGCTCTCACACGCATCTTCAGCAACCTCAAGTCAAAAGATGAATTGACGAGGATCTCTGCGGGCAGGGAGCTTGGCCACTATGTCACCCTTGCAGCGCCAGGCCTGCAAGGCGATTCCCTCAATGTCTTCAACAACGACCTCAATCGTCGTATCTTCGAGCTAACTCACAGCCCAAATGCTCACGAGAAGCTTGGCGGTATCATTGCCATTGAGTCTCTCATTGACTTGGAGAGCGAAGACAATTCTGCAAGATTGTACCGCTTCTACCAGTACCTCAAACCCAACCTTCCTTGCAATGATCCTCAAGTGATGATAGCAGCATCGAAGGCCTTGGGAAGAGTGTCAAAGATCGGAGGTCACTCCCTCGGAGATCAATTCATCGAATTCGAAGTGCTACGAGCCTTGGACTTCTTACAAGCCGGCGATCGGAATGAGTCCGGAAGGTACGCAGCTGTGCTCATCATCCGCGAGATGGCTCGCAACGTTCCCCACCTCTTCCACGTATATGTCCCGCGAGTGCTAGAGCGCATCTGGGTAGCGCTGAGGGACACACGCTTGATGGTCAGAGAGGGAGGCGCTGAAGCACTAGGGGCTTGTCTGCAGATCATTGCTGCCAGGGAAAAGCAGATGGGCACTCAGCTTTGCGAATTGATCGATGAAGAGGCAGAGAAGGGGCTTAAACAACCTGCCGTTGAGACTGCTCATGGGAGTATGATGGCGGTGCAAGAGCTATTGCAGCACTCCAGGAGTTTCATGAAGTCCCGCTTCCATAGAGTTTGCGAGCTCATATTGCGTCTCCATAGGACCAAAGACCCTCTGATTAAGCGAACAGTGACAAGTATGATACCAGTCTTAGCCAACTACGATCCCCAATTTTTCGGCGACACACACCTTTACGAGGTCATGAATATGCTGACTGATCAGCTGAGGAAAGACAGGGACAAGGCGACCAAAGAATCGACCACTCAGATCTTCGAGACCATTGGACTGGTCTCAGCGGCCATGGGGACCAGGATGAAGCAATATATTGACTCTGTTCTGGCTTGCGTCAAGGATGCGCTACAGAGCCGAAACAACAACAAGCAAAGGAATGCTACTACCGTACCGGAGGCTCCGGTCTTCTTCTGCATTGGGCATTTGGCGGCAGCTGTTGGTCCCCACCTGACAAAGTACATGCACGAATTGCTTGATCTGATGTTCGCATGCGGGCTGAGCGAAGCTCTAGTGATGGCACTGGAAAGGCTCGTGAGAGCAATTCCTCCTTTGCTGCGAATCGTGCAAGATCGTCTGCTGGACATGCTCTCGATGACCCTGATTGGTCAGCCCTACCGAGCGCTCGGGGCACCCAATCCTTTCATACGTCACAATGCCGAGATCACTGTCCCGACATCAAACATGGCAACCATCACCGTAGCGCTGGAGACGCTTGGAGCATTCGATTTCAGTGGACACATCCTCAATGAGTTTGCAAGAAATTGCACCCTCCCTTATCTCGAGGATGATAACTCGGAAATCCGGAAGGCTGCTGCTGTAACATGTGCACGGCTCTTCAGTCATGATCCAATCTGCTACCAAACCAGCATGCACGCAATCGAAGTTGTCAACGATGTCCTTGACAAGCTCATGACCGTTGGAATCGCAGATCCCAATGCAGAGCTACGCAAGACCGTCTTGTCCGCCTTGGACGAGCGATTTGATCGACATCTCGCCCAGTCCGAGTATGTACGGTCTCTGTTCGTGGCACTGAATGACGAAAATTTCGCTGTGCGAGAGATCGCCATTATCATCATCGGAAGACTGGCCAAGCACAATCCTGCCTACGTCATGCCCTCGCTACGGAAGGCCCTCATTCAGCTACTGACGGAGCTCGAGTACTCTACTGTAAGCCGCAACAAGGAAGATGCTGCTAAGCTTCTTACCGAGGTCTTCAGGGCTTCCTCACGTCTGGTCAAGTCCTATGCATTGCCGATGCTGGAGATCCTGCTTCCTCGAGCCAATGACCCAAGTCCAGGGGTAGCAGCACGTGTCATGGAGTGCCTTGGGGAGCTTGCCAAGGTCGGCGGAGAAGACTTGCTTCCTCACGTAGAGCAGCTCGTGAAGCTAGCCATAGAGCAGCTTGCTGGCCATTCGGCTGCTCAGGCCTCCACAATGAAGAGAGACGCCGCGCTCAGAACGTTGGGTTTAGTAGCGTCAAATACTGGTCATGTCGTGGAGCCATACCTGAAGTATCGCAACTTGCTCGCCACCATAGTCAAAATTCTCAGAACAGAGAATTCTCCGGCTGTGCGGCGCGAGTCCATCCGAGTCATGGGCATTCTGGGTGCGCTTGATCCCTATCGCTACAAAGTACTCGAAAAGCATGTAGATGACGGTATTGTGACGACTACGCAAGGCGGCGGAGCGATTGGAGCCGGGGAAGTTACCAACAAGGACTCGCTGCCCACGGATCTACTGGAAATGGCCATGACGATGGGCACCTCGTCCGACGAGTTCTACCAGTCGGTCACCATCGAGGCACTCCTTGCCATTCTCAAAGACCTGACATTACCCGTGCATCATCATGCCGTCATTGAGGCAATCATGTACATGTTCAAGACCCAGGGGATGAAGTGTGTGCCCTTCCTGCCGCAGATAATTCCTGCGTTCCTTGATGTCATCAAGAATTGCACCACAAGCTTGGCCGAATTCTACTGGCAACAGCTGGGCATCCTGATCAGTATCATCAAACAACACGCCCGCAACTACCTGAATGAGATCTTCGGTCTCGTGCGCGAGCATTGGTCTTCTGCATCAAATACACACATCATACAGCTCACCATCGTTTCCGTGGTAGAGGCGGTCGCAAAGGCTCTCGAGGGCGAATTCAAGAGCTACCTCCCAATATTGCTGCCGAACATGCTCCAGACGTTCCAGGGCGAGCTCAATCAGAAACGCCAACAGCCTACGCTGATGAGGATACTACACGCCTTTACTGTGTTCGGATCCAGCATCGAGGAGTATCTTCATCTGATATTGCCACCTGTAGTCGAACTCTTCGAGCGACCCGATGCTTCTCTTCAGCTCCGTAAGACTGCCATCACCACTGTGGCACAGCTCACTCGCAAAGTGAACTTCTGTGATCACGCCTCGAGAGTCATTCAGCCCCTCGTCCGTATCCTCAAGGGCAACAACAGCGAGCTGAGAGTTGCAGCGCTGGACACTCTCGCAGCACTAATCTACCAACTCGGTCCCTCGTACGCCATCTTTGTACCTGTTGTCAACAAGGTCGTTGCTCAGAATCGTATCCCTCACGCGAAGTATGACACTCTTGTCAGAAAGCTTCTGGATGGGGAGAAGTTCCCGCCGGAGCTCGGACCAACAGACGGAGCTCTGGAAGACAAGACGGACGATGCTCCATTGGCCGAGGCCACCAAGATGAGTGTGAATCAATTGCATCTCAGGCAAGCGTGGGACACGTCCAAGATTTCGACCGCAGATGACTGGCGGGAGTGGTTGCGGCGAATGGCCGTCGAGTTCATGCGGGAGTCGCCCTCACACGCCCTACGAGCTTGTCGCAGCTTGGCCGATGTCTATCACCCCCTCGCTTACAACTTGATGAACACAGCGTTCGTCTCGTGTTGGCCAGAGCTTTTCTCCCACTATCAAGACGATCTGGTTCGCGCGATCGAGACGGCATTTGACGCTCCGGAGGTGCCAGATGAAGTGGTCATGCGACTACTCAACCTCGCTGAATTCATGGAGCACGACGACAAAGCCCTGCCGGTTGACATTCGCCTTCTCGGTCAAAAAGCCTTCAAATTCCACTCGTACGCAAAGTCCCTACACTACTACGAGTCAATGTTCCTTTCAGGTCCTTCGGCTGACATTGTCGAGAATCTGATCGACATCAACAGTCGACTTGGCAATCAAGACGCTGCTTTTGGCACCTTGACGTATGCCAGGGAACAGTTGGACATTGTACACCATGAAGAATGGTTTGAAAAGCTCGGTCGATGGGAGGACGCGTTGGTCGCCTACGATCGCAAGGCAGCGGCGACGGGCTCTGAACCACTCGAATCGACTTTCGGCAGGATGCGTTGTCTTCACGCCCTTGCTGAGTGGGAAAATCTTTCCACATTGGTCCAGGATAAGTGGGTCACAGCATCGGGTTCGGAGAGGACGCAGATGGCTCCATTGGCCTGTGCAGCAGCATGGGCACTCGGCCAGTGGGATGCCATGGAGGAGTTCATCGCCTCGATGAGGTCTGACTCATCGGAACGATCCTTCTATCGTGCCATCTTGCACGTGCATCGATCACAGCGTCAGCAGGCTAACAAGCATATCACTCGTGCGCGAGATTCGCTCGACCAAGAACTGACGGCTCTCATCAACGAGAGCTATACACGAGCATATGGGCTCCTGGTGAGGACGCAAATGCTGTCTGAGCTAGAAGAGGCTCTCATCTACAAGCTCGATTACCGTGAGCAGCCCGACAGACAGGCTACGATGCGGTCAACCTGGATGAAGAGGCTGAAAGGCTGTCAACCAGATGTCGAGGTATGGCAGAGGATCCTGTCCGTCCGCTCTATTGTGTTGACACCGGCCGATGACACCGAGACTTGGATCAAATTTGCCAATCTTTGCAGAAAGTCAGGTCGGATGGTTCTCGCAGAGAAGACCCTGAATTCTCTATTGGGTCCGGATTCAACTGCCAACGGCGGGCAGATGGATACACACTCCCCATCGAATGCAGCTGGCGGACCAAAAGCGCCGCCACAAGTCATCTACGCTCACTTGAAGTTCATGTGGGCTAGCGGTGCCAAGCTGGAAAGTCTGAACTATCTGCGCGACTTCACTGTGAATCTAGCGGAGGACCTTGGTCTTCATGGCATTGACGAGCGTGGAAATTTGGTTCAGCCAGATTGGCAAGCTTCGCCCAAGCTCGCCGAGTATGCCCGTCTGCTTGCGAGGTGCTACTTCAAGCAGGGAGAGTGGCAAGCTGCACTGAACGAAGACTGGGTCACCGACGATTCTCTGAACGTTATCAACTCGTACCATCGCGCTACTGAATTGGACCGCAGCTGGTACAAAGCATGGCATGCCTGGGCGCTGGCCAATTTCGATGTGATCTCGCATCACGAGCGATTGGGCAATGACATTACCCCTCAGATGATCGCCGCCAGCATCGTGCCCTCGGTACAAGGATTCTTCAGGTCCATTGCCCTCGCCAGTGGCAATTCACTACAAGACACACTGCGTCTCTTGACTCTCTGGTTCAAATTTGGCTACCAAGAGAACGTAGCCGAGGCGGTGTCTGAAGGCTTTAACAGTGTCATTGTGGATACGTGGCTCGAGGTGGTTCCACAAATTATCGCTCGTATCAACATGCCATCGGCGCGAGTCCGTCGATTGATTCACCACCTGCTCTCCAACGTCGGAACTGCTCATCCTCAGGCTCTTGTGTATCCATTGACCGTCGCTGCCAAGTCGCCGAGTCTGCAGCGAATCCAGGCTGCCATGGCGATCATGAACAATGTCAGAGAGCACAGTCCTCGCCTTGTTGAGCAAGCGCTGTTGGTCAGCAACGAGCTCATTCGAGTCGCGATTCTATGGCATGAGCTATGGCACGAGGGTCTGGAAGAGGCGTCTCGACTCTACTTCACCGAACACAACATCGATGGCATGTTCGCCACTCTGGAGCCGCTCCACGAAGCCCTTGAAAAGGGCCCCGAGACACTGCGAGAGACGTCCTTTGTTCAGACACATGGCCGAGACTTGGCAGAGGCTCGGGAGTATGGTCGCCGCTACCGTCAGCACGGAGAGATCGGCGACCTGAATCAGGCTTGGGATCTCTACTACCATGTCTTCAAGCGCATCGCGAAGCAGCTGCCCGCAACTAATTCGGTCCAGCTGGACCTGCAGTATGTCTCGCCTAAGCTGTTGGCACTGCGCAACCTCGAATTGGCAGTGCCAGGTACCTACCACAGTGGCCAGCCGATTGTGCGCATCAGCACATTTGAGCAGACCGTCTTGACCATCTCGTCGAAGCAGCGGCCACGTCGACTGAAGATGAAGGGAAGCGATGGCAGGACTTACCAGTATCTACTGAAGGGCCACGAGGATCTTCGACAGGATGAACGTGTCATGCAATTGTTCGGGCTTGTCAACACGCTCTTGTCAATCGACTCTGAATGCTACAAGAGGCGTCTGGACATCCGACGATATCCAGTCATCCCGCTCTCGCCCAACACGGGAATGCTGGGTTGGGTAGAGAATACGGATACACTGCACGTCTTGATCAAGGAGTACCGAGAGCAGCACAAGATCCTGCTCAACATTGAACATCGTCTGATGCTACAGATGGCGCCAGACTACGATCACATCCCTCTGCTGCACAAGGTGGAAGTATTCGAATATGCTTTGGACAACACACCCGGCCAGGATCTGTACAGGGTCCTCTGGTTGAAGTCTCACAGTTCCGAGGCATGGCTCGAGAGGAGGACGAACTACACGCGCTCACTGGCAACGTCATCGGTGGCGGGCTACATCCTCGGTCTGGGCGATCGTCACCCGAGCAATCTGCTCTTGGACCGCCTGAGTGGCCAAATTATCCATATCGACTTTGGTGACTGCTTCGAGGTAGCACGTCAGCGACCCAAGTTCCCAGAGAGGGTGCCCTTCCGCCTGACCAGGATGCTGGTGAATGCAATGGAAGTGGGAGGTGTGAAGGGTGCCTTCAAGGTGACGTCGGAGAATGTCATGCGGGTGCTACGGGACAACAAGGAAAGTGTACTCGCCCTCCTCGAGGCATTTGTACACGATCCTCTGATCAGCTGGCGTCTCGTGGCGGACGAGGCGAATGAGCAACAGCGTGCTCCTGACGCTAGCGAGCACGAAGGTGTTGGGGTGGGTGGAGCGGGACCGCGACAGATGGGCGATGTGAGGAATCAGAGGGCGCTGGAGGTGGTGAGGCGTATTCAAAACAAGCTCAACGGCAGGGACTACGGACCCCAGCCGTTGAGCGTTTCGGAGCAGATGAGTAGGTTGATCGAGGAGGCTACCAACAATGAGAATCTCGCAGGAGCATTCATTGGATTCTGTAGCTTCTGGTAAGAAAAGGGGGCAGAGGGAGAGAATCATTGGAAGCAAATCTTGTCATCATACCAATATTGTTCCGGCTCCCTGTAGTGTACACAATGCATTGGTCTTTCGATACAACCTTGCCATTTGTGTTCAAGGATGCTGTGTTCCACCGCAATCAGCTCGCAGGGAGGTCGCATCAGGAGGGCGTCGGTTAATCGGTGCGGAGAAGCTTCCTATCAGGTACGGACATGATCGCCCCTGCGCTTTACACCCGGCTCTGCCTCGCAGAAGGCCGGCAGTCTCACAAATGGAGCGGAGCACCAGAAGACTGGGAAAGTCAGTGCGGACGGACGGTGTTTGTATACAAGTACAATTTCAGTCTGGGGTCTATAAGATAGTAGTACATCACAGCCGAAGGCGTTGAGTTGGAGGTGGCTGCAGTAGAAAGACGCTCTTTTTTCCCGGGCCCTTGGCCTGGCCCTGGGATGGGGTATAGGGAAACAATCGAGGCAGCTGCCTGCCGAGCGAGACCTTCAGAGAACGGAAGGACTCCTCAGTACTCGATGTCCTTCTTTTCTGTACTTTCAGAGTGAAGTGATGTCTCGGTAGCGGACTTCGAGTAGGACATTGGTCCATTCGACCCATTCGGGACGTGCAATCGCTGATCGATCCTGCCCACCAGGTAGGTGAATAGGATGCAGACGTCCATAGCAAAATTGAAGCAGTAGAAGGCTGCCTTGGAGTCCCACCAAGCTGGATTCGATGCAAGAGGTGCCTGTGCCCAGGTAGTGCCGGTACGGAATCCTGACTGAATGCAAGCAAAGGTAATGCCGAGGGCGAGAACGACAGCCTTGCCGTTCCACGAGTGACGCCCAAAGGGGTCCTTGGGCTGACCGGGTCGTGTCATGGCATACGCCAAGAGGAAGGCAGAGCTGACGGCGACGACCAAGAAGTAGGTCTGAGCGATTCTCGACATGATGGTAGCTCCGCGCTGAATGTGTGCAACTCGAGGCTCCTTGACGCGCAGCACAATCAGGACGATGAGGGGAATCAAGGCAATGCAACCCCATAGCAGGATTGCGTTGAGCTTCCTGACAATGGGGTTCCAGCCGAAGCTAGGGTGGGCGCTGCGAACCATTCGCCATGCGAAGAAGTTGTTCATGATGTAGACGAGCAAAATTCCAGCATTGAGGAAAACGCTGGCAACCAGACTGATGTCCGAATCGCCAGGACGTGTGGCCCAGACCAGTCGGAATACACAGGCTGTAATCCTAGACATTGTGAAACCGAAGCAGAGACCACTGAAGATGAACTTGTGACCACGTCGCTTGTTGATCTGGAAAAGCGTCATGTGACCAGCTGCTAGTAGAACAAAGATGGCCAGAAAGACGGCGCAAATGGGTACATCGACGCTGACTGTGGGGACACCGCCCACGACGGCGAGGAGTTGTGCAGTCGAGGCAGACATGGTAGACTTGATGAGCTGCTGGTGGAGTAGATCTGAGTGATGGATGAGAAGCTGTGGAGAAGGATGGGGAGTCGAAAGCGATGAACTCTACATGTGCCTTTTTATAGACCTTCGCTTCCACCCCAATCAACATTATCCGTGAGAGTATGGCATTTGCAACTACCGGCGGCGGGTCAGCTGAACGGCAGTCCAAAGCCGCGGTGTGGCTTGGCGTGGATATCTGAGAAGGCGGGAGTAGGCCCGATGTGTGGCGCGCCTGGTCATTTCCGCTCTACCTGTTCCCGCCCTGAGCGGGAACCGGGAACCGCATAGTGAGCCTTCGCCAAGCACAAGGAAGCGGTACCTCGCCCGATCAGCCTCATCTCTGGCGACGCTTGAACCCGTGCGGAAGGGCGACTGAGCCTCATTGATACGTACGACCGAAACGACGCTGATTGACAAGGAGGAAAGCTAAATGGAACAGTAAGCACAACTTAAGTCCGGCTAGACATCAGATGGTTCGGCCTGTAAGTGGTCGAGGAGGGCAACGAGGCCATTGTCATGAACCGCACCTTGGGGTGTTTGCGGCAACGCAGCTGCTTAAAAGTGGTCGTCATCGTCGTCGTCGTCGTCGCCCATGTGTGGACTCAGCAGCTGAGCGGACGCTGCCTCGTCGCTGGAGGATACGGTCTTTGAGCGCCACGTGCGTCTCGTCCCTGACTGTACGTGATCGGACATTTGTGCGCCACGCCCGCGCCAGTCTCGCTCGCGGGCGTCAAGGCCAACCGAAGGCAGGAATTCGGTCGGCCCGACGGCCACGGCCGGCGACCGCCTGGAGCAATCTGTGGAGTCCGTGAGCGTCAATCCTCCTGTTCATCGCGACATCATCACCTCATAGCAGCAGTATCGGCGGAAGGACGCACATGGCCAACGTGGACGCAAGGCTTTCCACGTCCCCATCCACCACTAGCAGATCCGCAGGCGCAGAGCCCAACTCTTCAGCTCAGCGAGATCATCACCCAGACCCCAAATCTGTTCCAAGGAGACCTTCGCCTTTTGATCTGTACACATCGTCTGCTGCGACTGCTTCCACATCCTCTGCTGCCGTCAAGGTTGAAAGTGATGACAGAAGGCAAGTTGCAGCTCACGCTGCAGCGGAAGAGGCCAATAGCGAACAAAGTAGGTACTTGAAGAGGAAAGAGCAGAACAGGTTGGCCCAGAGGAGACATCGCGAGAAGCAGCGTCAAGACATTGAAGCCAAGAGACGGCGTAAGAGCGACAGTGGTGAAAGCAGCGGTCAAGAAGCCGAAGACGTGCCTCAGGCAATACCGCCTGCGTCCCATGGACGGACAGCAGAGCATGCTGAAGCTCCTTCAGGGCGCAGGAGGATGCGGAAGAGGCGGGTAGTCGAGGGGGCAGCCATGTCACCTGCTTCCTTTGCCTTTGATGCTGCGTCTGTCAATCCCGGGGCCAGCTCAGCGTTCACGTACGTAAATGGTGGCTCGGCTTCCCAGGCGCAATTGACGCAACAAGGTAGTCTTCCTGATGCCCTCTATCCGGATCTATCTGCATCTTCCGTACCTGGCGAAGCCCGTTTGAGCCTCTCTACTCCGACATCCGGGACCGCATCCACACCCTCATACGATGCTCAACGCGGCTTCTACGATGATAGCTCGCGTCAGACGGCCGCTTCTTCCTTTGCGGTTGACGGAAGCGTCCCATGGCCGGAGAACACACCCTGGGATTGGCCTAATGCCGGAACACTGAGCGCAGGATCTCAGCCAATCTCCGGCAGCATATCTAGACCACCGGAGCAAGTACAGCTCCCCATCGCCCATCATCCGTCTCAGCACGATTCCGCCCTTCAATCATGGCAGATAAATGGCAATACGGCGACGACACAGAATGATCACTACCGGATACAAAGAAATCAAGAACAGGCCATGCGCCACTTTGTTTCCCTTGTTTCTCAGTCGATCCCATGGATGGATCATCTCCTCGCACCTAGGTGGGATATGATCAAGGTTCTCAAGCAGGCTGCAGAGCAGCTTGGACTGATGCAAGACTATCTAGAGGAAGATGAGTCGATTTCCTTCCTTGACGGTGACTACCGAGTTGCCTCTAGGAACTCCATCAGTGCGATAGATGATCAGCAGGACATACCCTCAGCGGACATCCAAGCGCACGCTGGCGAACAAGTACACCCTTCACCCGAGAAGACCGACTGGCGACTTTCTCAGCCAGCAGATGCTACGGGGGGAAGCACCGGTGTGACGATAAGCGTGCTCCGATGGACAGGATGGCCGTCGAACATGAAGCCTTCCAGGCTTTCCGGCGTCGTACCGCATCATCCGTTCTTGGTGAGTCTGAGTCTGCTTTCGTCTACTCACTGCTTCGCTCTCACCGCAATTGCTCATTGCTAACCCGCTCCTCCACTTGATCTCCCTGCTCTCCGTGTAGGATCTCGCTTTCCCCTGGCCCAACCTACGGGACAAGGTCTTCGCCGCCATTGCATGCGACTTCCTCATCGAGAAGCGCTTCTGTGACGACGTCTGGCCAGGCCAACCGGTCGAGGACGGTGCTTTTCCCGAACCGCCCTATACCGTGCACGGAGATGATGCTTTTGACCCCGCAGGCTACGAGATCTCCAACCGCTTCGCCCTGCGCTACGGTCCGCTACTCGACGCCTCCATCTTCCGCAGGACGAATTGGTGGAGGAGACAGCAGGGCAAAGAGGAGCTGCCGCGGTCCATCTTGGACCTGGCAAATTACTTTGAGACCTTCTTCGCAGCGCAGATTCGCCATTTATTGCAACCAGCACATCACCCCGCGCCGATGAGACCGCCTGTGTCGCTACCGTGGCCTCTGCAGCTGTTGGGTAGCGGGACGTCCATGCTGAATGGTCAAACGCAGACGATGCCGATTCAAGAGCTCCATTAAGAGACAGAGAGCAGGGGAGGAGACTAGACACTTGCCCTCGTATCGGTCTCGATGTTGATCGGGCTCATATCATTCTCCTCCCATCTATACAATTATATACCTTTCCATTTGTGGTAGACACCGCTTCGGCTTTGTCCGTTTTCCTTCGTCGATATGTGCGACACTTGAATGGTAGAGATTATGCGTGACATTATAGCGGCGTTGTCTGGCCGATTGTCCATCACCGTGCTCGGTGGTACACAGCTCGATTTGAGCTACACATCTGCTCTTATCCGACCCTCGCCTTGCCTTCCCACTCCTCCCAAAACCGCTCCTCCTCTGGTAGCATACTCCCTTCTTCCTCAACAATCGATTGGGCAAAGCGCCTCGCATCAAGTGCCACTCCCCATCCTGCGGCAGACCCTTTGGCAAATCGGCCTGCATTGACCGCGAGGACGGCCAGCTCTGCGTCTGCCTCTCCAGGTGCACCGCCCCCGCCCTGACCTCTCCTCCAAACGGCCCTGGCGAGCGTTAGAATCGCCTCGCCCATTGTGTCCACTGCGTCCCAGCCCCCAGGCGGGATCTCTCCGAGTACTGCATCCAGCTGCGCCTTGGCGGCAACGGGTGTCTGGCGGGGTGGGGCAGGCTCGTACACCCAAGTCAGGCCAACTTCCCCTAGAGCTCGACGGGCGTAAATGCGGGCGTTGTCCCGGATCGTGGCACGAGAGGTGGAGCTGACGACGACTGCTGGGGACTGCGAAGCATTGCTGGTAGAGACGTACTGGGGGTCCCCTCGCAGCAGACAGAGGGAGGCCAGAGCGGTGAAGACTTGACAGCGCAGTAGAGTGGTAGGATTTGCTGAAGCGCGAGCACCTAGGACAGCAGCAGCTCCGCCAGGACCTGTAGTATCCAGAAGGGAAAGCGCTAGAAGGTAGGCTTGAGAGGCGCTGTTGGCCAAGGACCAAGACAGTCGAGTAGAAGCAGCTGAGGTAGTCGAGGCTCCACTTGCGTCCGGTACAGCAGCGAGGCGTAGCAACGTCCGGGCTAGTGTCATAGCTTGTTCAGCAGACGATGTGACCTCGTCGACTCTCATCTGGTAGAACTCCCTCCTACGCGACTCTGGTATTGAGCTAGCCGTCGTCATCAGCGCCTCCTTGGCTGCAGGTGTGAGCAACGCTTGCAAAGAGGCAAGACGAGCTTGAGCGAGCTCTGTAATCTGAAGGCCAAGGCCAGCTAGTGCTTGTCCGTCTGCTGCTCTGAGCGCCAGATCTACACTACTTGTGGCTACAGCCACTTCGCCTTCCAGCGCATCTCTACTGAGCTGATTGATACCTTGTAACCATTCGTCATTGGGACTCGCCCTTTCTCCCCATCCGCATGCCGCATCACATTGCTGCACAAAGTCCTCCGCTCGAGCAACGATGCCCGCCATACGCTCTCTGACCTGCTCTAGATCCTCCGAGGACTTTGCCAGTGGAAGCAAAATATCAAGAAGAATGTTGTGCAGCGAATGGTAGGTCTCAAGTAGTGAGGAGGGCACAATGAGAGAGGAAGCGTACTGGGCTGATGGCGACCCGATGTCCTCTTGCTCTATCGCCCCAAGCCGTTCGTCTTGGTCTGCGTCCATACTGGCAGACTCAGTCTCTGCTTCAATGCCATTCTGACTTCCTTGCAGGGCGGACGTCTCGTCTTGTAGCTGAGATTTGAGTACAGTCTCTTGCTCTCTGGCTACCATGCTTTCGTACAGCTGATAGGCTTCTGACGCTACCGCGGCCGCTCTAGCCTCGCTCGTATGATCTTCGCCAGCCTCGCCAGTTAAAGCATCTGCCTGGGCCTGCAGGGATGCTGCAAGATTCGATACAATGTCAAGCATGAAAGGGCTAGGCGACGAGGAGGAGGACGCACCTTGCGCTCCTCCCCTCTGTTCCAAATGTGCAGCCCTCTTGTAAGATGCAACGCTCTCCTCCAGCACCTGTGCCTTTCTATCAAGCATGACGAAGCCGCTGCCTATGAGATACAGCACTCTTCCGGCATTATAAGCCGCATCAGCTGCCTCTTCTCCCTGCGGGTCGAGCCGCACAGCGAGAGCGTAGAGACGAGCGGCCTCCTGATAATTCCGAAGGGCTTTGTTGCCATACGCAGCTCGCTCGCCGCGTTCCTCCGCTTCGATGCCGAGCGCGATTGCTTCGGAAGGGTCTGTAGGATCTACCACTACGTTGGATGCTCGGCTGTTGGCATGGCGAGACGATGAGGAGGAAGCTTTGGGTGCTTTTGGCATATTGGCTGTAGGTAGAGAATCTGCAGGAAGAAGCTACATTACAGTCCAAAATCTTTTTCTGTGCATTGAGCGTCCGCTTTCCGCCCCCCGCCTCCACAAGCTGCGCGAGAAGCATGATCTGTGTGACATACTCGAGGCCTCAGCTGGCCCTCACAATCTTGCCGAGGCAGCTTTCGGCCTTATACCTGGTATGTCTGTCTTCTCCTGATCTGTCCGCAACACTCCAGCCGCCTCCAGCGATTGCAGCGTGTACCTGTCGGGCAACGCAGCTCGCTGTAGCGCTCTATAGACCAGTGTCCTCCCCTCCATGGCTGCCCCCCAGCTTTGCTGATACCCATACCCGCCAAAGCCATACCCTAGAACGACCTTGGCTCCATCTATCTGCTTGTGCGTCCATTCTTCGAGGATAGGACCCCCTTTGCGAGATGGGCGGAGACCTACGTTGAGGCCGATGATGTCCACATCCTCTGTTCGGGGAGACACGCCAGGAGGGGGTCGCTTTGACGGAGGCAGAAGAGAGGGACAGATCTGCAGGGCCCGTTGAAGGATTGCACGAGTGGTCTGCTCGTTTGGTGATGGTTCACTGTAGCACAGGAGATGATGAAATCATTGTCAGAATCGCTCAGCTGCACTTCGTCACACGACTGTACTGCCTTGTACTTACGTTTTGCCAACTTCTCTAGTACCGCCAACGATGAACTCCCCTCCCCCACGAGGGATAATGTAGAGGTCCCTCTCTCCGTTCTCATTCATGCGACTGATAGCCGGCCAGAGAGGGTACTCCTCACTGCCATCAGCTCCTTCATACCTTAACCAGGGCGCTCGCACGAGGATTGTCTGGCCCCGTACAGGGAAGACTTTGTCGTCTCTGAGCTCTGCGAGATGACCAGCGCCTAGCCCAGGTGAGGCAAAGATCAAGCTCGGCTGGGACCAACTGCCAGGCAGACCATCGGCCGCTGCCTGTCTTGCCTCTGCCAGGGAGCTGACCCGACGCTTGATAGCTCTTCCCCCCAAGGCCAGGAAGCGTTCGTATAGGAGTGGAAGGTACACTGGAACGTTATAGTCGATGGTGTTGAAGTAATATGCCTGCTGAGAGGGTAGCGAAGTCGAAGGTTGGAAAAAGGAGCCCTGAGAAGCGGGGTCGAGACCCCCGGACTCGCTGTAGTGAGAGTATATCTTGAGGGCACCTCTCATCATCGCTTCTGTACTCGTTCTGGGGGTACGAGTTGGAAAGAGCTCAACCTGTCTGACCCAGCACAGAGGTGGAATCGTCTCCTCTTCATGGGTAGCGCTTGAGCTATGGGCACTCGTCGTGGACCAGCTGTGCTGTTTGTCGAGCTTCATGATTTCTTTCAGCACGCGAAAGGAATCTTGCTCCCACCTGGCTTCACGCTGGCTCGATGGGCTGGAGACGTGATGAGCTCCAGCCCAAGACGATGCATAGCTGGCTGGAGGTCGAGACGCTTGGCCTGCACCATCCCCTGAAGAGCCGACTTGCTGCCGCTCCAGCCTCTTGACGACTGGAAGATCGGCAGCGACGATGGTCACAGCTAGCCGCTGCGCTTCTGGTACGTCTAGGAGGCACAAGGCGAGGCTGATGCCCACGACTCCACCGCCGAGGATTACAACATGAGGACGAGGTGTAGATGACTCGCTTGTAGCAGCTGCCATTGCGTGAGGATGGCCAGCAGAGAGTGATATGTCGTTATCGTGGTAGACAAGTAGTGGTAGGAGTAAGGGCTTGCATGGTCCAAGCGTTGCTCTCGAGTCACCTCGGCGCATGAATGCCGAAATCCCGAAGTTGCCGACGAATTTCTTCCCTTTCCGCTTCGACTGCCGAAGATGGTATCCATCTTTACTTTTACTCCTCACCACATCTACCGCCATGCCCACAATAGAAGAGCTCCCTGACGATACTCCGGTCTCGGTGGGAACTGCGGCTACAGAAGCTGCAGATGGTGAGCCGTCGTCTTCGACGGCTCCGCGGAGGGGTGGCATCTCGGAGGAGCTGGCGGAGAAGCTAGCGAGGCAGATGCACGCTGGGTGAGTGGGGAGGTTTGCCCAATGAGCGCTTGCCAGAGGACGAACCTTGATTGACACTGATATTCGATGTTCTTTCCAGACCTGAGGAAGCTATGAATTCATGGCTGCCAGGCAAGTCCGGCAAGACGATAGGCGAGGCCATGAAGACCTTTGACTCTGTTCCTCTGTTCATGAAGGAGCTCCCCGAAGCAAATGACGGCGGCGATGACGCAAAGGGCAGCGACGCAGCCTTGGAGGCTCTGAAGTCCCTCGCCTTTGACGGTACACCGGAAGAAGTGGCAGAGAACTTCAAGAAGCACGGAAATGACTACTTCAAGGCGAAGAGGTACCGCGAGGCGCGCGACTTTTATACCCAGGCCATCGAGTCGGATCCTCTGGGGGATGCGCTGCGTCTCTCACTCTACCTGAACCGAGCGGCGTGTAACCTGGAGATGCACAACTATCGTCTAGCCCTCAAGGACACCTCTGCCGCTCTTGGTGTGGATCCACGTTCCGTCAAGGCCTTCTATCGTGCGGCCAAGGCTCTTTCCGCCGTGGACAAGGTGGTAGAGGCCATTGACTGCTGTGATCATGGTCTGCAGATCGACGAAGGGAATGTGGACATGCTGAAGCTGAAGCATCAGGTGATCAAGGACGCTGAGAAGAAGATTCAGAGGGAGAAGGACAGTACAGAGAGGGAGAGGCGGAAGGTTGAAGGCGACAAGGCACTCAAGCAGGCCTTCTTGGTGAGTGAGAGGGTATGAGCAGCCTACGTGAGAGGTTCGCAAAATTGACAATCCTGCTCTGTCTTCCCTTCAGGCTCGCGGGCTATGGATCGAGACTTCCCCTCGTCCTCCCGACAATCCCACTCCAGCTCACTTCGACCTCTCGGAGCTGCCATCTTCGCATCCCTCCTCCTCTTCCTATCCGCTCAGCAAGACCGACCCCTCCTGGTCTCCTCCAGACCCTATTCGTACCCCTCTGGTGTTCCCCGTCATGTTCCTCTACCCTCAACACAACCAAAGTGACTTCATCAGCGACTTCCACGAAGACACGCCTCTCGGCCCGCATCTGGACCAGATGTTCCCTGCGCAGGCACGCGGGTCCCTTCCGTGGGACCCCAAGGGAGAGTATGTCTCGAGCAACCTGACGACGTATGCGAGCACGAAGCGCATGCGTCTGCTCAAGTGCGGGCGGGCCCTCTCTCTGCGGGAAGTATTGGACCAAGGAGCGAGTGAGGAGAAGGGAGCGGATGGGAGAGTGAGCAAGAGGGATGGCGTGGTGCTCAAGGATGGGATTCTCAGCTTGGTAGTGCTGCCCAAGGGGTCTGAGGCGGAGAAAGAGTGGGTGGAGAGGTTCAAGAAGACGAGAGAGGAGATGAGAGCAAAGGGGCAATTGTAGCGCTAGTGTCGGAAGGTCAGAGAAGTGGTTCACAAACATTGTCAAGTATGAGAAGTGAGACAATGTCCTTGCAAATTGCCCTTTTTGATGTGGTGCAAGTAGCACGCTATCTTGCCCTCCACGTGATTCCGTGCACGCCTTGCTTCTTTACTTTGATCCCCAGACCTCCTCAGCGACCTCCTTGAGCAGCCTCAATTTCTTGTACTGGTCCTCCTCGGTGATGGCGTTTCCGTGGTGGGTGCTTGAGAAACCGCACTGGCCGGAAATGGCGAGCTGCTTCAGACCTCCAGGAGCGTACTTTGCCGCATCGTGAATCTTTGCGACGAGCGCTGCCTTGTCCTCCATGGTGGCCAGCTTAGTAGAAACCAGACCGAGTACGACAGTCTTGTTCTCGCTGAGGTGGCCCGCGAGAGCGCTGAAGTCCTTGCCGGAACGCTCATCCTCCCACTCGAGGAAGTAGACGTCGACGTTGAGCTCGCCAAAGAGGGCCTTGGCGATGGGGGCGTAGCCCTCCTCCGAACCGGCAGCAAAGAATTGCGACTATGAGGCAGAGAACGAAAGAGGCACAGAAGGTCAGCAACACAAACGACAAGGCACACAAGAAAAAGACAGCTACTGCAGGTCGAGCTCACCTTGAAGTTACCCTTGCAGAGGTGGATGCCAATGACCATGTCCTCGGGTCGGTTCGCGAAGGAAGCATTGATGAGCTTAGCGTAGCGAGATGGCAGGGCATCAACATCCTCTCCTCGAGCAGCTGCATCCTGCCTCATCTTCGGGTCCGTCAGGTAGGCAAGGTTGGTGTCATCCATCTGCAGGTAGCGGCACCCAGCGTCGTACAGGGCCTGAACCTCCTCTCGGTAAGCGGCAGCCAAGTCGGCGAAGAAGTCATCCAAATCGGGGTAAGCTTCCTGTGAGATACCCTTCCTTCCACCTCGGAAGTGCAACATGGTGGGTGAAGGAATAGTGATCTTGATGTTGGCGTGCTGTTCAGCTGGTACAAGAGTCTTGAGGTAGTTGAAGTTGTCGACCTCAATGTTCTTCGAGTGCTTAATCTTGCCGGTGACTGTCATGGTCGGTGGCACATGCTTTCCGCTGCTTTCGAGGACACCTTCCTTTACATCGCACCCTTGTAGCATTTTCAAGAAGTCAATATGGAAGTATTGCCTTCTGAACTCTCCATCTGTGATGTCTGGTACGCCCTCGGCCAGGAGCCGCTCGACGTGTACCTTGATGTGCTCGTCCTCGACCTTGCGGAGGTCCGCCGCGCTGATCTTGCCAGCGGCAAGGGCAGCCCGGGCCTCGAGAAGCGCCTTTGGACGAAGGAAGGATCCGACGTGCTAAGAGAGAGAATGTAGAGGAAGAGAAACGTTTCAACGTGTGTTATAAGAGTGAAGCACGCCTACCGACGGTCCGGACTTACCTCGTGTCGGAATGGCGGGTTGGCGGCCAAGCGCTGAGGAGGCTGCGAGGAGGGCAAAGCTGAAGTTGACATCTTGCTGTGTAAATTTGCGATCTTTGAAGCAATTTTTCTGTACAGTCGTTGATCGTGGACTGATGGATGTAATGTGATGAAGAAGAGAAGACTTCAGGGGTGACTCTGGTGGAAGGAGTGTCTTCCATGCAGCTGACCCTCGTGCGACACCCGCCCGGATAAAGCGGAGCGCACCAAAGTCCACTTGTCACTCCGCTCTTCCGTTCCGATAGAACCCTGCATGGACAACGTCAAGCCTGGGAAATGCTCAGATGGCCTCTGTGGGCTGCTGTACAAGAGAGGATGATCCAATAGGAGAAAGCAGAAGGGCCGAGCGAAGGCTGTTGAAGACAACGTCCCACTCAGAAGCACAAAGACGACTGGGCAAGGTGTATTCATTGCGGCATCTACGAGCAGCCACCTGGTCGTTCAGTCGCGCTTCTCAAGATCCTCAGACTGTTGGTATATTGTGGCAGCATCAGGAAAGGAACACATCGTAACAAATCATTTCTGTAATTACTTTTCTCAGTACTCTGAAGGCGGATATCTTGATGGTGTCGTCGGCCGTCTGCAATCCATATACCGCGGACGGAACTGCTATGGCCGCCTTTGTGGCCGCATACTGCCTGAGTACTGCAGCTTCGTAGACAGCATCGCTCAGAGCGTGGGTGGTCGCCGCCAAGCGAGCTGGGTGGGCCGCAAGGGTGGAACGTCTTCCCACGTGACAGTCGAAGCATATGAGGGATGACACCATCTGGATGCAATTGCGATTGGCCGGCCTTGCATGCAGGGCGACGTCCAGAAGGCGACACTGTTCGTCATTGAAGAGTCTCAGAAGCTAGTCGTAATCTTCAGGCCGCTACAGAGCTGGCCTACCTCTTGACGATGGCAAGGAGAGTCCAGCCCGAATGCCCGACATGGCTTGAGGAGAGTCCGCGCCTTGACTGCGGCCAGCACTAGTCCAGACCTACCGGACGGCCTGCCTGTACCCCACTCATCGACCAGTGCCATGGACCCAATCACCCACCAGATTTGCCATGCGAGGAGAGGATGGCGCTCCTGCCAGAATGAGTCCATCAGCATCTGAATAAGGACGGCTTAGTCCTATTTCAAGCGTGACTCTCCTTGGACCGCAACAAGCTTGGCTCGACCGCAAATGGAGAGGATATGTACAGCCGCCCAAACACTTTCTATACCCGCTTAAAACCCCTTTACGGCCGCCAAGAGGCCATTCTAGACCCGTCGAGGGGGAACAGTGACCGCGAAGGTATTTGAGTGCTGAGCTCGACCACCAAACTCGCTGGACGTAGTACGAGGCTCAGCTTGCTTCCTGTTCCTTTGCTCCCACCATGGGGATCGAGAGGAACCGGAGGGCGAAGCGGTGAGCAACAGAGTACGTCACAGTCCCATTTGCTATGCGCAGCTCTGTGCTAGGGACTTAACGAAGGGATGACCAGTAGTCGGCTGTGCAGGCACAAGGTACCAGCTCAGGGACATACGAGGCAAGCTAGAGAATTCGACAACGCGTCGCTAGCCCCGCGGACTTCGGCGGCTACTTTTGAGGGTCAAGGCGGGAACCAGACAAACTCCCTGTCCCGAGTACGATGGGTGTCAGCCTTGTTGAGCTGGCCGAGCACTTCGAAGATGCACAAAACAGAATATGGCTCCACTAGTGAATCTCGAGATAGACGTCTCTGGACACTCTTCAGTGATCGGTGAGGCTCAGGCGGGAGGCGCTGGCTGGACCCTGTTTGGTCAGCCACGCGATTTCTGCATCTCAGCGTCATTTTGCCAATGCCGAGCCGCGTGCGGGGGGAGCGTGGAGTGGAGAGAAGCCAAGATCTGCATCCAGAGGCGCTACTCACCGTGGCGAGTCAGAAAAATCCTACAGACGTCTTCCTCCTCTACCTCTTCCATCCTCGCACCTTGCGGCTCACTTTCTGATGCGTTTCTCCACCCTCGGGGCTGGCTCTGTCCTCCTCTCCTCCCTTTGCGCCACAAGCCATGCCTACCGTCTTCCACAGATCCCCTTCTCTCCCAGCGATGACTCCCTAGGCACCTCGCCGCATCCTCCTCCGGGAGATTGGAATCCGCTAGAGCACATGTCCGGCATTGCACCCTATCACGATGCTCCAGGAGCAGACATCACACCACCAGATGGATGCGAAGTGACTTCAGTAGCATTCCTGGTCCGACACAGCTGCATCTACGCCAATGACGACGAGTGGGCTGACTTCATGGAGCCCTTTGTCAACCGACTAGAGAAATATCAGCAGGAAGGTGGAAGCTTCCAAGGAGCTGGACCTCTGGCTTTTCTAGAGAATTGGGAAAGTCCCATCAACGAGGGTAACCTGGAAGCCCTGACTGGGCCGGGTGCAGATGATGCCTTTGCCTTTGGAAAGAGGCTGAGGAAGCTCTACCCTCATCTCTTCCCCCCAAAGGACCTCGGCAAGGGGTCCAGCAAAGGCAAGAAGGGTAGGACGGACAAGGTCAAAGAGCCCTTTCGCATCTGGACTGCCAATTCAAACCGAGATGTCGGTACGGCCAAGGCTTTCATCAAGGGTGCCTTCCCAAAGAGACATGAGGGAGACGACGGCGAGGGTGACGGCAAATACCTGTCTCTGATTAAGGTCAACAACAAGGAGGCTTCCTGGTCCAGCTCTCTCACCCCACACAAGGTGTGCCCAGCCTTTACAAAGGAGCCCGGTAAGCCTGATGCACAGGAGTGGCTGGAACACTTTGGCGTGGCCCCGCTGGAGCGTCTCAAGAAGCTCATGCCCAACTTCGAGTGGGCCTTGAGGGACGTCATTGCTCTCATGATGCTTTGTGGATACGAGAGTGTGATCAAAGGTGTGGGCAAGACTGAGTTCTGCAAGCAGGGTCTCTTTACTGCAGAGGAGTACTCGGACTTTGGATACTGGAACGATCTCATCTACCATAAGATGACGGGGTATGCCGCACCTGTCGCTCCCTACCTGGGTATTCCTTGGGTGAACACCTCCTTGCACAACCTCCTCGAAGCTCCAGAGCATCGTCACCACCGCGATGGTCGTCCTCACCTTGGACTTCTCAAAGAAGGCGATGGACTCCCTGACCCCGATCGCCCACCCAATGCCACGCACTCGCAGAGCCTCTTCGTCTTCTTTACACACAGGGAGGAGCCGCCTGTTGCGCTCGTTGCTCTGGGCATCTGGAACCAGACGACTGTGGGTCCTCTGCCTACCGACCATCGACCGGACAATCGAGTCTGGGTGAGTTCGAAGAGTAAAGAAGCAGGGCGCGCATGCTTTGACTATCAACTGACTGAATGACGATGTCCCTTTCCTCTCTTTCCCCCCTCTCCCGCACAGAAAACAAGCCACGTCCTCCCCTTTCTCGGGCACGTCGCCATCGAGAAGCTCACCTGCGGTTCTCACAAGCACCCAAAAGACTATGCCCGTATCCTCGTCAATGGTGCCGCTCAACCACTCCCGCGTGAGGACCTGGCAGATGGACCGGGAAAATCGTGCAGGATGGAGAGATTCACAGAGTATGTCAGGGAGAGGATGGAGATGTTTGGTGATTTTGAGGGGGCGTGTAAAAAGGCCGAGTAGACGGAGAGGAGAAAGAGGGGGCGTGTGTGACTGTGACTCTAGAAAGCTAGAAGGCTAGAAGATGAAAAATTGGATCGGTTCCGGTTCGCACGTAGGAAATGACTGCATTTCGTTGTACACTCTCAAGATCATAGACTCAATGGCCATCACGTTGTCTTTATCATGAAAACAGACTCGTATGAAGCGGGAATCGATTGTTCATCCAGCGAGGCTATACTGAGGTGAAGAAAAGGAAAGGGGCTCTCCCTTTGGTCAGGAGCTCACACCCTGCCTGATCTTGGTACACCATGGCTCTGGAGAGCATTTAAAAAGAGCTGCTCTCCCTGTCACGCGATGGCTGATCGCTTCGGTCGGCCACCGCGACGGATGGCCAATGACGATGGATGGGGCGCTTGTGATGGCGGCAGGGCCTTGAAGGCCACACCCTCCATACTGCTTCGTCACGCTGGCTGACGGCTGAGGTCCCTAAAAAGGGTCCGACGTGTGGTCCCCTTGCTGAAGCCAACTGAGTAGCTCTCCCCCCTTCATCCTCTCTGCTGATTCGGCCATCCCGGTCCCATTGGCCTCTCCACAGCAGCAGCGTGCTGTAAAGGCGATGCTTGCCACTGCTGACTCTGCCTCAAGTGCTGCCCTTGTTGCTGCTGCTGTTGCATCTGCATCGTCGATGGCGTCCCAAATCCAGCAGAAGTAGACGTTCCCGATCCAGGAGCAGCATTCCAGATCCCATCTCCAGTGGAAGATGCTCTAGGCGAACTCTGCAGAGAGGCATGATGTTGATGACGCACTTCTCCTGGCCCGGGACTCCAGATACTGGCCAGACCTGCCATGGACTGGTGTGTAGGAGTGTGAACGGGCTGACTTGCTCCGCCGCCCAGGCCTCCTCCAAAGAGGAATTGCGATTGCGGTGTCATCGAGAAGCCCTGAGCGTGGTGGGGAGACCCAGTCGCAGAGGGTGCCCTAGAAAGCGATGGCGCAACTGGTGTGCCGTTGGAGACTTCGCGGGCGGGGGGCGTAGCAAAGCCCGACAGATTCGCGCTAGCCGATTGGGGAGTGGGACGACCGTTTAGCATCTGCAGGAACAGATCTTGTGCCGTGGTAGAAGCAGCAAGACCTTCACGTGGCCCGCCGAAGGTGGAAGCAGTGGTAGTCGACGGTGGCGCATAGATGGCAGACTGTGCGCTCTGCTGGGGCGGAGCAGGCTGAAAGCTAGCCAGAGAAGTGGGGGTGTTGCCTATCCCCTGAGAGCCGGGAGTCGAAGCCCCTTGCGCTTGGAACTGCTGCGCATACTGTAGCTGTCGATTGTGGACAGCCGCTGGAATCAGGATCTCATCCTCGTCCTCGGATGCATCTGCGTCGTCGGTGAAGTCTTCAGCACCCTCTCGAGCTCGCATAGCCAGATCAACAACGTCTTCAGTCGCCTCTGAAGTCCCAATCGAGACAGTGTCGTCTCCATCGCCGAGACTTGAGCTCAGTAGCTTCGCCTCAAGTCCGTTGACATTGTTGCCTTGGAGGAGGGTGGGCCCGGCCTTGGGGTGCAAACCGTCCTTGGCCGGCGCCATTCTAAAGGTACCTTTGGCGTCATCGAAGACGATGGGGCTCGCTTCACTCTCAGCAATCACCTTGGCATCTACCAACAAGTCTGCGATACGCATCAATTGCTCTTCATTAGGGTGCAGAGCTCTGTCAGCAGGATTGATCGGCTTGTCGTCTTGCGTCAGCATGCCTCGCCGCGTAGGGATGAATCCTCGAAGATCAGTGTCTTCTTCGAGGGACAATGGCGCAGCACCGGTCGGCCTCACTGTCCCCAGGCTGGGCAAAGCGTCAAAGGGAAACGCATAGCGAAGGGTGTTGGTGAAGATGACGAAAGAGGCCCAGAAGTCCTCAACACGTTGTATCAGAGACAGTTCCGCGGCCGCACAAGCTACTGCTTCTGCGTTGTTCGAGCTGCCCTTCACTGATGCGAAACCTTCGGCAGCCTTTGAGATACATGTTTGTTGGCTCCGATCAATGTAGTCGAGATGGGACTTGATCCACTTGCTTGCAATCCGCGTAGCTGGCAGTACACGACGCATGACAGGAGTCAAGTTCTTGGTTGCTGGAGACTGACCGTCTCTAGCTGCACCCTTGCTGCCAGTTCCGCTTGGCGGCAGCGAAGCGTTCTCCAGCGCAATTCGACTCTGCGTTGTAGCTATGTCAAATAGAGCCTGTGCAGTGGACAGTACGTGATCGAGCAATTGCAGCTCGACATTGAGGGCCAGAGACTGTGCGTCCTCTCTCAGGTTACCTGCTCCTGTCTCGGAAGCCTCCACCTTCTGGGAGCCGTTGGAGTCGCTCTTGCGCCACAGTCTTGCGGTCCAGGAAGCAGCAACCGAAGTCACAAATATGCGCACGATGACATCAGTTGGTAGTATGCGATCGGCCACTGCAGCCTGAAAGGTCTGGTGGAATTGAGCCGACAGTGGTTGCAGTGAAATGAAGCTGTTCAGGGCAGGATGGAAACTCAGTCTCGTTGTAATGTGTTTCTGCTTCGACGCTGTCTCACCTTTTGCGAGTGTAGAAGAGCCCTTGTAGGGCAATGTAAGTCTTTAGGCAGCTTTGCTTTCGCTTCTCATCAGACAGGGGTCTTGCACTACCGGACCCGTCAGCCTCACTGGAAGCCTCGAGGCCGCCATCCTTTGCCCATTCCGTCACTGCTTTGCCCAGCGATGTCCCTAGGTTGATCTTGGCACTTTCGAATGGTACCTTGACACAGAGAGCTCGGTAGTAATGATAGACGGCACCAAACACGTCTCCGCAGTACGCAGAGACGACGGCGAGCTGGTTTGATGGGTTGCCGCTGGAAGGGACAAGCAAGCGAGCAGCTTCGTAACAGGCAATGGCATCTTCAAAATTGCGCTGCTGCGGATTTGGGGAGATGGGGACTGTCGCAGCTTTTCTTCCTCCCCCTCGGTGACCTGAGGTCGGGCCCTTCCTCGATGGTGAGGAATTAGAGGGTTCACGATAGATCTCTCTGTACCTGGCGAGGTCGCCACAGTACACCAGAGCTCTGTGAACAATCTCGATCAGTCGCTCCTTGTGCCGAGGCAGGTTTGCCATTTGCAGTACTGCCGGATCCAATTCTGCAGGGGTGTTGGGTAAACGAGCCAAGCCCGCTGGTTGGCCACCCTCTCCGACGATAGCTCTAGGGCCGATGGGTATCTTTTGGCCACTGGTCGTGAGGCCAGCTCTCTCCAAGGCAGGCTGCGTCTCGGCGAGCCTGAAGACATTGGCCATGCGCTCTGCCAATCCTTTCCAGAAGGCCTCCTCCTTTGCGAGGAGTTGGCGTAGAGCCTCCGACAATTTGCTGTACTCCTGACTTTGAGCTTTTCGCTTCGTCGCTGAGGGGCCTGCTGCCTTTGTGTCATCTTTTGCTGGCGTACTTGGCCGTGATGCGCTTTGCTGCTGCTGCTGCTGCTGCTGCTGCTCCTTCATCTCCTTCTCCAACTTCGACAGCCTGCCCCGATATACGCCGACGACCCTGTGGGTGGTCTCATTCCAGAGTCCCAGCTCAGCCTGATGGGCAGACTTGGTGAATGGGGCATGGAACAGAAGGCGGAGATATGCATTGCGGACCTGATTGCGGGTGAAGGCAAGGTCTGTGGACAATGTCGGCGCAAGGGTCACATTGCGCTGAGATAGCTGCTCCGCCAACTGCCGCTTGAGAGCCTTGAGAGAGACGGACGAGGAGCGAGCAGAAGTCTGGAGAGCAGGAGCAGCCGCGGCCGCAGCTTCCGAATCCGATGAGCTCTGGCTGGCAGATTCACTCTTTGGTGGTGCCATCTAGGCGAGCGGGATGTGTTGGGCAGCAAGAGGGTGAGATGATGCTGCTTACCTTTTTCTGATCATGATTGTCCTCGTTGCTACTTCATCGTCGGAAGCGTAGACAGGATGGTGAGTTCGAAGAGAAACAGGAAGAGGAGCTGGTAGATGGCAAGGAGGTGAAAGTAAAGTGACTCTATAAGAGGGGCGAGTAGGAGCAAAGGTGTCGGTCATGGTCAGGAAGCTCTCCCTCCCTCTCTCTCTCCCGACGCACGACACAGGCCGACGCCGCGCGCGTGGAGCCCCTCTGCCCGTGCGGGCGAGCTCCACTGACCGCCCGCCTTGACCCCTACGGTACGAGGGCATTAAAGCTTCGCACTCTGTAAGGCCCCTGATAGCATCACCTTGCGCTTCCTGACAGGAGGAGAGACCTCGACTATGACGATGACACTGGAAGGATGGGCCCCTTAGAGATTGTCCTTGCCACGATATCCAGGGCGGGACAACCGCGGTCATCTCTAGAGCGGGTGAGTGGCACAGACAAGACGCGCCGGCGGATACTAATTAAAACGCGGCGCGAGAGGGACCCGTGACATCTGACTGTGTCCAGCCTCTTCCTTCGTATGTGTCTGTAGCCATCGCCCTCGTCTTCGTCCGCTAAGATGTGGGCTGAAGCGGCTGCCGTCCTCGCAGGAGAAGATACAGACTTCTGGATCGAGCTTCCTCCGCCGCCGAAGAGGCGACCCACCTGGCGAGAGTACTATCAAAGGAGATCAGGCGCTCCAGACAAGGGCAAGCGCAAGGCAGACTCTCCACACAAGCCTCAGCAGAAGCGCTTGAAACAGCTGACACTAGTCTTTGGCTCCCCAAAGCCCCCCTCTGCACCGGCGAGTGGCAGTACAAGTCAGTATGGCCTGCACTCAGGGACCCAACCTTCATTGTCAGGCCCGCTTGCTGAAGCAGCTACTGCGCCAGTACCGGGTCCAAGCTCACGGAAAGACCGATCGAAGCAAGTCGTAGCACAGATCAACCCACTGCGACCATATTATACACACCCCGAGAGCTGGGACTATCCCCCTGACGCGGACCAATCTCTCTTCGTCGAGCCCCGGCAGCCCTCTGCCTGGTATGGAGATCAGAAATGGCAGCTCACCCATCGCATCACACCAAAATCTGAAGGCTTGCTCTGTCCCTGGACCATCAAGCCAAGACCAAACCTGTTCACCGAGGCAGAACTTTGTGGCAGGGCCTTCATATCGGTCGAGCTGTTGCTAAAGGTGGGCATGACAAGGCGACCAAGTAGCCCACTGCCTTCACTGACCATCATTCCGCCTCTCGAAACTTGCCTCACTTCCACCCCAGCATATCGAGCGCTGTCACTTCAGCAGTACTACGGAGCGTCTCCTCACCTGTAGATGGGACAATTGCTCCCATAGAACCTTCAGCAGTCCTGGCCCTCTGCGGGAACACATCATGGACAGACATACTCGTCACTTGGGTTGGGGGTGCCCTTTTCAACAGTGCAGACTGTCAACTAGTATACCCCGCGACAATTGGCAAAGCGACCAGCACATCGACAAGGCTCACGATGAGATGTACGAACCTCTGCGGCCCCTCGCGCTACCCCGACCTGCTGGGCTGCCCACTCCGACATACTCTGCCGACTTCAGAACCTTGCAGCCCGCGTGGACCTTATTACTGGCCTGTCCCAAAGCCAGCTCCCGGCAGCATAGCAAGCCGCTACCTTCACAGATTCACCAGCCTCCTGCAGCTGCTGCTGGCATGATCGGGACAGTCCCGCCTGTGTTCGAGCCTGGCTGCCATCCCTGGAACGTCATGCATCCAATCTTGGACGATCTGGAGCCTCATGCTGTTCCTCTCTTCGGTCTCGAGCCACTTGGTCAGGAATCTTGGATCGACGTCGAAGAGCTCACATCAGAGGAGCGAGCAGCACCGGAGATTGCAGATCCAGTCAAGTCCCCTGACATTGCCGAGGAGCCCGTGGATGTTCTTCTTGACCCATGGGACGACCCGAATGACGTCGACTATGACGAAGACCTATCGAGCGGCTTTGTTACCCCACCGTTGCCGCCGGACCACTTCGATGCACCCGAAGCAGCTGTGATCAGCTCAGCCCTATCAAGAGTGACAGGTGACAGGAAGGAGGTCCTCGTTCAGACGGATCAGATTGGTATCGAGGACACGAGCGTAGATGCTGCTGCCTCGGCAAGAGCAGATAGCGAGAATCACTTGGCAGACCCTAGCAGCGCAAGGAGCCCAAGTATTGGCTACAGCGGCACTGCTGCAATACCGAGTATTGTACCTTCTGGACTGCAACCCTCTCAGCGCGAGGGTGAGCCATCCGAGAGCAGAGAAGCCGGTGTGCAAGCCGGACAGAGCATGACTGTCATGAGCAAGACTTCGAAAGAAGCTTCACAGGTGACAGGAAGTGACATAGTCTCTGTGGACCCCAAGATCATGGCTATGGAGCCAGTAGAAGTGCCCACTTCTTCCGATCTTCCGTCTGCTGCCGCCGCTGATGACGGGGAAGGGCTTTCAAAGCCTCTCGAAAGCAGCGAAGCCCAAGTGCAAGCCGATGGCGACCCTACCTTCACGCTCGCTGCTGCTCCGAAGGAGGTACGCTCCTCCACTCCTCCACCGCCATATACCTATTGACCAGATGCGGAAGATTGGGAGGTCCGTACGCTCCAGCCAGTGTTAGTAAGAGCTGGAGCGAAAAAAGGCTTGTTGTGTCGTGTCCCTTCTCCCTTTTCCCTGTTGCTCCCCTCCTCCCCTCTGATGCCACTGTACAACTACTCACAACAGCGCTGTTGCACTCTCGCGCCCTCGCAGGCGCCCTCGCAGGCGCCGGCGCCAACTCCAGCTTCAGCTCTCAGCATACCACGGGTCGCTCCATCTCATCTCGTCTCGTCTCGTCTCGTCACGTCTCGGTATCACCAGCCATACCTGTCATCTGCACCTGCCCCCTTCATACCAATGGCTGCATGGATCCTCCATGTGTACCCAAGTATTGTCCATTGCTCAACGCTCGAGAGATTCTTCGACTTCGACGAGTAGTCTCAGACAAGAGTGTGCAGTGTGTTGTTTTGTATTGGGTGAGATGAGTCGCTCGCTCGCTCCCCCAGCTGAGGGTGAATGATTAACTCGGGGTTTACACGAGAAGCGCCCCATCAAGTCCAGATGCCCCTGCCATGACAATGACAACCTAGCCATCTTATCTCTTTCTCTCCCCCTATCCTCTCCTCGGCTTCAGTGTCCACTACCAGTCCCTCCCTTGCCAGCATTATTCAATCTAGTCTTAAAATCGACTTTTGGGCTTCCAAGTCCCACTCCAATGGTGCTCATCGATGGCCCTGTACCCGCAGCGCGAGAAGTTGGAGAAGGGCTGCGAGCATCGCTGGATTGAGAGATAGTGGCAGATGTAGAGGGGTTGAGCGTCGCTGTCGACGTCGAGCGCGATCTTGAGTCTGGAGAGGGTGAGGGGGAAGGAGGAGTGCCGATGGCTAGCCCGAGACCCTTTTCGGAGGTATTCGTATTCTTTGCGAGGGACTCGACACTCTCGTCTCCGAGCTTAGGCTCTGCATTGCCCAGCTTCGTGCTCGTTTCTCCAGCGGTACCGCTCGTGGCACTGGCGCTGCTGTTAGCAGCAGGGGCGGCAGGCGGAGCATCGACGATCTCTACCTTCTCCTCCATGAGAGCCCTGCGCACCCATCTCCTCCTTCGCGTGTACTTGCCCATGCCACTCTTTGAGCCCATCTTCTCCCAGGAGTTGTCGCCGTACCGCCAACCGCTGCTGTCTGTTTCTTCCTCCACCTCGCCCTCTTCGAAAGACGAGAGACGACGCTGCTCGTTGAACGGAGATGGGGGAGAGGTGAGGTGGGGGTCCTCGCTTGGCTTGTCGGAAGAGGTTGCAGAGGCTTCAGAAGCCCTTCTTTTGAAGGAAGAGAAGAGCGTAGGAGCACCACTAGGCGATGCTGGTAGGGCGCCCGAAGGCCCTCTTGGAGAGCCAGCGGCAGAGGCAGTAGGGGTTGCCTCGCCAGTACCATCACCTAGGACCATCCTGCCTCCCTCGCCGACCACCACATGCCACTCGTCTTCGTCCCAGCTCCACTTGACTGTACGCTTTTCCCACTTGCCCCCTTCCGTCTGCCTCGTAGACACACTTTCCGCAGGAAGCGTAAAGCTAGCGGGTGGACTGACCGGGCCAAGGCTGGAGTCTGTCCATGAAGCGCGCTCCTGAGGTAGCAACGCGGCCGTCCAGTCCAAACCAACCCACCACCGCTGATTTTCAAAGATCTCGAAGCGGTAGTGAACGGTATTGGTGCGAACTTGGGACTTGGAGGAAGATTTGTTGGCGAAACTTCCAGAGCCTGGTGCTCCTGCCGTGCTAAGGTTGTATCTAGAGAGATCGGATCCTGCTTGGCCTCCCAGGTAGCCTGCAGAGGTGATTCTCAACACAGCCCGGACGGTCCAGCGAACGGTGGCACTCTTCCAGAGGGCGTAGCGCACCAAGGTCGCGTACGTTGAGCACCACGAGAGGGCGACCAGGCCAAATGTCAGAGCGACGTGAGAAAGCCTCAGAGAGAAGAGCGGGAAAGGCGGAAAGACCGTAATGCGCAGAGAAGAGGGAAGGACCCTGGAGAGTACGCGCGAGTTGACGAGTCTCAAAAAGCCCACTGTCTTCAGGAGGGCCTGGTCGACCTGCGGAGGAAGTCGAGCCTGCAACTTCGAAACGTATGTATCTCTGCCAAAGTTGGCGGCGATGAACGCACCCCGCCCGCCCAGGCGATAGGTCTGTTGCAAAGGGAGGACCTGAATCACCTGTCCCCAGGCTGCAGGCCAATCAGCGAAGCAGATAGTCCAAAGCGAGCCCAGCGTAAGGCAGAGCACAGCGACACCAATGGTCACGCCAGGCCCACTGGGGTGTTGCCAGGTGAGCGCTTGCCATGTCGGCAATACGAGTCGGGCGTGCAGCGTCGAGGAGACGTCGAGAATGTCAGAGACCTTCTGTAGCTGCTTCTGCGTCTGTGCCTGCGTCAGGGTCTGTACCGCAAACGTGGGCACGGAGCCTATCGTCCCTGTTGCCTTGGCTTTGCGACGAGACGATGGCGGAAGTAGCATGTTGGGTATCGCCGAGCAGAGAATGACGGAGAGTAAGATCAGCTGAGGGGCGTACCGAAGGAGCGGGTAGGCGAAGAGGCAGATGGCCGTCCAGACCAAGAGCATGAGCGTGGAGCGCGTTCCCCCTCCTGATGGTCCAGTCCATGTGGCGAGCTGGATGAAGTCGTGGAGACCATTGATGATGGGGCTGGACAGGGAGAGGAGGCGCAGGATGGAGGGCGGCAAAGTGTGAGGAGACACGCCGGCGAAGCGGTCATTGGGGTGCGTCGCAGAGGTGGCCGCTGCCAATGCCGCTTCGGAGGCGCTTGTTGGCAGCTGCTTGCCGGCAGCAGGTGGTGAAGTAGCCGCAGCCATGACTCTACCCAAGCCTTGGAAGAGATGGATGTGGTTCGACGTGGAGTGTGAGGATGGGTGAGGAAGAGAAGGAAGGCGGGGTGGAGGGGCGCCAGGTCTGCCCTGACGCCTCGCTTGGCCGGGTGTGGCTGCCCAACGCCGCGTGAAACGGCAAAGGCGGGGGAAGACACGGAAAGGGAACATTGGCAGCGGGAAGCGAGGCGGACGACGACGATCACATCCAACACCGTCCTTCCGCGGATACCAGCAACTCAACAAACACACGCACACCGCCCAAGATGGAGCAAACGGCGCCAGCAGAGCCAGACCCAATGGCTCTGAGCGCAGTCATGAGTGATGGCATCCAGGGAAAGCGCAGGAGGAATGCCTCACAGGAGGGCGGCGTAGATGCTTTCCAGGCGGTATCATCCAGTTCCGCACCAGAGCTCGAAGAGGACCAAGGTGGAGTGAGTATCATCATAGGCTGGCATGGGCTTCATCGTAGCCGCTGCAATACTTTGCTGACTACTTTCGCGGACTTGTAGCCCAAGAAGAGGATAGCGATCGAGGCTCCCCGGAGTACTTTTGCCGAAAGCATCAGCACCCTCGAATCGGGGGGTTCCAAGACTTCCCTGAGCGGCACTTTGCCCTCTTCCGACATCGGCATGGCCTCGAGCTCGGGCGAGTCGATGCAGCCTCTTGCTGCAATGAACGGTATGTCTGTCTCAGCAGCGATACCATCTGCATCATCCCTTCCAGTGGATGCAATACTCGGCACTCCCTCTGGGCTCACCACGCCCTCGCCCAAGGAGGAGATGTTTGAAGAAGAAGCGGAAGAAATCTTCGAGTCGCCCTCCCTCGTGCCCCGAATCGGCGGATGGATTGTACCACGCCCTTCTGCGAATGCACAGGAGCCTAGATTGCTCGTGCCCGCTGGCGCACCTGAAGACCCAGACGACCGGCCTCTCCTCAGCCACGGAGGATCTACCTCAGCCGGCTCCTCCAGCTTCCGTGATCGGCCCTGGATCGAAGAAGTCCGAGCTAGGGAAGCAGCTGAGGAGCTAGAAAGGATTGAAAAGGAGAAGGCGGCAGTTGAAGCTAAGAGCCGCATCGTAGAGCCCTCGCCAGTGCCAGTGCCTCCTTGCAATCTCACGTACCCGCCTTGGGCAGGTCTCACCATGGTCGAGGCTCGCACGCGCATAGTAGAAGCATTGCAAGATCGGTCGAGCACTATTCCTTCATTCCTCAAGACAGAACTGGAGCACTTCGTGTCATTAGCATCAGCTCCACTGCCGAAGAAGATACCCCGCCGGCCGCTACCACCTCTTGAAGCCTTGCCTAAGCTCAACCAAAGGCCTCTGTGGGCTGTCCAACTTGTGGAGAGCGCCGATGACGAGTCCAATTCATCGAACCCGGTATCACTCCTGCTCGTGTGCTCTATTTCCACCCGAACGTTCGACGTCGTCGCCGTTCCTCCCATGCTGGCAGCTCGAATGCATGCTGGGGAGGCCATGAGCCCCTGGTGGTACGAGCAAGAGGATGGCAAGGGGAAGCGTAAGCGACTGGACGACGGCAGCTTCAAGCAAGACAAGTCCCCGCAACAAGAGGAGAAAGCGACGAAGGAAGGAGAGGGAATTCCACTCACTCCATCGATGCCGGAAAGCGAGGCTGTACAGCTTCTGCAGACCTCACTGACCTCGATGACTGGAGAGCGTGACCAGCTTCGAAAAGCCAACAAGCGGCTGGAGGATCGTATATCCGCCGAGCAGTCTACTGTCGAGGCTCTCACCGAGCAAGTCGCCCTTGCACGATCGCTATACAACCAAGCATCTACCGCTGCACGAGAGGCCGTGTCCGAAGCCACTGCCTCAGAGGAGCAAATCGAAAAGCTGACCAGGCAGCTTCGAGATGGTCTCGCAGCCCAAGCAGAACGCTACCGTCTCGGAAGGGAGCAGTGGCTCGAGGAAGAGCGTCAGCTGCGCGACCAAGTCCGTCTTCTCAAGGGCAGTGCCGAACTGGAACAAAAGGGAGAATTGCGCAAACGCGTCAATGATTGGCATGCATGGAATTTGGGTCAAGAAGAGCGGGAGAGGCTACGTAAGCAGCGAGAGGAGCGGGCTAGAAGAGAGTGGGAGGAGGAGCAAGCTGCTGAGCTCGCTGCTCTGCGAGAGGAGGAAGAAGAGGAGCAAGCAAGACAGAGTGAGCTCGCTGCGCTCGGCAGAGAGGCTGAATCAGACTCTGAGCTGGCCCAACAAGGGACCTATGCGACTTCTGGACCTTTTGCCTTCGACTTCCCTCCCGAAGGAGCTTCCTCCTCCTCCTCGCCGCCCGGGGGACTAGGAGATCTGAACGGTCAAGCGGCTGCCACTTCGGCTATGATGGCCTTGCAGCACCAGGAAGCCTCACGCCTACTACGTCAAGCCCGACAGCAAGAGCAAGCCCAAGCCCAAGAGCAGGGAGAGCAGGATAGCGACGAACGGATGAGTCTCATGGGAGTAGATGGCCACGGCGACTCTTTCGGATCTAGACATGGCTTGGGGTCGAGTCGACGCAGCTCTAGTCCCATGGGCAGACTTGTAGTAGAGAGGCGCGACCGTCCTGCGCCAGACGAAGATGAGCTAGCCCGACTGGCACTCATGGTCCATCCTCCTTCCACGGCGGGCATCGGAGGTGCTGCTCAAGGCTCCACGGGAGGTTCTGCTGCCCTAGACAATAGCAGTCTTCGTCTTGCCGAGGAGTTTGAGATGTTCGAGGATCGGGAGAATAGGCAAGGGATGCTCCACCTGGCAGACCATTCCAGCGATGCGGACTTTTTACGCCAGTCGGGAGCTGGACTTTTTGATGCAGAGCCAGAAGTAGGGGCGACGGAGCCGCAAGGAGCGCAAGTGAATGGCTTTGTAGAGGGGGAGGAGAAGGGGGAGCAGGAGGGAGTAAAGGTCGATGGTCAGCTCGGAGGAGCAGAGGGAGCCATAGAGGTAGACGTCGATGACTACCTTGTCAGTAGTGCTGGAGACCAAGGCATCAACGGCACCTTGTAAGAGTTCCTCTCATTTCAAGAGCAATAGAGCGATACCCTACGCGACCACGCGACCGCATCTCAACATGTGCGCCCACTCTTGTGGATGGCTGCAGTCGTGATGATGGACCGAGGAAGAAAGAGAGAGGGCCGTAATCGAGCGAGAACCCAGAGGGCTTTTGCGAAGCGATGTTACATTAATTTAGGTGATGTACAAGACGTTCCGATGGATAAGTAATCTACAAGAGATGCTGTTGTTACACTGACGCCCTTTGCTACCCTACTCTACTGATCTGCCCCTTCTACCGCGTGGTCCCCTCGATCTAGAGACTGTCCTCGATCGGGACCGCGAGAGCGACCTCAGTGGCAATCTCGGTGATTGTCTCGGTTCATATGTGTAGAGTCTGGCATCGGGCATCTTCTCCTTGAGTGATCCCATGTGTTCCGCCAAGCAGGGAGAATGAAAGAGCTCCCCCTTGCAGACTTTTGCGAGGGTCATTGCGCTTACTGCCATCCAAAGGAGGACAACGATGAGGCTGAGGATGGTACCGATGATACGAAAGGCGCCAGAGTCTAGCTCGAGACCGAGTTGCAGAGTGGCGCTGGCAAAGACGCCTAGGGGAAAGGTGAGGCCCCACCAGCCTAGGTTGAACTTGAGCTCGGAGACCCACCAGAGGTCGATGAATAAGCTCACGGCCAGGACTAGCCAGACGAGACCAAGGCCCCAGAGGACTAGAGCGGCAATGACCGATACGGCATAGATGCTCGTTGCCATCACATCTGCGTCGGCTACCGTCGCTGCGCTCTGCCCAGCGAGGGACTGACCGGTGATCTTGCTCAGCTTCCAAAGGACAGAAGAGAGCTTCATCAGCCCAAAGGCGCCTTGACCGCATGGTCCCAAGGGAAGAAAGCCAGAAATGATCAGCGCCGAAGGGGGGAGTTTGTATATGGCAAGTCTCAGATAGTAGAGAGCCATTAGAATGAAAGCCATGGGCAGGCCGGTGCCCAACATGATCCAAGAAACGGTCAGTGTCAGACGCGCCTGTGAAGGAGAGAGGATCTCTGCAACAATACCGCCGCTGCTTCCGGCGACGATTGTAGAGACGACAGGCAGCAGCCATACAGCTGTGATTCCATCGAGCTTTTGCTTGTGTCTGGTGAACTGCAGAAAGGGCAGTCCTATGCAGATCAAGATTGACACTGCTGCCTCGATCCACCATAGCGTCCAAGTGAAGATGACGAAGCCGTGGCCCCAAGCTGGGGCTGCGCTGAGAGCGCACATGTTCACAATTGTTGTGAAGCCCATTGCGAATGTGCCGAGGAAGAGGGATTGAGAAGGATGGAAGAGCATGAGCTTAAAGAGCTTGGGCCAGACGATGTAACGCGCCAGGCTGAGAGAGACGAAGAGGATGAAGAGAACTATGTTGAGGACGAAGATGATGTTTGATATTGTCCGAAGACCATTGAACTGATACGGTAAGCTCCATAGTAGGATAGAGACGATTCCCGTCCCCACTGCAAAGTATGAGAGGAGAAGCAGTCAGTACGGTGCTAGGGTGGCGTCAGGGCCTTCTTGCGGTACTCACTATTCACCGAGAACCACGACGGAGTGAAATTGAGAACAGTATGACGGATGAGAGTTTTGAGTCGAGACGACGACGTTGCCTTCTCTCCCTTGGCAGGTGCTTTCAGAGCCGTCTGACCCGGCGGAGGAGCACCCGGCCGTCCTCGTGTTTGCTGCTCCACCTCATGCTTGATGGCGCGAGGTGGCTCATAGTCTGCGAACTCGTCGCTGGGAGCCAGCGTCACGGCCTGACTCTCAATGTCCTCCCTGACGGTAGCCATGCGCCGTAGAGGGGAGGTCATCGTGATACTACCCCTCCTACCTGTCTTGTGGAGTGAATGAGGAGAGGAGAGAGGTATGGTGAGCTTGACGGAAGTGAGTCAGTTGATCGGCGAATGTGTCACGATCAGTGTGAGTTAGGGGGTAAAACACGTGGTATTGAGAAGGAGAGTGGGTTTTGAGAGATTGGTACAGGAGTAGAAATGTGACAGCAAAGGAGACCAGCTCTTGTGAGCTGGCGAGCGAAAATTACGTAAGCGGGGAGTGCACGTGACAGTCCTCCTTTTCGCTAGACGGCTCTCAAGAGCTCGTATCGCTATCAGTGGTTGGGAGGGGTGGGGTGAAGAGTGAGTAAGGAGAACATCGAGTGATTCTGACACGTCTCAAGCCTCCTGAGTCGGTCCAGCCGAATCAGTGCCTTTAGGCTTCTCTGCTGCATCTCTTTCGACTAGATTTACTGCGCTGCAGAAATCTGAGACCCTGGGTCCCGGTAGTGGCTTGGTCATTGCATCTGCCACATTCAACTTGGTGGGGATCTGATGGACACCGATCGTCTTGTCCTCCACGAACTGCACTATGGAGTGGTACTTGATGTCTAGATGTTTAACCTTCGTGTGGCTGCTACCTTGTCCTCTACAGTTTGCTACTGCAGTGGCAGAGTCTGTGAGGATAGGTAATGGTTTCGAGATTACCGTCTGGTTCTCGAAGGGTAGGAATGCTTCATTGATGAGACCATGGAATATGATCATCCTTCTAGAAGCGTCTGAGAGTGCAATGTACTCAGCGTCGAGGGTGGACAGTGAGACTGTGGTCTGCAGTCGAGAGGACCATTGGACCAACATTCCTTCTACGGTAAGGATGAACCCTGACGTTGACTTCCGTGAATCATGACAGCCAGCATAGTCTGCGTCTGAGAATCCGACAATCTGAAGGGGCAATCGGTTGGCATCGCTAGACATCCTGGCGCTAGTGTAGCCCAGTGTTTGTAGGGGTACCGATGCTATCTCATCATCGCTGCGTCTCTTGCGTCTGTAGACCAGGACAAGGTCGATTGTGGCTCGTAAGTATCTGAGAAGATGTTTGACCGCATTGAAGTGAGCTGGGCCAGGTGAGCTTGAGTATCTTGCTAGCTTGCCTACAGCGTACGCGATATCGGGCCTGGTGACCTGGGCCAGCCATAGAAGTGACCCGATCATGATGAGATATTCGATCTTAACCTCCTTAGGTACCTCAGTCCCATCCTCAGGGGTGTATACCGTCAGTCTGACATTTGGGTCCATCGGGGTCTTGACCGAATGCTTTGAGCCATGGTCGAACCTGTCTAGGAGTGCCTCAATGTATGGACGTTGATGTAGGAACACAGTGTCTGGTTCATTAGCGGGTCTCTCAAGAATGATTCCTACGAAGGAGCAGTTCGACTCTGACACGGTCATATTCCAGAGTGATTCTAGTGTTTCCTTTGCCCATTCGAGTGTCTTATCATCCTTGGCGATGATGAACAGGTCGTCTACATAGACGCAGATGATGGTACCATTCCCATGGATGAAGATAGATGCGTCGTAGGTCGATGGAAAGAAGCCTTCCTTCTTCAGTTCGTGGTTCAATCTCAGGTACCATTCTCGTCCAGATGCCTTGAGACCATAGAGGCTTCTCTCTACCTTGAAGACGTAGTTCGGGTGGTGCTTGTCAGCAAATCCAGTCGGTTGAGACATGTAGATCTCGTGGGAGTTTTCTCCATTGAGGTATGCTGAAACCACATCCATCATGACGATTGGGTAACCCAATTGGACGGCCATGGCTAGCAGAGCTCGAAGAGTCTCCAACCTCGGCAGGGGGGTGAATGTTTCGTCGTAATCGATGCCATACTTCTGCATGTACCCTTGGGCGACGAGTCTGGCTTTGTATCTGATGACCGTTTTCCCATCGATGTCATACTTCTTGACGAGAACCCACTTACAACCGACCACGTTCTTCTCAGCAGCATCTGTGGGTGAGACAAGACTGAAGGTTCGCATCTCGTGGAGGGTATCTAGTTCCTTCTGCATAGCCTTCTTCCATTCTGGCCATTCTGGCGTCTCCATGACTTGCTGAAGGGACATGGGAACTCCTTCTAGTGAGATCTTTGTCTCTCGTTTCTTCTTGTTGAGTGCAGAAGTCATGAGGTTACAGAGTGAATCCTCTACGCCGTTAGCCATGAAGACGTCAATGGGAATGCTGTTGACTAGGGTCTCGAAGGACAACGCGTGGTACAAGGCACTGTTATGCTCATCGGTCTCATCCAGTTCTAGATCCCTGAACGTGGACACGGCCTTGGCGTGGAAAGCTTGATTCTGGAAGAACACTTCCTTGGCTTTGTCTGCTGAATTCCTCGCTGAGTTGTATTGCAGAGTGGAGGCATAGATTTGGTTGACCATATTGACTACATCGGGCTTGGTCTTCTGTTGCTTGACGTTGTTGGTGGCGACGAAATCGAACTTTCCTTGGTACTCAGGTGGAATGCCGCGTGTGCGATGGGACTCTCTGGTAGCTTCTTGGTCCTTTGATGATTGACCCGTACGTTTGGCCTTACCCTTGGTAGGTGGAGGATTTGGATTGTCCTCCTGAGAAGGACCAGCGGTGACTGCTGGGGGAGACGAGGGCAGAGGTACGTCTTGAGGTGCAGATGGTGGATCAGGTGGAGGAGTGGTCCTAGGTGGGGTTGATGGTGGAGCTTCTACGATTGGCCTGGATACGTGTCGATCATCTTCCTGGCCTCGATCAGACGATGGGCTAGGAGTATGAACAGGGGTATTCGGGGGGGAGGTTGGCCCCTGCTGGGTAGCGCCTTCTTGATGACCGTCGATTAAGGTCTGGTTCCTGACCCTCTCGTAGTCGAATGGATCGAGCTCCATTGACTGGGAGAGTTCATTCATCGAGTTCATCCTTCTGAGCTCATCATCTGTCGTTCTCCAGTATGACCCCTCATCAAATTCTACCTCTCGACATACTCGGTGAGTACCAAATGTCGGAATCCAAATGAGGTAGCCATTCGCGTTCGATGCAAAGCCTACGAATACTCCAGGTACTGCTCTCGCAGCGAGTGGTCCTCCATCTCGTTGTGCCTTTTGTAGCATTGGGAACGCAACACAGCCAAAGACCTTGAGCTTGGATAGATCTGGCTTTCTGCCATGCCACTTCTCGTAAGGTGATACATTTCCAAGAGAGGAGTGTCCGATTCGATTCTTGATCCAATTCGCGTGTGCTAGGGCATAGTTCCAGAAGAGAATCGGCAGTCTTGACGCCTCCAGCATCAAGCGTCCTTGTTCCTTGAGGTCCTTGATGATCCTTTCTGCTCTTGAGTTCTGCTGTGGGGTGTGGGGAACAGTGAATCGCGTAGCGATGCCAAGCTGTTCGCAGAAACCAATCATGCCTGGATGATTGAACTCGTTGTCAGAGTGAAGCATCTTTACCCTTCTGTCAGTCTCAGCTTGCGCGTTGGCCAAGAAGGATTGGATAGCTCGGGTGAGGTCGGTGTGCTGTCTTGACGAGAGGAAGTAGATCCAGGATCGTCGAGAGTAGTCGTCGAGGAAGACAATGAAGTATCGGTGACCCATGATGGATTCTGGGAATGGTCCGGCAAGATCTACGTGTACTAAATCTAGTACATCCTTTGCTGAGTGGAGGTTCTCCTTGAACACTTCACGGGATCTTTTCATCATCGCACAGACCTCGCAGAATGGTAGGTTCGTTGCTCTAGTGAAGGTGCTGGGTAATCCTGTCGTGGAATCTGCGATCTTGTGTAGTGAAGTCCTGCCGACGTGACCGAGTCGTTGGTGCCATTTCATAGCTTCGGCACCATCATGGATAGCAGCCAGATATAGCGGGTCAGAGTCTTGTCTGGATTGATAGTCTTGTGTGACCGAGAAACTGAGGATCTCAGAGGTAGGAATAAGTGGCTTGATGCTAAGAACATACGATCCATCTAGGAATCGTGCAATAGCCCTGAAGACCTGCTTTCTGTCAACGACAAATGCGTTGTCACCATCAAATTCTGATCTGAGTCCTTTGTGTGCGAGTTGATTGACGGAGAGGAGATTGACTTTGAAATCCGGAACATGAAGGACATGAGTGACGAGAATCTTCTTGTCAAGAGATGTGAAGAGGATATCTCCAACGCCTTTGATGGGAATGAGTGCGCCAGAAGCTACACGGCAGTTGTCTGGGAGATGATCGCCCTTTTCTTTCTCTCGATAGTAGATGAAGGAAGATCTAGGGAAGCAAGTTGTGTGAAGGGTAGCACCCGAGTCTAGAATCCATTTGCCCGCATTCGCCTGGGAAGGGGAGGTCTTGGTGCTGAGACAGTCAACTGTAGTTAATCGTCCCTTGTTATCCGTACCTCCTGCCTCAGCACCAAATTCCTAACAGGAGTAGAAGTCAGGACTGTTTGTGTCCTGGTTGGGTCGCTGCTGGTTGGTGAATACCGATGGTTGGGGAGAGCCCCATGCATTGAAGTAGTGAGCTTGAGCAGCGGTCGAATTCTGCTCTCGTCGCAGGGCGTTGTTGCGGAATCTTTCTCGAGCAGCATTGCCTGCGGCCTTGTAGGGACAATCGTTCGAATAGTGTCCTGTTTCTCCACAGTGGAAACAACCGTCATCTTCAGTCTGTTGTTTCTCCTGTTCCTTTGGTTTGGGTTGGATCTTCTTGACTGCGTTCGAAGCGTTGATCAATGGCGACGTGTCAGGGGTGACAGGCATGTAGTTATTGAACTGAGTAGGGTTGACGCTCTGGACCAGGTTGGTGAGCATCTCTTGTTGTGGGCGGAAACCTTGCATGCCTTGCATGTGATTGGGCATGCCGTAACCAAAGTTCATGCCGCCAGGCATTCTTCGAGTGTAGTCTACGTTGACGAGTTGTGCACAGATAGTCTCATAGTCGTATCTCTGAAGACCAGCGAGGATGTTGCCATCGATCTGACTCAAGGTATCCTGGAGGAGGGGTGACTGTCGAGCAATTCTAAGAAGTTCGTTGACCTTGTAGCCCGCATCGAATGGGTAGTTGCTTCCATTGAGTTTCTCTTGGAAGATTCCGTTGAGTTGGTCAACGGCATCTGAGAATGGCTTGTTGACATCGAGCACGAAGTTGCTGATCTTGGTTCGCGTGGATCGATCAACTGTGACTTCATTAGGAGTAGAATCCTTCTTGATCCTCGCATACATGAGTGAACCTAGACGGAGTGGTCCAGCATTGAGCAACTTTGCTTGCATCGCCTCAGTGAGAGTGCTAAAGAGGTAGCTTCCAAGCTCCTTGTCCTCCTTGAGTCGCATTTGTTCTGCGACTTTCTCGCTAGCCAGTTGGGCTGGAGTGTTGCCTACTGCTGGAGTACCGTAGTATCGTCTGTATGCTTCAACACTGCCTTCGATCGTGCCGTCCAGAAGTCCCTCAGCTCTGTCGTGATTGATGATGGAGAGGGGGTTCCTCATCGCGATGTCCCAGAGGGAGTAATTATTCTTGTTGAGCTTAGTGACATTGTGGCCGTTTCGAAGTAGATTGATGTACTCATTGTCGGTGTCAATGCATGCACCTATAGGGATCATCTCAAGCTTGAGTTTATCGCTTTCGCGACGGGGGCCGGTGGGAATGGGAGAGGACATCTGGGAAGACATTTCGACAATTGAGACAGGTGTGGGAAAAACAACGGGGTTTGCTTTCGAAAGGTCAACCAAGGACACAGTCGAGAAGCGTGGACGATCCCAGCACTGGTCTGGCTACCGGATCGGGAACAAACAATCAGAAACAGTTGGTGGGGCGACCTTGACTCTTAATCTGTCACGATCAGTGTGAGTTAGGGGGTAAAACACGTGGTATTGAGAAGGAGAGTGGGTTTTGAGAGATTGGTACAGGAGTAGAAATGTGACAGCAAAGGAGACCAGCTCTTGTGAGCTGGCGAGCGAAAATTACGTAAGCGGGGAGTGCACGTGACAGAATGACTTCTGGGTGCAGCTCGCGGCTCACGCGGAAATCACTTCTGGAGGCAGAATCTGTATTTACCCACGGCAGCCTCGCAGCCAAATGACAAGTACGATACACCACCAGATGTGGATGATCATGAGCGCAGTGAGGCCTCTATGACTTCTGACAACATGTGAGCTCCACCTTCTTGCCCGAGCGTCTTCCATGGCAGGAAAGAGTGACGAAAACATCGAGTAATATGTATCGGGAGCTGCAATTCATCCATCTGGCCCCCGTTTCCACAGCTACTATGTCATCTATGCTCCCCACACCAGAAGGTGGAAGAGCAGACTAGCATGAGTATAAAAGGGCGGGTTTGGGAAAAGGGAAAGGGGGTGGGAGAGGGGGAAGGGGTGGTCGCAGCAGCAAAGGCAGTGAGAAGGGTTCAACAGAGGCAGCTGCGGGGTGCTGACATTGCAGTGGTCCCCGCCAGTCACGGCACACATGCACGCTATCGGAGAGTGAGCGCTATACGACGCATGGTCATTGACGTCTTGAGGAAGATGTGGTGGTAAAAGTCTGAGGGAAGAAGATGGTGATCAAGGTTGCACAAAAGAGGAAAACGGGCCCGGCTACGCGGATGCACCGACGCGCGCACACGGCCTCGGCTCGGAAATTTGAACAGGGACGAGAAAGATTCCCTTTCCGTGGGTGCGTCTTTCGCAGCCAACGCCTGGAGACCACCATCACCAACCGGAACCATACTCACAGCGTTCCTCGCAGCTACCTTCACCCTTTCCCTTGTCCTTCACCCACCATGCCGAAAGCACCCACTTCAAAAGGCAAAGCTCGTTCTTCTGCCCGCTCCGGTCCCTCCTTCACCTCTGCTCCCCCTTCACGGAGTACCGCTCTTCCTGTGCAGCTCAAGGCAGACGACCAGACTAGCAAGTTCGGTACCGTCAGTCAGGTCGGGCGTAGGAACAAGAAGAAGGGCAAGCGGACAGACGACGACAATGATGATGCAGCCGGGGACGCAGTAGCTTCCACCTCGGACGCTGCAGGCAGTGGCTCTTTTGTCACCGGCGGGAAAGCGGGAGGAGCTAGGACGGAGAAGTACGTGGATAAACGGCTCAGTGGGAAGATTCTCCGACTGGCTAGGGAGCAGCAAGAAGAGATTGAAAGAGAGGAGGAAGAAGCGGAAGAGGCGCTCGCTCTAGGTGCGGAGAGCAGCCGGCAGGCGAAGCTACAACAGCATCGATCTGCCTCTGGGATGATGCCCATGGACGATGACGAGGCAGGGGACTCGAGCGATGATGGGGAGCTGGAGGAGCTACCCTCTGACGAAGAAGAATTCGAATACGAAGGAGTCGAGATCGACCCAGAGGATGCCGAACTCATGGAGAGAATGAGGGAAGATAGGCTGAATGAGAATGGCGAAGCTGGAGGGCGGAGGACACTGGCTGATATGATCATGGACAAGATTGAAGCAGCAGGCGGTGACAGAGAAGTAGGCGCGGAAGCCGAAGACGATGATGGCCTCGTCCATGGAATGAACCCCAAGATCGTAGAGGTCTATACAAAGTGAGTAGTACTCGCAGTCCCTGGTGTATGTCCACGTTTGCTCACTTCAGTCTCTTCTCGATTGCAAACCTGTCAGAGTCGGCGAGCTTCTGTCGCGCTACAAGTCCGGACCCCTGCCGAAAGCCTTCAAGATCCTACCATCTCTGCCGCACTGGGAAGTGGTCCTATCCCTCACATCGCCAGACCGCTGGACACCTCATGCCACTCTCTCCGCTACCCGTATCTTCGTCTCTAACCTCAAGGCAGCTCAATCGCAGCGCTTCTTCGAGCTGGTATTGCGAGAGAAGTTCAGAGACGAGATTGACGAACACAAGAAGACGAGCTACCAGATTTACGAAGCCTTGAAAAAGGGGCTGTACAAGCCAGCTGCATGGTTCAAGGGCATACTCTTCCCTCTATGCGAGAGTGGCACGCTCACACTCAAGGAATCGGCTATCCTGTCCTCTGTCCTGACAAAGGTGTCCATCCCCATGCTCCACTCGGCAGCAGCTCTTCTGCGCCTGTCAGAGATGGCCTACTCGGGTCCCAATTCGCTCTTTATCCGCGTACTGCTAGACAAGAAGTACGCCCTGCCTTACAAGGTCGTCGATGCCCTCGTCTTCCACTTTTTGCAATTCTCGCCCGAAGGCTCGGGTGTAGAGAAGATCAAGGAGGGACCCAATGCCGGCTCGATGAGGATGCCTGTTCTGTGGCATCAGTCGCTTCTGGTCTTTGCGCAGAGGTACAAGCAGGATCTCACTCCAGACCAGAAGATTGCCCTGTTGGATCTGCTGAGGGTGCAGAAGCATGATGGGATTGGGCCGGAGGTGAGGAGGGAGCTGAGCACGGGTCAGGCGAGGGGAGAGATGATGGATGAGCCTGTTGATGAAGACGACGATGACATGATGTCTGTTTGAGCAATTCCTATCTTCATGCTACCCCTAGTCGTAGTCGCGAGTATCGTACAGAGGAAGCTGCTCTTCTATCTTTCACTTTTCATCCCATCAACCAAAAAGCTCCGCCCTTGCGCTCGGGCCAACTTCGGAATCTCGGCTTTCCGATTCTTCCTGCGATATTTGCCTACAATCTTGTCGTCCATCTTTGTAGATCGTCTACGGACTGATCATGGCGAAGAAGAAAGCTGCTACTGCTCCTGAGGCTGGAACTGATCCTACTCCTCCGCCAGCCCCTCCGACAACAGTGACTCGGCGGCCTGACCCACCCGGCTCCTCGTCACTCCCCTCCTCCTCCTCCTCTGTAGGCCTAGAATACTGGCTCGCCTACCTCTTCCTCGTGCACCTCCGTCTCCTCCTCTGTCTAGCAGGCACAGGATACATTCACCCGGACGAGTACTTCCAGAGCTCCGAATCTCTCATCGGCGATCTTCTCTCCTCACCTACCTTGCGAACATGGGAGTTCCAGCCAGAGAACCCCTGCAGGTCGATGGCTAGTGTGCGCCTGTGGAACCTGCCACTGCTGCTCGTCGCGGGACTTTACAGATGGGGAGGGGCGGTGCCTACTGCCCGCACTCTGTGGTTAACACAAAGACTTACTGCTCTCGTCCTCAGTCTGCTGGTGGACTTCTGCTGGCCGTACCTGATTCCGAGGACGAGAGAGGATAAGAAGGACAGCCGCAGGATCATGCAGGCTCGACTCCTCTTTGCCTCTAGTGGAGCCACACTGGCCTTCTTGATCCGGCCCTTCTCCAATGGCGTCGAGACGAGCTTGCTTGCGGCTTCTTTGGCAGTAGTGAATGCTCTGCGGAGGCGTGCTGGCGCTGCAGAAGCCGGAGACCGGCAGTGGCACCTGCTCTCTGCGGGGCTCGGAGGCCTCTTTGCGCTGGGTCTCTTCACACGCTTCACCTTCGCCATCTTTGCCCTGCCTGCTGGACTATTCTACCTGCATACCTGCTGGAACAAGCCGGTAGCTGGAATCCGGATACTAGGCCTCATTCGGCTCTCAGCTGGCGCTGTATCCGGCTTCCTGGTGACGGCCGTAGCGCACATTGTCTACGACACCTTCTATTATCGTTCTCGTCTCGCAGCCATCTCTGGTACTCTACCAGCGCCATCGGGTCTAGTGGTAACTCCTTGGAATGCACTCCAGTACAATCTCTCCACAGAAAACCTCTCAGAGCACGGCATCCATCCTCGCTGGCTACACATCGTCGTAAATGCGCCTCTAATACTCGGTGTGCCGATGTGGATCAGCTGTTTGACGCTACTCTACAAGCGCATGAAGACATTCGGCTCTCCCTCTCAAACAAGGCTTGAAGTACAGCTCCAAGAATCTTCGATCGAGCTACTCCATCTCGCGACACTCTTCCTCCCCTTGGTCCTCCTCTCCATCCAACCCCACCAAGAAGCGCGCTTCCTCCTCCCCCTCATTCTACCGAGCATTGCTCTCCTCCCCCAAATCGCCCCGAAAAGGCTTGCCCTCTTCGCCTCCCTCCACCTGGTACAAGCAGCCAGCCTGGCCCTCTTCTTTGGAGTGCTGCACCAAGCAGGAATCATCCCGGCGTTATTGAGGATCAATCAGGAAGTGCTGCACTTTTCGGGAGAGGTGCGGATGAATGCCGCCACGTTGCAGGCGTTGGCTCTGCAGGCACCTGGAGGAGGAGGAGGCAGCAGCGACGGACTCTGGTTGAGCGGACTGCTGAACACTTCGGCGGCTACGGCTACGGCTGCGGCTGTGGCTGCGGCTGCGAGCGTGGGTACGGGTACGGGTAAGGGAGGGGCTATGCTTGTAGTGCATGTTTGGAGGAGCTTCATGCCACCTAGACATCTACTGCTGCCCGCTATAGCTTCCGCCGCTGGCGTTGGCGCTGGCGCTGGTTCTGCTCGACTGTCTCGAGTTACACTTATAGATCACGGTAGTCAGAACCCACAAGAGCTCCTTGCTGGTATGTCCAAGCCAGCCATAGAGCAGAGGGAGCAGCACCAGCAGCAGCAGCAGCAGCAAGGGCGGGAGGAGGAGGAGGAGGAGAAGTGGGGGGAAGAGCACCTTCTCCTTGCACCAACCTGGGCGCTGGACACACTTTCTTCCCTCCTCGTCCTCTCACCAAACTCACACACTGCAGCAGCTCGATCAAGCCACACCTCGTTGCCGTTGCAAATGCAGACCCTCGCCCTCCTCTCACCACACGTGGATACAGATCATCTCAGTGAGAGTTGGTCCCTCTTCCGTAAATACAAGCACGAGTACAAGCACCAGCACGAGCACGAGCACGAGCACGAGCACGAGCGCAGGTCCAAGGACGAGAATAGCGGAGAGGTTCGTCAGGCAGCGGCAGAGGCAGAGGCAGAGGCAGAGGCAGAGGCAGAGACAGAGGCAGAGGCAGGGGCAGGTGCAGAGGTCGAAGCGAGCAGGTTCGCCCTCCTCCTCCCAGCATGGGCAGAGGCGCTCCTCGCCCCGCTCAGGCAACAGTGGGAGGCTCTTTCCGCGGGATTGGGGGAGAGTTTTGCTCTAGGCGTTGTGCATGTACGTACGCACGCGGAGGGGGGAGGCATGAGGCATGAGGCATGGGCGGTGGATGACGACGGAGCAGACGGGAGACGGGTCGAGAAGAGATGAGGATAGTCGAGTGATGTTGGGAATTGCCTTCTGGATTGAACGAATGTGGTTGGGGGTAAAGGGTACGGTATAGACGCTTCTGGACAAGACGGGACGTAAGAGGAGAGGACGAGGCGATGACGAGGAATTACATGACGATACATCCTGCGCAACAGCCTGGCTCCTTTTCCTTGTCTGCTGGAGCCTTCTTGCCATTGACCTGCCTTTGAAGCTGCTGCTGCTGCTCAGAGGGCCCTATCGGCCGAACCTGAGCTTGAGCGTGAGGTTGCGTGGAAGAAGAGGCAGAAGCTTCTGCTTTCTGCTGCTCCTCACACAATTTCCTCCGTCGAGCCTGCTCCTGCTCCTCTTCTTCCCTCTTCTTCTTCTCCTCGTCCTCCCTCCGCAACCGCCTCATCTCCTCTTCCTGCCGCTGCATCGCCTCCCGTGCTTCGCGTTCCTCCTCTCGAGCTCTCAAATCGTGCATTTCAATCCCTTCGTCGAGCAAGGGAGGAGGTGCAGCAGCCAGTTCCCCTCCTTGCTCCTGATCCGCCGCAAGTTCAGCAGGTGAGTCCAATCCACCCCCACCTCCTTCCTCACGACGTACAGCGTCCTGCGCCAGGACTTGAATCTCCACCTGTGTAAGGGGCAATCCATCTCGATCCCACGTGTCGATCAGTCCCTCTTGATTTCTCAAGAGCGGATCGCGTCGCAGCAATTCTTCCTGAGCTAAGCGACGCGCAATAGCAGGTGGGATCATCTCGTCCCAGTCAATCGTTGCGGCCCTAGCAGCGAGGGCGTTACGTTGGGAGGCTAGCTGTGTGCGAGCAGAGGTGGAATCGGGTGGTTCGCTTGCGGAGCGAAGCTTGGAGGGACCAGCGAGGCCGTTGCGGTTTGTCATCGAAGAGGTGGATGTGGGCAGGCGGAATTGCATCGAGTCGTCTCGACCGCTTGTGCTAGGGGTGCCATTGACAAACGCGCTTGTGCTGCGAGGTATCTGAGCGGTCGTTTCGGGCCCTCTGTGCTTGGTATTGGATGGTTCTTCCCCGTAGTCGAGCTTGCGAGGCTTGCCAAGAGGAGACAGATGGCCGTTGTCCGAGTCTAGAGCATCGCTAGGCGAGTCAAAGTCGCTATTCGCCTGCCTCCTAATGTCCCTCAACCCTATCACATTTTCATTCACTGAACCACTTTGGTCTTGAGCTGCTATAGCAGCTGCTACAGCAGCAGCAGCAGCAGCAGCAGCAGCCCTAGCCGCTGCCTCATCAGCCTCGCGATCTCTCCGATTGGCCTCCTCTGCCTTTCTCTTGGCCAGCTGCTTTGGCGTGAGCTTGTGAGACTTGCTGCTCTTCCTCGGTGGACTGGCAGGGGGAGCAATTTTGGCTGTATTCCCCGAGGAAACGCTCCGTTGTTGGATAGGCGAAGCAGAAGCTGAAGCAGAGAGTGCGGCTTCCTCTTGTCCATTCGGATAGCCCCTGGAGCTAATGGAGTCTGTGCTAGCACTGGTAGTGAGTCCAGAAGGTCCGTCTATCCTGTGAGAGGGAGACGCACTACCATTGACACGACTACCAGTGCTGCCCTTTCTGATTAGTGTCGAGCCATCGTGACTCCGATTTGAGCGCATGGTAGAAGAGGTAGGCGAGGTCAGAGGTACAGGTTCGGCAGCAGCTAGGCCCGAGGGGGCATAGCGCGTTGGGTTGGAGCGTGTACGCGCCCTTGGTGAAGTAGTCTTTGGCGTGGTCGTGAGCGTGGGATCTGCTGATGAAGATGGGTAGGAAGTGCTGACGGAAGGACCTGCATTCTGTACGACGTGGTTGCGAGCAAGAGTTTGCATCTCAAAGGGAGTGCCGTTGACTTCGCTTTGTACTTTGCGAGGTGAGGAGGAAGACGAAGGAGCCAAGCCTGACCTCGCCGACGATGATAAAAGAAGGACACTCTGTCCGACCGATCTACTGTGCAGTGCCGTCGGCGGCGGCGGTGAAGGGGAATAGAGTGAGGTGCGGTCCGTCGGAAGTGGTTCGTTCCTGGGGATTGGGGACGACAAGGAGTCCTCCCGGGAAGTGGAGCTCAACCTTCTTTCCCGGATGCCTCTTGCCTTTTCCCTGGCTCGTTCCGTGTCGCCCTGAGATGGACTTCGCCGTGGGAGCGAGGAGCCTGCAGGACGGGGAACGCCAGGGGAGGAGGAAGACTTAAGGGAGCCTGCCCTCCGGACTGGGCTCTGCCCAGTGAGCAGGCCCGGGTGAGATGCGCCAGTGAGGTCTTGTCCGTAGTTCCAGGAGTGAGAAGTGGGGAGCACGGCGGGGGAGAGGGACGATGGTGAGGATGCCTGTGTGCGTGCTTCGTCGGCGAGGTAGGTGCGGGATCGGGACGGAGAGGGAGTGCCGACGTGCCTAGCCAAGTCCGAGTTGTACGTCGAGGAGTCGGACGGGGCGAGGCGAGTGGGTGTTGCTGTTGCCTTTGCAGTGGCAGCACTCGACATCCTCTCTAATCCGACGCCCCTGAGTGCAGAGGGGCCAGGTGCACAGGGGAAGAGGGGAGGATTGCTCTTTGCTCTGTTGCCTTGCCTGCAAATCACACCTGCCAGCTTCCTTGTCTAGGGACCTCTATGCGTGTGCCTGATCTACCACTCGGCCCGTGCCGGTACACCGGTCCGACGCAGGAACGGATGAGGAGATCGGGCAAGGGGGATGCCAAGAACCGAAGGGTGGGGCCAAGGGGCTAGAAGCAAGCAGAGCCCAGACCGACTGACTGTGCTTTGGGGTATCGCGAAGAAGGCTTGCAGCAGTAAGGGTCCGAGTTCAGGTCCAAGTGTAAAGGAGAAGACGTCGGCACAAAGAAGGGCAATGGAAGGCTGCAAGTAGACGCAGAGAAGGTGAAATGAAACACGGCGGGGGTTGGCACGAGGTGAGATCTCTTAGACTAGCAGCTGCTGCTGCTGCTGCTGCAAGAATCAGATGCAGCACCCGCAAGGCGTCGGCGTCGGCGTGGGGGCGTGGGCGTGCATGGGTGGGTGCGGGAGGCGGTGCGGCTCACTTCTCGATGCACGCTCACCACCCTTCAACCGCCGGGGCGGCGTCTTTTCTTCTTTCTTCACAGCCACAGTCCCACAGGCCCAAGCGCAACACCAGACGCGGGTCGACGCGGCGGCGCGGGGCCCAGGCGATACTCCTCTCAGGCTCAGGGGGAAGAACAAGCGCACCCTCTCTGCCTGGCCCATGCGCAGACGCAATATTCAGCCAGGCCTCTGGCTCTTCCGACCGAAGCTCAATCTTCACCATTCCGCGTCTATGCCAGCCGTACTAAGTTGATCGATCATGGCCGTTGACTCTCTCGCACCTCACAACTGAAGCGCTGTAAAGTCCTTTTCAGTAATATACGCAGGCAAGTTGCTCTACCACAATCTGACCGAAAGCCACATGATACAAGCCTACTTCCATCCACCTCTTTGCTGTCCTCCACCCAACCCCGCTCAGTAAGACCTGCCGAACATGGTCCACCTCTTTGCATCCACTCCACACTGTGGGCACTTCTTTCCCTTGACATCTCCAAACTGATCCTGGTCAAAGGGAATGCACAAGCTCTTGGCACCCATCGAAGGAGCCCTCTCATCCGCCGCCTCCTGCTCAGCCCCTTGCTCCGCAACCCTGGCAGATCGATCCTTGATGGCATCTTCGCACGCTTCCACCTCGCACCAAGGAATCACCACGTGGTTCTTCTTGTTCAGCTCCGTGGTGAAGTCACTCCACTGTGTCACGACCTTGCGGTGAGAGCGGTACTCATCGTCGGCCCGCTTGAACATGTCGTGGTGAATCGTGTCCAGCAGCTGGAGGACGTGTTGCGCAATACCCTCGGCGGGCTGCGAAGTCTTGGTACCATCGTCTCTTCGAACCAGCATGCGCGACTTGTTCTGCAGATCCTTGGGACCAATCTCCATTCGAATGGGAACACCGCGCATCTCCCAATCGTTGAACTTGTAGCCTGGAGAGTACGACTCACGCAGATCGGCCTTGGCACGGACGCCCGCAGCGAGGAGCTCCTTTTCGGCATCGGCACAAGCGTCCTCAATCTTGGTCCTCTCCTCCTGTGTAGTCCTGGCAGTGATACCACAGGGGACAACGACCAGCTGGATCTGAGATACGCGAGGAGGCATCACCAGTCCCTTGTCGTCTCCGTGCACCATGACCATCACACCAATGGTACGCGTGGAGAGACCCCACGAGTTTTGCCAGACGAACAGTCTACCTTCTGCTGTTCCTCGCTTGCCCTCGGCAGCGGCAGGGTCCTCGACGGAGATGTTGAACATCTTGGAGAAGTTCTGGCCAAGGCAGTGCGATGTGCCTCCCTGAATGCCTCGACCGGTGGTAGGGACAAAGCCTTCCACAGTGGTAGTGTAGTAGCCTCCGGCAAACTTCTCCTTCTCAGACTTGACACCGGGCACGACTGGAACGGCTAGCAGGTCCTCGTACACCCTCCTGTACAGGTCCAGGATCTGCCTCACTTCCTTGTCCGCCTCGGCAAGAGAGATGTGAGCAGTGTGGCCTTCTTGCCAAAGGAATTCTCTCGTGCGCAGGAAAGGCTGAGGGTGCTTGAACTCCCACCTGACGACTGAGTTCCACTGGTTGAGCTTGAGGGGCAAGTCACGATGGCTCTGAATCCACTTGGCGTAGTATGGGTACATGACAGTCTCCGAGGTGGGTCGGATAGCGACGGGTCGCTCCAGCTCGCTCTTTCCGGCTCGTGTGACCCACGCTACCTCGGGAGCGAAGCCCTCGATGTGGTCCTTTTCTCGCTCCAGGACATCAGAGGAGACGAACATGGGGAAGTAGCAATTTTGTACGCCGAGCTTCTTGATCTCGCTATCGAAGAACTCTGCAGGTCAGAAAATGAGCAAGGTCAGCAAGAGAGTTGCAGTCAGGCATTGGGCTTCAGAGTTAGATACTCACTTGTGATGGCCTCCCATACTGAGTAACTCCAAGGCTTCAAAATGTAGCATCCGCTCACATCATAGTAGTCCAGCATATCTCCCTTCCTCAGCACCTGCTGATACCATTCGGGAAAGTCTCCTCCTTTCCTCACAGTGATACCGATCAGTTCTGCATCCTCGATCTTGGCCGAAGCCTTGGATCCTGACGCAGCAGCAGCCGACTTGGCGGGAGCTGCGCCTGCTGCAGGCTTGGTAGCTGCAGCGGGCGTCTTTGTCTTGAGCTCTACGAAATCTACCGGCTGAGTTTCGATCTTGTGCGATTCGATGAACTTGGAAAAGTCAGAGGCGGGGATTGTGATGGATTCTGTTTGCGAGCCAGGAGCATGGAAGGCGAGCTTAGCGTCCGAGGGGAGCTTTGGGATGGCCGAGTCCAGAACGAGGGTGACAGGGTGAGAGCCTTCGGGGGCCGACTTTGATGAGAGCGAGAGCGGGGACGCTGAAACGAGAAAGAGACCATGTTATCCCGCATTAGTTCGAGGACGGATTGATTCTTCAGTACGAGGTCCCTTTCCACCCCCTGAGCGACTCACCTGTCTCCTTTGCAGCACCGAACCACTCCTGCCATACATCGTCTCCTGCTGCTCTCATCTCCTTGATGCCAATCTCCTTTGCCAGCACACCAGAAGAGCCCACATCTGTGGAGTCGAGAGCCACGACAAGCACAGGCTTGACAGCAGCAGACTTGGCGGTCTTGGGCTTGAAGAGGAGAGTCTTGGTTGCCAGTACGCCCTTGGGAAGCTGCGATGCCCAGCTGGCCTCTGCTGTAGGGGCTGCATGGGAGATGGTCGAGGCAGAGGAGATGCTGAGCGACGAGAGGGACGCTACGATGGAGTCTGCCATGGTTGCGAGCCGGGGATGGTGGGGTGGTAGTGGTGGCTGGAAGCGCTATCTATGCTGTGATACTGGCAAAAGGTCTCCCTCTCCGTACGAAGGTCTGCTCAATGCTCGACTCGCAGAGGCCAAGGCGCAGATGCGCGCAAGGAAGCGGAGAGGCGGAGCGGAAGAGGCGAGGACGACGACACAGGCGGCAGCAACCACACGACCATCGTAGACCATTGGCCATCACCATAGGATCATCAAGACCTCTCACCCACCCGCACTACCCTCAACATGCCTACCATCGAAGACTTCGACGATGACACAGACGTGAGTAGTCGGCGCGACTCCAAGTATTTGGAGGAGATCGTCTGACACCTCTCCTCACACTCACCCCGCTATGTCCACCACAGTTCGATCTCCCCGCCCCTCCCCCGACCGGAGGCGCGGCCGCCTCCTCCGGCATGCCAGGCATGCCCTCTATGAGTCCAGAGCAGATGCAGGCCTTCCAACAGATGATGTCTCAGGGCGGTGGCGGTATGCCCGGCATGGGTGGTTCTGGCGGCATGGGCGGTCCCTCCTCCACCTCTCCCGGCGCTCCTACCACGACCAGCATCGGCGGTCCACCTGCCGCTCCCGCCGAGACAAAGGAGTGGATCGCCCTCTACCCAATCTACTTTGACGCCAAGCGATCTCACAAGACGGGAGAGCGACGAGTGACCTGGGCCAAGAGCTCACTCTACCCACATTCTCTTGGACTGGCTAAAGCGCTGCAGAGGCTGGGCCTTAGGGCGATTCATGAGCCGAGCAAGACGCACCCACGGGATTGGGAAAACCCGGGGAGGGTGAAAGTGAGGGTATTTGATGAGGATGGCAATGCCGTTGCTTCTGTCCAAGGAGGGGGCAAGACTCTTCAGAACAGACGACAGCTCTTGGAAGTTGTTGCGCCGGTGCTGCAGCAATTCTGTGGTGGTGCTCCGCCCTTGGAGCTGCCAAAGAGGGAAAAGAAGGCCCCGCGGGTAAAGAGCAAGGCGAATACTGAGGCAGGGGGTGTCAAAAAGGGAAACAAAGAAGCTGCAAAGAGCAGTGCATCCTCCGCCGCTGCCAAGTCGACTGCCACCACCAAGGCTGGCAAGCCTGCAAGCACGAGCACTCCAGCTACCAAGGACACAGCGGGCAACGCTTCGGCTTCTACTTCAAAGGGACCCCATCTGCCCAACGCTGGCTCCTCTTCTCGTCTTGCAAAGCTCAACCGCGTCCACCTTCTCCGTCCTCACCTACCCCCCGCGCACGTTCGTCTCCCACCACACTCCCCCGCCCTCTCGGCCAATCTGCTCAACATGGACCTAAATGCCGCCATGGGCGGTGCCCCCGGCGGAGGTGCTGGCGCTCTTCCAGGCGGAGCGGGCGGGGCAGCCAACCCGATGGGAGCTTTGGGCAACATGATGGGTAATCTAGGTTTTGGACAGGAGGATGAGGAAGGGGAAGACGGAGCGGGAGAGACGGAGGAGGAGAAGAGGAAAAAGGCACAGAATGACCCTTTCAAGGGGATTGGTCGGAGGGGCAGGAAGAGGGTCGTGAGGGTGGGAAGATAATGAGAGGGTAGTCTAGGGATCAATAAGCACATACGGCGATGAAGGAAGAGTGTGCACGGGGCAGACCAGTGGAGATGGGCATCGTGAATAGATTGGTTTTAGATGAAAAGCTCGACGAGGTTTGCATTCCCCACGAGCTTGCAAAGCATTGAGCACCCTCGTCCTCCCTTTCTACCACTACAAGGTCGAGACCTTGCATTGATCCCTTGGCATTGTACGACGTGACCGCTCTCTCGCTTACCGTCAACTTCATCTTCACACTGCTTTCTCCCTCCAACTCCCAACATAGCCTCCACCTCAGATATCTGATACAGACCGCTCGCTCTCTTGCTCTCTCGCTCACAGGCAGCTGCCTTAAGTGACCTTCTTCCTCTCATCCATGGAGAAGCCTCCCGGTCCCTGGTTGACGAGCAACAACAGTCCACCAACGATGGACAAGGTCTGGAAGAAGTCGTATCGGAGGAAGTCCCTTGCAGGGTGCGAGGCGTGGGTGGCCCACCAGTTGTTGACGAGGATGTTGAAGATGCTCAGCAGGAGGACGAGGAAAGAGGCGCTCCACCTTGCCTTGAACCCGACAGCGACCATGATGCAAGCCGCTAGACCAAAGAAGGAGACGATGACTCGGATCAGTGTCCACTCGCCTGTGAAGACGAAGCCGAGGAAGAGGAAGATCAAGAGGACTCGTCCAGCGAGCTGCACGGAACAGAAGGGCAGAGTCAAAGCAGGTCAGTCAAGACTGCAGCAACAGCAGCTTTGTAGCGCAGTAGCCGTCGCAACTCACCTGGAAGTAGATCCGCTTGTCCGTTTCGCTAATGCTGGGCAGACCAGCAAAGAGGTTCTTCTTTTGGCTCAGCGAATCCGACAGGACCATGAGCAGACCACCGATGACGGACAGGTTGCGGAGGAAGAAGTTCAGGTCGAAGATGAGACCGTAGCCGAAGCCCTGAACGATGACCACAGACAGGAGGGCTCCAACAGAGTACTCTGGGTACTTGCGGCCGATGACTGCGACAGAGGCGGTGAGCATGATCTGGCAGAGTGGAGAGCGGGTGAAATGCGATGTCAACAGAGCCGTTGTGGAAGAAGCAGTAGACAGTGCACAAGGTGCTCAACGATAGAACAGAGCCCATGAAGCCAGGCGAGGTGCCTTGACATGGCAGCGACGTATCCGCAAGTGTACCGTGCAATGTGGCTGCCCAATGCTCCACCTGCCTCATTACTCTGCTTGCAGGATCTTGGCTCCTCGCTGTCTCTCCACGGCGGCTATACCTCGTCCTTCTCCCCACTCTGCTGTATTGGTACTCACAATGACATTGGTCATCAAGAAGAGATGGCTCAACCCCCATGGGAATCCCCTATGTTTCTGCAAATAATAGAGTTGATCTCCCCATTGCGTCACGATTCTCAATGCATCTTCCAAGAATGTCACCACGATCAGGAATCTTCCCAGAGCAGGGAGATGAGGCTTGATCGGTTGAGTGTAGGTGTCGATGTAGTCTTCTGCTGTGGCAGAGAGAGCACGGATCTTCTCCAGGGGCGAGTCGGCACTGTTGCCCACTGCTGTGTTGGTGGAGGAGAGGCCACCGCCGTATGGTGATTGGCCGTAGGACATTTTGAAGCCGACGAGACGAACTGTGTGTGCTTGAAGAGATGCGAAGAGGGGGAGAGCCTGGTCAAAGCAGTGCCGTTGGCTTAGCAGTGACCGATGTGTAGATGAAGGGGTCCTTGGAAAAGGTCCGCGCTGGCTGGCCTCTTCGTCGGATTGGCTGGCTGGTTTGGCTGTGCTAGAAGAGCGTGCAAAGGCGAGGATGTATCGTCTTCACAGCAGGAGTATAGATGAGCAAGTGATTCGTCTATCGAAGTCGCACAGGGCGAGTAGTCTGTTGTGGTCTTTGAGTGTAGATGGCGAGGAATGGAAGGAATGGAATGTAGAGTAAAGGCATCGTGTGTGGGTCCTGTTGGCTCCACGAGGTCAGTTGCTTCCTCGCCTAGCGGGAGCGGAGCGGAGACGCACGCACAAGGGCAAAGGCAGGCGGCCCCTCAGCGCGCGTCTCTGCTGGCGCGAGGCGGCGCCACTTGCAAAAGAAGCGCCACGCCTCTGGCATGCGCAAATACACCACCCACCCCTCACCCACCCAGGACTGGCAGGGGGGACGGACACTCGCAAATAACGCCTTCACAAACGAATCAATGTAGATGCTTTGATAGAATTTTGAGATGCACATGGTTTCAATAATGATAGAAGCGTGTTCCGCACAAGATGAGATAGCATAGCTTACGTTCTGCCTCCCAACCAGAGTTGCCCTTTTCCAACTCCTCTAACCTTGACCTTTTAGCTCGACTCTGGGTCTCCGTACTCGTAGATGCCCAAGTGCTTCCTTCTTGCCTCTGCATTGTTCTCGGCCAGCTTCTGGGCCATCTGCGGGTGACTTCGGAAGTAAGCCGTCTTTTCGTCCACCAATGCCCATCCTTCCTTGACAATTGTGGCATTGATCGAGCCAGCGGGTCCGCTCGCTGCACCTGCACTGGAAGGGTCGTACAGAGTCAGATGCAGCAGAGGATTGCTCGCGCTTCCTTCCTTGAAGTCGACGTTGGCAATGAGCTTCTGACCCAGGTAGTCCCTGAAGCGCTCTTGAGCTTCCCAGGCGTACTCGTTGACGCTGCTCGCTCCTTTGCCCGCGGCGGCAGGCGCAGAAAACAGACGCACAAAGCTCAGACGAGCTTCAGAGGCTTGCGGAGGTAGACGTGTCCTGCCGAACTTGGTGGAATCCAGGGGTCGGATGTCAGAGAAGGGCACATCCTCGAGCACATTACCGTAGTCGTAGAATGACACAGTAGCCCTTTTTGCAATGGAGCTGGACTTGATCACCGAAGCACGGTACCACTCTCCGTCTTCGAACTTGGCAGCCACGTCTCCTTGAGGTCGGAATGAGGAAGGTGCTGGTGCGGCGGAGCGGTAAGTTGACGCCAATTCGGCCATCAGCTTCTCGAGGTCCTTGATCTTGTCGCCCAGCGTTTGAACGCTGAAGCCGAATGGCTTTTCAGCCGAACCATCGCCTCGCACATCACTGATGACAATGTCCCGGTAGTCGCTGCGAGGCGGAGCTGGTTGGGCGGCCGATACAGGCTTGGCAGCTCCCCATGCTCCGCCGCTAGCCACAGCAGGCCCTGCCGAAGACGGTGCGTTGCCATTGCGACTTTCGACACCGTTGCCAGTGACGGGTCCATTCGAAGCACTGGCGTCCTGCTCCTCGGCCTCCTCCTTGTAATCGTGCCAGATTCCGACTCGGCTGGCCTGGGCCTGCTTCTCTGCTGCAGCCAACTTGGGGCCAGATGGCGTGGAATCGACACTGTACCCATGGACACTGGCCAGACCGTTCTCTACTAGCATCTGGGCAAAGTCTTGCTTGCCGTTTGCTGTGTTCAAGTAGATGGAGCCGATGAAGCCTCCCACTTTGTCGAGAGAGTAAATCTCGATGTCGACATCACGTTGCAGAACGTGAGCGACGGCAAATTCCTGAGCCTCTTTACCGAAAGGCTCGTCCTTGTCCTTTGGATTGCGGGCGGTCTTGGGAGCCTTGATTCCCGCAAGAACAAGGGTCAGGCGAGCGTTCTCCCGAGGCACCAGCACCTTGAAACGCGAGCCAGCAGCCACAAAGTCGATGATGGCAGGGCACTTTCCGGCTCGCTTAAGACCAGGAAGGTACGAGTGCGCCCGACCGGCGTTCTCAGAGGCCTCGACAAAGTTGGGCGCCGTGGCTTGCTTGCCAGAGTGAAGACCCTTGCCTTCGGTTGCAGCAGCAGCCTCAGCAGCCAAGAGGTCATCGAAGAAGGGCGAACGGTCCTCATCATCACGGCGATGACGGACGACCGAGGCGAAGCCTTTGCTGATGAGGAGCTCTCCTACATTGGCGCCCTTGGTCTCCTTTGCTCCGGTCATCGTGCGGATAGTAGCATAAGTACGCTCATCAAAGCCAGCTTCCGCTGGCTTGATGTAATCAATCTGCACCTGGATTGGCTTGCCAATCAGACGCTTCCTTAGCCATTCGCGAGCCTCGTACGACCATCCTACCTGGTCCTTGGGCGGCTGTCGGATGGATGACAGCTGAATGCGCTGCTCCGCTTCACCTTCGCGCTTGACATGGATCGTGTCCCCTGAAATGATCCTCGTCACCACAGCTTCGTACGTACGGGCCGCAGCGGGGACGGACATCTGCGAAGTGATCGCAGTGGCCACAAAGTCTTTCCAGATGTTCAAGCGCTTCTCACGTGCGATACGCTCAGCCGCACGGTACTTCTCCATGCCTCCCACTGATGAAAGCATGCCGGTGTGCCAGTCCACAATGCGTGCGAGACCTGCAGATAGCAGGAAGGCTGCGATATCTCCATTGGCATGCATCGCCGTTCCGATTAAGACTGAGGCCGTGCCTCCACCAGAGGACGTATTTGTAGCAGACGAGGAAGAGGCAGATGCTGCTGTTGCTGAGAAAGGTGTCGGCGTGGCTAGAGGCTGCGGGATTGCTAGGAGGGTGACTGTAATGTTACGGTTCAGGAGTCGAGTTTCTACAAAGAACTTGCTTTCTTCTCCAAAGGCTTCTCCGCCAGTGTCGACACTGTTGGGACCGCCTCCACCAGACACACGGGGAGTCTTAATGCCCGCAAGATGAAGGTTGATGAGCTGGTGACGATTGGATGAGAGTAGAAGCCTGACTCGTAGGAGCGATCCGTCCCGCACCTGCTCAACAATGGCATCGACTGGCTTGCCCTTGTATTCGATCAGGAAGGCGTGGGAGTTCTCTGGCATGTTGTACGATACCGCCAGGAGCTCGTCGGGGCCCCAAATTCCACGCTGAGCGGCCTGAGCTTCGTCCTGGACAGCTCGTTGGTTTGCCTTCCAGCCACCTTCGCCTTCCTCCTCAGGCACTGCGTTCGCATTGCGCCTTGAGCCAGAGTCGTGAACTTTAGCCCAGCCAGCGCCCAGAATCTCGTGGGAGACATTCGTGTCTGGCTGACCAGCTGCCTTGGGAGGAAGATAGATGTGGGCGAATGTTCTGCCTAGAGCTTGGTACGCAACGCGATACCGAATCTCTCTACCAACGAGGAGTAGACGGAGAAATTCTCTCGATGGGAAGGCTTGAGGCTGTGGTGGTGAGGAGCGGAAGGAGAGGGAGGAGGCTGCTTAGTGAGAGTCTGCGAGGGTAGGAGATCTAGTACTTCACACTTACCTCGTCATCCCTTTCCCTGGAGCCCATACGAGGAGCAGCTAGACCGGCAACATGGAGGATCTTGAGTCCACCTTCACCCTCTTTGCTTCCGGCCTGGGAGGCAGTCATCTGCGTTGGGCGAACCACGATCGTGTCTCCGCTCAGAACGCTGTGAACTCTCAGGCCGCCTTGGAGCGGGGCATTGAGCGAAGGCATGACAATGGGTGTTCCAGCTGACATGTTGCAGAATTGAGAGGGAGGACGGAAGGGGATGGGCAAGGGTAGGAGGGGTGGAGTTGAGGCTGATGGGCTGCAAGTGCTATGTCAATATTTGACCGACCAAGGTCTGTCTGGCTGGGCAAGGTAAAGAGATGGAGCAGATGCAAAGATGAGGAGATGCTATGCTGGAATTGGCAGTATGAATGACAGGACTGGCGAATGATGTGTAGAGTTGAGGTGAGGCGAGGGGGAGGGGTAGGTGCCACTTTCTTCTCGAGGTGAGCGAGCTGGCCGAAGCGTTGGTGCTTCCGACTTCCGACGTGCATGCAGCCGCGCGGTCCATCTCGCGTTGGAGACGCTCACACGACACCTCCAGCAATGGCGGCAAAATGTCTGACACTGTGATACTGCTCTGTCAGAATATGATGGCATTGCGTACTTCTACAGTCTGGAGCAAGATTTGAACAGCGGCCGAGACGAGACTTGAGTTTGAATTCTACCTGTCATGATTGTTTGAAGCGGATTTAGGGAAGACTAGGATCACTGGGGGAGTTTAGCTATCAGTGAGCGGCTATAGCATCGCCAGGCCTTTTTGCAGCTGCGACCCAAGCTCCGTTGGCCAGAACCATGATGGAGCCGACAACAGACAGGAGCTCCAGTGGGGTGCCCAGGACGAGGCACTGGAATGCAGTAGCAAAGATAATCTGAAGGTAGCTAACCATCGCAGCCCTTGCAGCCGTCTCTCTCTGTAGACCGAGTGTCTGGAATACTTGGGCGAGCAAGGAGAACAGTCCCACGCTAAAGAGGACGACGGTTGCCTCGACGGTGCTTGGCCAGACAAATGGCTGACCCGAAACCACCATCCCTGCGAGGGAGAGAACCCAAGAGCACAAGGCGAAGTAGGCAATGCTGTGGTAAGTCGAGCAAGCCCGACCAAGACTACGCAGGGCAATCCAGGCTCCAGACTGACAAAATACCCCTGCAAGTGCGATGACGACACCGAACACCCGATTTGCGCCGGCAGCTTCGGATTCGTTGCCGCCTTCAATAGGGGGTGTATCTCCAGGGGCACTAGGCACTTCTGCATCACCTTGGCTCCCAAAGATGGCGGTAGGTCGAGCGATGAGAAGTACTCCCAGGAGAGAGCCAATGCCGGCTATTCTCTCCCGGACGCTGAAAGGCTCCGACAGAAAGACAGCAGCTGCGACTCCAGTGACGAGTGGACCCAAGAAGATGATACCAGTGGCATCGGACAGCGAGAGATTCTCGAGCGAAAGATAGAGGAACAAAGTTGACAAGAAGCCAAATGTGCCTCTAGCGATTAGGACGAGTCGGGCCTTGGGTGGGCCGAAGAGGATGTATGGCGTCTTGAAGACCGCCATGGCAGCGATGGCTCCAAGCCAGATGATGAAACACTCGACGAAGACGATCTCGAAGGCACTGATTGGCGGGTGATCCGGACCCCTTCCTGGCGCTTTCTCTCCTTCGAGAGCGTCTAACAGGCTGACAAACCCATTCATCAACGAGTACGCCAGCTGGCTGACACACAGCAGCAAGATGCCGAGATTGGAGCCTGGCGTGCCTCCAATGTCGGCTGTCTTCATCGCGTCTTCCATGGTTGGCTCCTCGTGATGGGTGGTCGCCGATGGTACTCGGAGAGACGACGCTGCCATGTGGTGGCCATATTGCGAGCTACCGCCAGCCACAGAGCCGCCAGGCATCGTGCCGTAGAGCCTGCGAGCAGCAATGGAGGACGACATTAAGCCTGCCCTCTCACTCATTTCCTCTGTCCGCCGGGAGATGACAGATTCTGTGCCGTACCCGTCCTCCGTTCCTGCTGTCTGCTCTTCATCATCAAGATCTTCATCGGCTCTCTTGTGATCCTCCCACTGGCTCCAGGCTTCCTGAGCATGAAGGTAGAGGTTCGGATCGAACATTTGAGCAACGACCGAAAATGTGCTTGCGTTGAGATCTGGTCCCTGTCTCCCATTCTCATCGTCATCTTCGTCCTGAGAGCCATAGACGTCGTCGCTGTTGAGGGAAGAAAGGCTGGCTTGTGATCCATGATGCTGTACTGACGCGGAATCTGGAGATGAAGGCCGAACGATTGGTGACGGCGGCGGCTGGTAGTCTGTCGCTTGTACCCTGCCAGCAGGGGGTGGCACCCGACCTGAAGAGAAGTGAGAGCTCGCAGCATACGAGGAGGGTGCAGGATGGGAAGAGCCAAGGACTGATGCGAGAACATCGGCTTGAGGGCGTGAGCGAGAGGCGTTAGCGGAGGGTCTAGCACCAGCAGCACCATGCCTCGACCGTGTGGGAGACTTCGACATGTTGAGTCGTACAGACGAGTGAGCGGGACAAATTCGAGTGCTTATCCTGGTACAGTTGGAACTGTAAGAGGAAGTGGTCCAAGATAAGGCGGGAAGAAGAAGGTCGAAAAGCGGAAAGAGGAAGGCGGGCCACAATCTGAAAAGTTGTCAGTTGCCTCGCGTCGGGCGGGTCCACGGGAGCCAGACGCACAGACGGACGGAAAGCCAGGCAGACGACGGACGTCATTCGACTGCACTCCACCTCACGACGCGGACCTGTTTCCGTGTCCGTGACGAGGAAGCAGAGGAATCCTTATTCGTCCCCATCCGTCCTTCCATCCAGTAGCCTTTCCATCAGACCACGTCGCAATGCCGTACCGCATCGAGTACGCATCGTCGGGTAGGTCTGCCTGTAATGGAGCGGTGAGTCGTCACTATTCAACACGCTTACTAGACGCTCTGCATCGCTTGTGATGCTGACCTGACTTACATCTGCCATGCCTCCTGCTTCGTTGCAGTTTCCGTGTGGGAGCAAGTTCAAGATAGGGAAGGGCGAGATGCGCATTGGCGCTTTAGTCACCAATCAAGACAGACAGTGGTTCAAGTATCGCCACTGGTGGTGCTGCACTCAAGCAGTCTTCAAGAACATCAAGAAGGAGATCGGTGATGACCCTGCCGACCTGGACGGCTGGGAAGAGCTCAGGGAAGAAGACCAGGACAAATTTGCTGAAGCCTTTCAGGATGAGGCGGTCGATCGCGAAGAAGTACCAGCAGAGTGAGTGCAGAAGCACTTTCGTCCGCTCTCGCCTGGTCAAACGTACTGAACCCGACTGCTGCTTTCAGCCTGCGCCTTCAATGGGACAGGGAGACCAAGTTGAAGGCCAAAGAAGACAGGGCGAAGGCGAGGCAGAAGAAGAGGGAGAAGAAGATGGCCGAGTGCGAGAAGAAGGGTGTGGACTACGTCTCTAGCGAGAACGAGAGCGAGAGCGAGGAGGAGGAGGAGGAAGAGGCCCCTGTAAAGGAAGAGGCAGAGTCAAGTCAGACTCCCAACAAGAAGAAGGCCCCGGTCAAGAAAGCGCCAGCAAAGAAGGCGCCCGCGAAGCGAGGGCGCAAGTCAAAGGCAAAGATTGAGTCCGAAGAAGAAGAAGACTCGGAAATCTCTGAGGAAGAAGAGGAAGACGTCGACCTCGAAAAGGAGATGGAGGAAGAAATGGCGGCGGAAGATTCAGAGGAGGAAGTCAAACCCAGAGGAAAGAAGAGAGGCAGACCTTCGATGTCTAAGCGAAACGCTCCACCTGCCAGAAAGGCGCGCAAGCCCCCTGTCAAGGAGGAGTCCAGTGGCCTCAGTGAAACCGAGGACGACGAAGACGAAGAGGCTGAAGAAGTCATGCCGGCGAAGAAAAACAGGCGGGCCATCAAAGCAGAGGTACCCAATGAGGTCAAGCCTGCTCCAGCTTCTCGACCGGTCAAAAGTGGAAATGATGTAGACAAGGAAGACGGAGCTGCAGCTGCTCAGCCTCGCAAGAGAGGCAGGCCCAAGAAGTCGGACGCTGTAGCGGCTACTGCGCCCAATGGCACCGAGAATGGATCGAATGGCAAGCAGCGAGCCAAGAAGGTCAAAACGGAAGACTCAGAAGAGGCTCCAGCTCCTCCGTCAGGCCGCAAGTCCGGCCGAGGCAGAGTCAAGAATGAGCCTACTGAGTAGGCTTACTTCCTACCGCTTGGCCTCAACATCACACCGCCCTTCTTCTGGCCAACAGCAGTCATTTCTTGCGAGGCGGCCAGACGCATATACCCAAACAAAGCTGTCGCTTCTCTTCTTACCATGTAAAGCGCCTGTAGTTCCATGTACAGAGATTGTTCCATACCTCTTCTCGACTTGATGTGCTCACCCACAGTCAAACAATCAAACAGACACCCTCACAGTCGCTCAATCATGCAGCCGGGCGGAGTTGGACGGAAGTCAAAATCGAGATCTTCTTATCCGGGCCCCTTCTTCTACTCACTGCCCTCCCTTCCCATTATCTCGCTCCGTATACCCTCATCTCCCTGAATCTGTTGCTCAGTCCTGTCTGTGTAGCAGACCTCGGTTGCCTTCCGACTCTGTACTCATGACATGGTCAGCGGCGTACTACCCGTCGGGTGCTGAGTGCTCTGTCTCCACGTCGCATTACGGCATCTCATCAACCCTAGCTCCTGCGTCCTCTTCCTCGTCGAACTGTTCTTCATACAGCACAAGAGAAGCTATCAGGCCACCGATCGTCACTTTGAAGCCTCTGGCTCGATCTTGGAAGGTGCATGCGCCAAATGAGGAAGTCTTTCTGGAGTCGAGCGGGGTGGCCAAGACCGACCAGAAGAAGCTGAGTAGAGCTACGAAGGACATCCTCTTTGGCAGTATCGCCGGGATGGTAGCCAAGGTCTTTGAGCATCCCTTGTGAGCATTGTATATGCACTGAACTCCGCCTCCTTCTCAATTCACCTGCTGACTCACTCTCATGATCTCACCTCACTCTCCCAGCGATCTGATCAAGGTCCGCCTACAAACGCAGCCCTTCTCAGATCCCGGCCCTGGTCAAGGCAAGCCGAAGGGTACGCTCTACAATGGCGCATTTGACGCCTTCCGCCTGACGGTCCAGAAAGAGGGGCTGATCGGTCTATTCCGAGGTCTCTCAATGCCCATTGTGGGCGCAACGCTCGAGAACGCCACGCTCTTCTTTACGTACAATGCGCTACAGGGTCAGATCAGGAGGTTCAATGGAGAGGCCAGCGCCAAGGCGCAGCTCAGAGACTCTCCTGAGAAAGAAGCTGCCGCTTCTACCAAGGCAAATCCTGAGGCTCCTTTATCCCTCCCGCAGCTAGCCATCGCAGCAGCCGGTGCAGGCGCCGTCACCTCGTTTGTCCTTACTCCCATCGAGCTCATCAAGTGTCGCATGCAAGTCCAGATGATCTCAGCCGAAGCGGCCATCCTCGCTCGCGAGGCTACGGGCAAGACAAGTGGCCCACCCATGGTCGAAGCTCTCAACTCTGCCCGGCGAGCTCTTCCGGGCCCGGTTGCCCTTGTGAGAGAGGCAGTGCGAAAGGATGGGTTTGGAGGGTTGTGGTTGGGTCAGACAGGGACGCTGCTGAGGGAGACGGGTGGAGGGATGGCCTGGTTCCTCGCCTTTGAGAGCACGTCGAGGTGGTTCTTGCGGAGAAGAGAGCGGCTGAAGGAGGGAGGAAGTGGGGGTGGGGAGCAAGTAGTGACTAGCAGTGAGCTCAAGTCTTGGCAACTCGTTGTGGCAGGCGCACTGGCTGGCGTGAGCTACAATGTTGTCCTCTTCCCTGTAAGTAGACGAGACCGAGCCAGCACAGGTTTCTTTGTCGCCCCAGGACGAACGCGAGCTCACTTTTATCACGCTTCCTCTTCCCCTGACAGGCCGACTCCGTCAAGTCTACCATCCAAACCGAAGCAGAGCTCTCCCCAGCAGGCACCAAGCCTTCATCCTTCATGGCTACCCTGCGCAGGATTTATACCACGCGAGGATTGGCAGGCCTGTATGCAGGTTGTGGGATCACTTGCCTTCGTAGTGGACCCAGTAGCGCTCTGATCTTCCTGCTGTACAATAGACTAGAAGGATTCGTGGAGAGCAAGGGCTGGTGAGGAACAGACTTACAATACATATCAAACCCGCATAGAGGAAGCAAGAATTGCACTAGAATGACACGATCACGCAATGTCACAAGACTGGATGATTATGCTAGTGTTCAATGTCTGATTGGGGAGAAGCGGTACCACCTGATGACAGAGAATGGTAAAGAGCGAGAACAAGTACAAAGAGTTGCAGAGAAAGATGGAGAGGCAAGAATGCTAGGCATCACCATCCAGTCTGACAACGTTTTGGGAAAAGTCTACTAGTAGGCAACAAGCAAGCATGGCGCAAGCGAGGGAGCCGTTTAGTAGAAGAAGCCGAGGATCTTTCCACCGGCGTGCTTCCTCCTGGCCTCCTCGTGGTCCATGATACCAGCAGAGGTGGTCAGAACGACGTAACCGAACGAACGGGCGGGGAGCAGCTGCGACACGATGGACTCGAGCTTGCCCAGGGGCACGTTGTACCTGGGGGAGATGCAGGCGCACTTGTTCACCCGGCCGAGGAGCTGGATGACGATCTTGCCGGCACGGTGGTCGTCGATGATCTCGAACTCGCCGATGTAGCCTGTAGTAGATTGCAAAACGATGAAGGTCAATGAGTCAGTCGTCGTAATCTCCATGGCAAAGAATCGCACACGCCCGGACGAGCTCCCCCTTGCAGTGGTATGTCACCAGCCGTGTCGAAAATTCTCTGGACTGAAGCTGGAGCAAGAGCATCGACAGGCGACGTCTGCTGCAAGGCCAACAGAGAGTGATGGACGACACGGGCGAGGCAAGAATCGATTTCTCGGACCCTTAAAGGTGGAAATCGGTGGGAGCGAGAGCCGTATCTCCACTAGTTATAAGCCCGAGTTGGGGGATGGATGCCCGCAGAGAGCAGTGCCGTACATGTCGCAGGCTGCTCCGCGCCTCGTCCCTTCCAGGAGAGACCACTCCCAATCTGGTCTGTTGGACTGCGTGCTATTACTCACCGTGCTTCTGCATGCAAGAGAGGAACTTGACGACGACCTTGGAGGAAGGTCGGACGAGCACCTGACGCTTGCCCTTTCGCTCGGCGTTGACGATGGACTGCAGGCAGTCGTTCTGTGGCAAGGAGTGGACGTTAGAGTAGGTACTGGGGTGAGCACAATGTCTCTACAGATGATTGATATGGCCTCGAACGACTCTACTCACAAGAACAGAGATTCGGACCACTGTAAAGGGAAAGGGAATGGAGGGACAAGGGGCGAAATGATCAGTCCCATTGACCCTACCCAGTCCGACTGCAAGACCACTCTGAGTACTCACTATTGTAGGTTGTATAGGAAAGCTTCTTGGAAAGAAGACCTATAAAACCGGGCAGGTACAGCAAAGCACACGTGTTAGCTCACTGTTCTACCCAGCCAACCCCTGATGATCTGAACAATTCGCCATCCCCATCGTCCGACATCCCCACACGACCAGAAGTCCTCCTCGATTGAAAGGCCATGCTCTAGATAGAGGTCGCAAGGCGCAGCCTCTTGTCTTCCATCGAGATGAGCATGGACATAGATCGAGATGGATGATGCCGTGTAGGAGGGATGTATGGCAAAGGCGAGAGGTCCAGCCCCTGCCTTGGCTTGGCACCGCTATGTTTCCGTTGATGCAAGCAGCATTTCCCCTGTGATGCCGATACTAACCTGGAGGGAGTTTGAGATGAGGAGGTGTTGGTGGTGGTGTATCGTAGGACAGAGGTGTACGACTGGGAGAAGACTTGGCTTGTCCCACGCCTCGGCGGCGGACGCAGGCGGGGCGAGGCTGCAGGGTGAATTTTGGCGCAAGGGCAGCACCGCGCGCACTTCGCTCCGGCAAAATCGACGCCGCTCGCTCGCGGCCGCCCGCCTGCGCCCACGCCCTGCCTCGCCCCTCTCCGCCCAGCCAGGGCGAACGAAGGCAGGGCACTGCGATTATTTCCAACCTCCCTGCCTGCCAACCACCAAGACTCCCTCTACACCACCTCTTCATCAACCTCATACACAACCACACATCATGGTGAATATCCCACGTTAGATACATCGCAGAAGGGACCCATTGGCGCACACGTCGTCGATGCTGGAGAAATCAGAGGGAATTCTGCCATTCCAGGAGGACAGAAAGGAAGCATATAGCAGTCCTGCGCGACAACGAGGAGGAGCGAACAAGCCAGACAAGTCACTGCCGAGGCGAGGCGAGGCTACTGCATTGTTCACTATCGCAGAGCTGCCGAGCTGGGGTGAGCTCTGTCACAGTCAGGGATGGGGCATCTCGGGACTCGTGGGCAGTGAGCGGGCTGGGCCGGAAGATTTGGGCAGTGGTACTTGACTGCTGTGGTAGTCACTTGCTTCAGCCGAACTTGCGGAGAAGAGGAATTATCCAGTGTGGCTACGCAACGTTGAGTATGAAGACGATGTGCTGACTTCGCACACCCCTTGTCTCTCATTCCAGGGTCGAGTTCGTACTAAGACTACCAAGCGCGCTGCTCGCGTCCTGATCGAGAAGTACTACCCTCGTCTCAACCCGGTCGACTTTCACACCAACAAGAAGGTCATCGATGAGGTCGCCATCATCCCTTCCAAGCGTCTCCGCAACAAGATTGCCGGTTTCACCACCCACCTGATGAAGCGAATCCAGAAGGGACCCGTCCGTGGTATCTCCTTCAAGCTGCAGGAGGAGGAGCGTGAGCGCAAGGTGAGCAAGCGTTTGCATTGCAGGTTGGCATGGATCGAGAGAAGAGAAGCAGCGTGGCTGGGCAGGAGAAAGAAGTGCTGCTCGATGGTCAGCGCAGGTTCTCCCGTGCGATTGCAGCGGGCCAAAGCAGGTGCACAGTGGCCACAGGTCTGGCAGCGAATCGCTTGTTGTAGACTTACTCGCACGGGATTGCGGATGCTGAAGGCAGGCTTGTTGAGTTGTAGCGACGACTGAATTGCTGCTGACCTTTCCTACTCTCATACCATCACTTTTAGGACCAATACGTTCCCGAGGTCTCTGCTCTGGACACCTCTGTCAACCCTCTCGAGGTGGACGTCGAGACCAAGGAGATGCTCCGTGGCCTTGGCTTCGACTCGATCCCCGTCACCGTTACTGCTGTCACCAACAACAACGCTGACACTGGTCGTCCCCCTCGAAGGAACGTTCCCGGTGCCCGACGTTAAGCGATGCAATTCGCTTCTCTCTCGGTCTCTGTTAGCGTTTCTCATCCGGCTGCGAAGCACCAGATTGTGGTTGCGATAAGAGATGCAAGGTGACCATACCTGTGCCGCCTTCTGCGCTTCTACTCTTCTGATCTAGTCTTCAGTGTAATGTACTCTTTCCACTATCATCATCCTGTCTCGTCGCATGCCGTCATCTCGCACCCTGTGCCATGCTGCGCAGATTTCCACACACACAAAAACATCAAAAGCAATGAGATTGTTTTGAAAGCCCATCATGGTCGATGCTGTGCGAGGTGGTGAAGTGGTGAAGCTTCTTTCAGTGCTTTCGATGCTTTCAATGCTTCCGATGCCAGGCTGCTCTTCTGAGCCTGGGGGACGCAGAGAGGCGTGCCCCGCCCTGACCGGGGCCGGAAGCCTGAGCCAAAATTATTGCACGGAAAGAGAGCGTGACCTGACCTTCTTCTTCCTATTGTGACCTCCACGAGAAGCCAAAGCTTCACTCCCTTCTGACCTTGTCCTTTAAAGGGTTCTACAGATGAGTACAAGCTCATCAGAGCTGGCCGCCATCGAGGCCCAGCTGGCCTTGCAGCGAGCAGCCCTGGCCGATAAGATTTTTGCCCGCTTCGACCAGTCGTCCTCTTCCTCTTCCCGCAAAGCCAATGGACCAACAGCTTCTGGCTCTGCCTCTTCGCCTTCGGCTTCTAAGAAGAAGCAAGATAGCAGTGGGGTAGGTCAGGCTCGCAAGGGGGCTGCAGATGGCGCTGTCGGTGCTAGTGCGCCATTTGAGCATCGCCCGCCTACGTTGGGCCTAGGAGCTACAGCGCAGATGGACAAGGAGGGTACTCATGGCAAGACGCTTGGCAACGGCAGCAGACACCTGTCCAACGAAGATGCAAGGTTGCGGGGACGCCTGACTAGTAAGAAGGAAGCAGCGGCATCTTCTTCTGCCAATGGCGCTGGCAAGAGGAAAGCCGGCAGCGAAGAGGACGAAGAAGACGAAGAAGACGAGAGCAAGGCTGGCAAGCTCGCAAAGGGCAAGGCCGCTGGAAAGACCAAGGTCGACCCTTTCGCTGCCAAGCCTCCCAAAGCTTCGAAGAAGTTGCAGAAAGACGCGCAAGCGGTACAGGAGACGTCTGAGACGAAGAGCTCAGCAAGTCCTACGCTGCCAGTGCAAGCTGCCGCCTCGGCCCTGTCGAATGGAAGACTACACACGCCGCCTTCTGGCGAAGAGTCTCAGCTGTCTAAGAACCAGCGCAAGAAACTCAACAAGAAACGAAGGCTCGAGCAAGAGGTGCAAGCAGCCGAAGGAGGCAGGGCAGCCTCACCCACCCTGTCTGTGACTAGCTCTGCAAAGAAGATGCCTGCCAAGCCCACGAGCACGGTGAAGTTCGCTGCTCGGAGTGAATCGCCCTCTGCCCCAGCTGACGCTAGCGACATGGAGGACGCTCCGCAACAAGCTGCGAGCACACTAGAAGCTGGCTCAGCTTATCGTCCGTCTGGTACGCTTCCGTCCTCGTCAGCACAGCCAGCATCGACCCTCTCGGTGCACCAGAAAGCTCTACACTCAAAGATTCAGGGCTCACACTTTCGTCAACTCAACGAGTCTCTCTACACTTCTGAGTCATCAGATTCCTTCCGCCTGGCTCAAGAAGACCCGAGCCGTATGCAAGCATATCACGAGGGATTCAGGGAGCAGGCAAAGAAGTGGCCGCAGAAGCCCTTTGAGAAGATCGGGGACGTCATTGTTGGCGATATGATCGCCAGCTGGGAGCAAATGCTCTCGAATGGGAGCGGCAAGGGCGCTGCGACTGGGAAGGGCGTCAAGGGGTCCAAGCAGGCTGACGCATCCAGGCTGATACCTGTTGGAGCAGTCGTCGCCGACCTCGGGGCAGGTGAAGGACCTTTGACCAAGTACCTGTCAGCTCATCCCAAGCTCACAGCCAGCAAGGGAGGACTCGCCCCCTCGCTGCAGCCCAGAGTACTCGCCTACGACCTCCTCGATACCGCCGACGGCATCGTGCGAGGTGTCGACTGTGCTCAGGTCGGAGGGGTACCGCTACCTGGTCGGCAAGGCGGTGGTATTCGAGAGCGGATCAGTCGTCTCGAGCAGCGTGGCTCTCAGACAGCCCTCTCAAAGGACAGAGGCGCAGTAGACGTCGTTGTCTTCTGCCTCAGCCTGATGGGAACCGACTGGGTGGGCATGATCCTCGAAGCACGCCGCATACTCAAGAACGGCGGGCAGATCTTGATCGCTGAAGTCAGCAGCCGCTTCACGGACCCCTCCACTCAGCAATTCACTAAGCTTGTGGAAAGGCTGGGCTTTAAGCTGATGGCCAAAGAAGCGGAGAAGGAAGACGGGAAGAAGGACAAGGAGAACAGCCATTTTGTCCTGCTGAGGTACGCCAAGCTGACGGACGAAGAAGTTCTGGCAAGCACTGGAAAGGGCAAGAAGGGCCGAGGGAACGACAATGGTCAGGCTAACGGAGCTTCTTCTGAAGCGAGTGAGGACTCTGAAGGCGAAGCTCTGATCCAAGAGGCGCGTGAGCTGGATGAGAAGGAGCAGAACAGGCTCCGTCTCGAGGGACAAGCTGTGCTGAAGCCGTGCTTGTACAAGAGGCGGTGAGGCTGATGAAGAGTCAGAATAGTATCCAATGCAAGGATTTCTTTCTCATGCTCTTCTTCACGACCGATGAGTCTGTCTAGTGACTTGACCCAACGTGTGTGCTGCTCGGTCTGATCTGGAGTTGCCTGCCGCCCGTTCCGCCTCAGCTCGACTCCACTCGACTTTTCGACCAGATCTTCCTGCGCCTCATTCCTCCCGCTCCCTAATCCTGAAATCACCGACCCTTCCTACGCTCGCACTTCTCATACTAGCTGTCTCTCCTCCTCTGAGGAAGTCCGACCATCATGTCTTACGCTTCGCTGGACAAGCGCCGTATCAACGGCCCCGATCGTGTCTCGCAGCCCATCTTTCGCGCGAGCGAGTCTGTTGCGCCGGGCGAGGCTGCTAATGCAAAGGGAAAGAGTCGACAGGTCGAGGAGAGGAGCAAGAGAGGGGATGATGGTGTGAGACCGATATGTGAGTCTTCGGAAAAGGATTGCAGTGGACTCGACAGCTCCTCTGCTCTCTTCCATTGAGCCGAGTCTATAGAAGCTCGCATGGCACCTGAGCTGTCCGCTGACCTACCGTCCCACCCTTCTACACGGCATCCTCAGTCCTCCAACTGAACCTCATCCCCCAAGCGAACGGCTCAGCATACATCGAGTGTGGTGGTCTGAAGCTGGCATGTGCAGTGTATGGACCAAGACAAGTGCGGAGCAATAATCGCCAGTACACGAATCAGGCAGAGGTGAATGTGGAATGTCGGTATGCGCCTTTTGCGGGGTCGAGCAGGGTGAAGCCTGGTAGGGTGAGTAACGAGGCGAAAGAAGAAGAGCAAAGCATCCAATAGTCGCAAGACGGTTGTGTCTGTGTTTCATCCTCTCAATGCTGACAGCGCCTTATTCTCATGTCCTCCGTCGCTCTCTCAGGACCTAGAATCCACTGCCCTCTCCTCCCTGATCCACACCTCCCTCCTACCGTGTATCCGTCTGAACCTCCTTCCCAAAGCCTCCCTCGACATCTACATTACCATTCTTGAATCTGACGCTTCCCTCGAGGGATGCGCCAGTCTAGCGATCACGGCAGCCAGCGCTTCACTCGCCTCGGCAGGCATCGAGATGTGGGGGCTCTGCGTGGGAAGCAGCGCTGCCCTCGTTGACGTAGACGTAGACGTCGATGGTGGAGCGGGGAAGTCGCAGAAAGGAAGGGAGAGAAGGACACTGGTGGATCCGACGAGGGAAGAGGCAGCTCAGAGCTCGGGCACCGTTGCGCTTTGTAGTATGCCCGCGCTGGGGAGTATCACTTCGTTGGAACAGTCGGGGACGGTGTCATTCGAGGAGCTGGATCAGGTGAGTATGGCGCTGGGAACGCTCTGCCGATCAGACAGATAGATAAAGCTCCAACGTACTGACACTTTCCTGAGTTCTTTCTGGCACAACAGGTCGTTGAGACTCTCACCAAGACGTCAGCGCAGATCCACCTAGTCGTGGCCGAAGCATTGCAAGAGATGGTCACGTCGCGTCGGCCGAGGTAGTATCTTTTGTCCTGTATATCAGAACGATCTCAATACTAGACACTCGCAACCCTCATTCACTCTCCTACAAAGTCTGCCACTTGTGATGTCAAGTCTAGCTAGCTCGACCCGTGTGAAGAGCCAAGGACTGTCATTTTGTTGGGTGTAGTGAGAAGTAAAAGTGCAAGTACAAGTGACGAGAACAGAAGAGTGACAGTGTGAGAGTGGGTGGAGGTGAGAGTGAGAAAGGAAGTGTGCTTCGCTGCTCATAGAGCTGGTTGGATCAATGTCTGTCAGGAGGAGGGGGAGAGCAGATGCGGTCAGTACAGGTCCATCGCGAGTGAGGTACCAGAGGCTCGCAATCTCGAATCGACCGCATCAAGCCCCTGGGCTGTCCTCTGTTCTCGCAGAACCTCTCATCTTTGATAAGGTAGCGGATTCTGGTCTCTTATGGCTTTTCGAGTAGGCTGTCTAGCCAATCCTGTCAATCTGACCCCACTCTAGACCTAGCATTCATCCTGGACTAGCGTACTCACGATATTATCTCCCTTCAGCAATATCCTCCCCAAGTCTCTACTCTGCCCTGCCTTTCCACCCTTGGCCTTGTCCGTGTAAATCTCCCTAGCCTCTGTCATTGTCACGTTCATGAACTCGTCGAATCCTACGATTTTCCCCTCGATGCGCATCTCGAGATTGTCGTAGAGCCAGAGGGAGACGCGGGTGCCTTGTTGCAGATACCGGAAAATGACTTGGATGGGCTGTGGACATGTGAATGATAAGGAGGAGGAGGAGGAGGAGGAGGAGGAGGAGGAGGAGGGGACCGAGGATTTGGGTCAAAGAGGAGATGAAGAGAAGGGAAAGAGACAAGCAGCAAGTCAGTGAATGACTCTCGGCATTAAGGTGCAAAGTTTGCGCAGCAGCCGGACCAATCTGCCACCTCCTCACTCACCTGAACCATCACACGCTGTTGTTTCGACCCCATGCTGGCTATTCTTGGCCTCTTGCGAGGATGTAGGAGATGCTAAAAGAGGGATAGAAACCTTGAAGGAGGCTGGAGCGGAACGAGGCTAAAGCTTCACTGCCTGCTTTGCTCTGATGCCGCGCAGAAGGTATTCCGAGAAGAGGGTTCGCTCAGCGTCAAGCCTGTGTCGTACGGAAGCACAGGTCTAAAAGAGGTCTTGGGACAGAGGAGGCGGGGTATGGCTTCGGGGGTTGTGATGAGTAGGACGAAGTGGATGGTGAGGTGCGTCGATGGGATCTTCCGAAGGTGGATTGTGGCTGCCAAGTGCGCGAATCGCTCCTTCCGTCTCAGAGCACGACGCCGTGGAGGAGCGGCCTTGACACTACTCGGTATACTCACTTCATCCTCTCCTCCAATCAGCCACTCCCTTGTGGACTAGAGCCCTGTCTCTTTACGTCTGTTGACCATGGCAGCGACGGGCAGCAGCGCAAAGCCTGGCAAGAATGTGGGTAGAGGCGGTGTCTGAGCCGGGCTGACGCGTGCGGACATCTTGCTCACTTTGCCTCTTCGTCTGTAAACGATCCCTTGGCTTTTCCTTTTCCCTTTTGATCAACATCACTCCCCTGGCCCTGCTTCTTTTGCTTCTTTGTGTGCTCTTTCAGGCTGGCGAGGGCACAGGTCGTGGAAGACGCAATCTGCAATACAGAGGACTCTTCGCCAAGGATCGTGAGTAGCCAGCGCTTTGTGAGATGGCCATGTTTCCTCGCATTGGCCGTGCCAGGTCCTCAGTAACGGCCAGGACGAGTCACTGATCGTCAATTCTTCTGGATCCTTGGCTTCGTCCTCTCTTCGCAGTGCCTATGATGATGTACGGCTTCGGTGATGCCCGCAACCCCAATCAGCAGTCCATCGAGGTCATGGAGTCTCTCACCGTCGCCTTTCTCACGGACCTCTGCCATCGCTGTCGTCCCTCTTCCACCTCTCTCCCAACAAGTCGTCACTACCCCTATGCTCAGCGAGCCAAGGTCAAGATGGACGATCTGAGATTTGCTCTGCGGAAAGACGAAAAGAAATTGGCAAGATTGGAGGAGCTCATCTACCTCGAGGGAGTCATCAGTGGCGCCAAGAAGCTGCTCAGCAACGATGTCGTTGACGACGTAGCCCGACAGGTCGAGGCAGAGGAGAAGGGAGAGAAGGAGAGGGCAGCTGCCGCCAGGGACGGGGGAGAAGCGAATGCAATGGAGGTGGATGGCGAGGCTGCTAAGGAGGACGGCAAGCAGGGAAGAGGGGCGACGCAGGGCAAGAGCAAGGCAAAGTAGTCCTTCCTCTTGACAAGATCAATGGGCATGAGGCGATCCCTCCGATTTACCATTTGTACCAACAGACATCCAACACGCCTACGTAGCGGGCCTGGCAGAGGCAGTCACATACATCTATTCTCTCTCATAGCTCCTGAAACCAGTGCATAGGACTGATTCTGCAGGGAGAGTTGCTCTTGAACGATGTCTCCTGTACTCAACAGCACATGAGATTGACAGCGAGCTCGCCATGGGTTCGCACCTTCGAGGGGGACCTGGCCAGGTGCTCCACTCAAGGAGCGGTCAAATGTTTCGACACGTCCTAGTCCTTCTGGTGGGTATGCACCTCCGACTGACTTGCTGCGTTTGGAATGCGAACAATCACAGCTTCAAAGGGGTCCCAACGACCGTCTTACTATCTGGACATCAGCGGACCTGTCTACATCACACCGTGATGACGCTGACCTTACGCGTTGTGGCTTAGCGGAAGGAAGTGGAGCTGCAGCGTCAAGACGTGGAGGCCCGCAAAGCTTCTTGCCCCCTTCGTGTTGCCTACTTTTCCACCCTTTCTTAGCTCAGTAGCTATCACCCCATTGACTTCGAGCCCTTAGATACCTAGGAAGCAATGGTCGCTCCCTCCACGGGCACTACGGATCGTCCGGCCTCCCCTCCCAAGCTGTCACTGATTCCTCCGTACCACATTGTCTACCTGGGGCTCTTGCTCGGTCCCTTGACCGCCTTCACCATCCTCTCCCTCTTCTTGCAAACACATACATACAATGTCTACCTCTCTTCTCCTCATGCATCCTCCACAGGTGATGTGGTAGCCGAGCATCTCAAGCCTGTGGCGTCGATCTTCGCTCAGAGGACCAATCTGCTCAACCGCGTCTTCATCAAGAATGCCTGGGCCTGGACCTCGGTTGCTTGGGTGGCTCAGGCGCTTACGCTCCGAGGACCGGAGTCACCCGAAGCGAAGAAGGCGGCTCAGATTGCCAAGGGGAAGGCAAAAGCGGATGCTGCCAAGGTCAATGGAGCTGCAGAAGACGAGGTTGGGCCAGAGGATCAGGAAGCTACAGTGGCTAGTCCGCTAGCGAAGAGTCTTCTGAGGTACGCCATTGCTACGACTGCCTGGATCTGCTTTTCCCTCTGGCTATTCGGACCTCCCCTAATGGAGCGCATCTTCACAAGTTCTGGCGGTGTGTGCGTCCCTCGCCAGGCGGGAGACGCACTGGATGGCATGTCTAACCCTTCGGGAGAGGCATCAGTGGCTGGCGATGTGTCGGCTTTCCGGATGCCCAACTCGCCAATCGACGAAGCCTTTTGCCGAGCAGGACGCAGGGGAATTAGCCTGAGCGAGAGACCGGATCTGTTCAAGACTGCTCATCTCCTCGTCACGGAGGGCATCGGTAGCGGAAGGCTACGAGGAGTCTGGAGGGGAGGGCATGACGTCTCTGGCCACACCTTTATTCTGCTCTTGTCTTCCCTGCTCCTCTTGGAAGAGATTACCCCCTACATGGCCCACTTCTTCTACGAGTTCCTTCCCAAAGGTCTGCAATATCCTCTTCCCAAGTCCCTGACACCCATCTTCCCGCGGCCACTGCGCTCGAATCGCAATCCCTTCAGGCAAGGCGAGCCGGCGAGGGTGCAAAACGCAGTGGTGATGTCGAGCATCTTGGCTCTAGTGGGACTCTGGATCTTCTGCATTATCAACACTGCCCTCTTCTTCCACACGCCTGCAGAGAAGTTCAGTGGAGCATTGGTGGCCTTGGGCGCCTGGGCGTTGCTGCCCAAGGGCGGGTAGCTGGGTGTTGGGCGACGGAATTGCGGCGCCATTAAAGGCAAGTAAAAGACAGAGGCGACGGAGAGAAATCAGTCAGAGCATATATGAAACATGTCAACGGGCAGCGCAATCGACAATGCCAATCAGTATCAGCACCAGCAGTAGCAGCACTCCTCGTCCGGCGTGCCTCTGCAGTCTCGTCGACGTCGGGGAAGTGTGGCCCATGACTGGTATCCGAGGGCGGTGTGAGACACTTTTGCACGTGGCAGCGTCATGAATTGAGACTCCGCTCCCGAATGTTGTGTGCATCTCCTCAGTGAAGTGGCTCGTATGCGTAGGGGGCTGCAACCCTGGCGTCCTACCATTCCTCCTCCTGCTGCTCCTCCTTCTTCGTCTCATCTCGCGCTCTTCAACCCTTGCACACGTACACACTAGATAGAAGCATTGGGATCATATCAGCTTGTCAGGCATACATTCACTGCATTCGCTCCTTGCTACCCTCGTCACCCTTTCACTCTCTTGACATCTCTCATTGCCACCTCCGACGATGTCTCACGTCAAGGTTGACACCCTCGTGATTGGAGCCGGTAAGTCATCACAGCGGGCGAGGGCAACCTCCGGGACGAACAGGCTGTCCTAACGTCTCCTGTTCCTACCATCGCAGGTCCTACCGGCCTGGGCGCAGCAAAGCGTCTTCACCAGCTGCACGGCGCCAACAAGACAGCTTCTGGCGACGAGTCTTGGCTGCTCATCGACGCTTCTCACGAGGCCGGAGGACTCGCCTCCACCGATGTGACCGACGAAGGATTCCTCTTCGACGTTGGAGGTCACGTCATCTTCTCCCACTACGCATACTTTGACGATGTCATCCAGGAGGCTCTCCCCAAGGAGAGCGATTGGTACACCATGCAGAGGGTGTCCTACGTTCGCAGCTTCAACACTTGGGTCCCTTACCCATACCAGAACAATATCTCTGTCCTTCCAGTCGCGCAGCAGATTGCCTGTATCGAGGGAATGATCGATGCCCAGGAGGAGCGAATCAGGGCAAAGGACACTCCTCAGACATTCGATCAGTGGATTATCAGGATGATGGGTGAGTACGCGCGAGAGGCGTCCGCTGACTCGAGACTTCGTAGCTGAGCTCTGTCTACCGCTCTTATTTGCTCTCATTGTATCATAGGCAAGGGTCTTGCTGATCTCTTCATGAGGCCATACAACTTCAAGGTCTGGGCTTACCCGACCACGGCTATGCAATGCAAGTGGCTCGGTGAGCGAGTCGCTGCCCCTTCGCTCAAGCTGGTCGTCTCCAACACCCTCCAGCGCAAGACTGCCGGCAACTGGGGACCCAATGCTACATTCAAGTTCCCCGCATACGGTGGAACTGGAGGAATATGGAAGGCGGTAGCCAAGACACTTCCCAAGGAGAAGCTGCAATTCAACAAGAAGGTCGTCAGCGTCGATGGTCCTGGTCACAAGGTCCACCTCGATGACGGTGGCTCGATTGAGTACAAGCACCTCATCAGTACCATGGCTGTCGACTACCTGGTCGAGAACCTCAAGGTGGACAATGGTGACGCTGCTCTGCACAAGAAGATGCTCGCAGCCACCAAGGAGGGTCTCCTCTTCTCATCTACCCACGTCATCGGTATCGGAATCCGTGGAGAGCTTCCACCAAGGATCGGCGACAAGTGCTGGTTGTACTTCCCTGAGGACGACTGCCCCTTCTACCGAGCTACCGTCTTTTCCAACTACTCGCCCAACAACTGCCCTCAGGCAGACGTCAAGCTCAAGACGATCCAGTACGCTGACCCCTCTACTGGCAAGCCTTCGGGCGAGGCCGAGGGTGGACCTTACTGGAGTTTGATGATGGAAGTTTCTGAGTCTGACGCCAAGCCCGTCAATGCCGCTACTCTTCTGGCAGACACCATCAAGGGCTGTGTGGCCACGGAGCTCTGCAAGGGCACAGACCAGATCGTCTCCCTCTACCACCGAAAGTTCGTGCAGGGCTACCCCACCCCTTCCCTGGGTCGTGACGCTGCTCTGGCTGACTTGCTCCCCCCTCTCCAGGAGAAATGGGACATTCTCAGCAGAGGAAGGTTCGGAAGCTGGAAGTACGAAGTGGGAAACCAAGACCACTCCTTTGAGCTTGGTGTCGAGGCAGTGGACCGAGCACTCTATGGAAGCCCGGAGATCACCCTCGACTCGCCCGACTATGTCAATGGCCGAAGGAACACTGAGAGGCGTCTCAAGTAAGAAAGAGGGCGCTGGAGAAAGCGCAAGGATTTTCGGGCACACTCTCTTCTGGGGCTGAGGCTTCATAGATGCCTCCTTCCTTCTGTTGGTCCATCCTTCCTACACTCTTCTTCTCCGTCTCTTTCTGCATGTTCGGAGGTACCTTGACATTTTATACATACTTTTGCAACCATGAATTACTCATCTCACCTGACAAATGAAGAGTCTCACTGCAAGGCTTCAGAGTAGATTGATTTAGTCCAGACGGAAAACTTATATACGATTGTATCCATGATCTCACTCTTCATCCCAAGTCCATCCCAACTCACCAGCTCCCATCCCCGTCCAAGGCAAGGAGCGCGGCAGCGGATGCAAAATCTTGACTCCCTTTACATGCGTCTGCGTCGTCTTGATTGTTGCACCGTGATGTTTCCCCATTTGCATTGCAGGATGTAACTTTGCATACTTTTCCTTTTCCAACTTTGCTTTTTTGTCCTTGTCTGCTTGAAGAGCTTCCTGCCTGTGCTTCTCTCCAAGAGGTAGACGATTTTGGGTTCCCCATATGCTCATGGGTGAACGAAAGGTGTTCCATGGATCTACTGCCCGCTTTGTCACTTCAAGTTCGCGCATGATGGATTCACCGTGGTAGAGGTGTTTCCACTGCTCACCTTTGCGCAGCGTCGCATCAGCATAGCAGGGGAAGGAGCGTCGCTCGATTCCATCTGCTGCGAGGGCGGACTGGAAGTGGTCTTCTGCAAGAGAGAGCCAGCGATGTGCTTGCGGTCCTAGGGACTGGTGACCCCAGGTACCCACGGAAGATTGGATTAGCCAGAGACCATCACGGAAGGGGAAAGAGGAGGCGTGGGCCAGCTCGGCGGCTGCGTGCCGTGGTGAAGGACCGCCGTACATCTCCATGTACACATTCCAGTTCCACCTGGCCTGCTGCAGCCCATCACTCTCTGACGAGCTTCGACCGATGTGGCGTAAGTTCTCGTCAAAGAGCATGTGAGTGATGTTGCGCAGCGTCTTGTCCGAGAATCCTCTTTGCCCGACAGTCAGCTGTGTCCGAGCGAGGAAATTGTTGCGCCTAGTCCGCTCCAGCTGCGTGTTGAGCTTGTTGCCCGGCACGCCAAAGTCGTCCCATTCCTCCATGATCTGCAGATAACTCATCTCCTCTTCCCTCAGAGAGTCGGGTTGCGGAGCTCCGTGCTTTGGGATGTGTCGCATGAAGAGGTGAGACATGATGCTGTGCTTCATGAAGGCCTTGCGGCCCATGTACACCCCGCGTAGGTGTACCGCTACGGTTCCACCTGGAGGGTCAGAAGGGCTCGCACGGGAGATCTGCAGGTGAAACCCTAGCTCACGAGGAAGATGGCTCTTGGGCTCCGTTGCAAAGCCTTGCACAGCTGCGATGATGCGAGCGATATCGTCGCCAGACTTGATTGAAGGGGACCAGCGATACTCGAGGAATGTCCAACGGCCAGAGGCGTCGTGAGTCTCGAACTTGAAGTTGGTCACGATGCCAAATTGTGCTCCTGTGCCACGTAGGGCCTTGAGTAGCTGGCCCTTGGGAGTATTCTCCTTGTCTTTGCGATGTACAGTGATGATCGTCGAATTAGCCAGAACGACGGTTGCCTCGACGAAGGCGTCTGTCGTGAGGCCCCACTTCCTCGATGTCGGTCCGAAGCCTCCGCAGAGCGCGTGTCCCCCCACGCCCACAACGGGACATGTTCCGTGCGGAATGGCCTTTTTAAGTTCTCCTCTGTTTCCCCAAAGCCCGAGGATGACATCGCCCAACCTTGCCGCAGGTCCGATATTGGCCGTCTTCCCATTTCGCGCTACATCGACATGGTTGAAGTACTTGAGATCGACGACTAGATGACCATCCTCTCCTCCCGTGCCCAGACCAATGAAGGAATGCCCTCCACTACGCGCAGTGACGGGTACATTGCCATTTTCTCTTGCACAGTGTATGGCTCGAGCCACGTCGTGCGCTGAGCGAGGGTAGACGATTGCGTCTGGGTGGTAGTGAAAGCGGAGATTGTCCGATTGGGCTGCTTCCCAGTAATTGTCCGTACCATTGAGGAAAGGCGAAGTAAGGTCCCAGTCTGCACCGGCTGTCTTGAGGCACTGATGCAGCTGTGAGGGTCCTGGATGGTCGTGCTTGTGGCTGTACCGACGGCGGGTGAGCTCACTGAGGGCGTCCTCCGGCGGTGTACCCCTCTCCCAGCCACGAGGCAAGACGAGCTGCTCTTCGGGTGAGGGCAGGAAGTTGGGGACACTGTGGACTAGTGGCAGCAGACTGGTCCCCAGTATGAGCCAGAAAGCAAGCGAGCTGATGGTGATAGTCCGCCGCCTCTCCTTGCAAGGCGATTGTGATCTTGTACGAAGAGAGGTCGAAGGCATTGATGCTCTAAAAGCGCCTTGTGTATGTACTAGGAAACTAAAGACGGCGTGATGAGGCTCTGCCGTTACAAGATGAAGCAAGGCAGACAACAGAAGTCGTTTCGAGAGCTTTGGGAGAAGGCGGATCAAGTGCTCTTGCTTCGGTATTTGTCTTGTGGGCAGTGGAGATGTAGCATCAAGATCCTCCTTGCTCGTAGCGCCTAAGCAAGCGACACCAATGTTGCTGCTGCCCCGAGGAAGGCAGTCGCTGATGTTGCTGTACTGTCACCTCTGTCAGGCAGCGCCTAATGCGAGCTTGCGGTGTGTAGAAACTGACGACTGGCTCAAAGGATGCGTGCGAGCAGTAGGCAACGATGTCCTGCAAAGCATTGTGCTTGCGCCCCCGGGCAACGAGGCTACTGGGTCCAAAGTGCGGCAGCAAATGACGGACAGGCTTGCTTCCGAGTCTGACGGACCGCCGACGGTAGCAAAAGAGGAGCTCTTCGAGGACTTCAGTATCTGATCCGGACGTCACTCGTGGCGACATTCAGGAGATGCGGTGGTCAAAGTGTGCGAGCAAGGGCCAAGTCAGGAGGACGAGGAGCCGAGAGGACCTTCCTGCAGGGCCCTGTCGTCAGGGTCTGAGCGCAAGTCGCCCTCTCCTCACTTTGTTGAGTGAAGCCACTGCCGGCTTGGCACGATCGCCTGTCTGCTCCTGTTCCACAGTCCACGATGATAGACGTTAGTCTCCTTGCGAAACTCGCCACTGGGAAGTCAATGTGCAAAAGAGGATATCGATGAATAATGATACAAAGTGGGAGGAGCGCGGAAGCGGGAGGGTGAAAAGGAGAGGGGAAGCCACGGCTATACACACGACGATTTCAACACTGGCGAAACGGACCTCAGCAGCACTTTCCCCCATCCCTGACTCCAAAAGCTTCCTTCAACTTCACGAGTCCACCACCGCTCGAGCCGCCATGCCGCGTACTACTGCTGCTGCCAGATTGGATCACGTCGGCAAAGGAGAACCTCGAAAGACCTCCTGCTTCAGATGCGGAGCGCGAGTGACTTCGGAGGCGATCGCCGTAGGAGATGCCTGAGCCGGCTGTGGGTAGGCGTTGTGAGTAGAAAAGAGAAGTTCAGCAAATGACTGCAGAAGTACCAGAAGACGGGCTGCTCACGTTCCTCGGGGGCCACTAGGCCCTTCTCGATGAGATCGATGATCCCTCGAGCGCACAGCGTGAAGGGGGACTCGATGTTCTGCCCTGTAAGCGACGAAGTCTCAGCGAAGAGCAGACCTATGCGAAGGTGATGTGGGTCACGAGCGCATCGTCAGTCATTCCAGCTCAAATCTCTCAGCACGCCAAGCACGGTCGCACAGCCCCACTCACCTTCACTCTCAGCCCACTGTCTAGCCTCCTCCCACTCCACCTCACGCTTAGGCGGTGAGGCCTGCTCTCCACCCATCTGAGCGCCGGAGCGATTCCTCCCGCCCACCAGATCCGTCTTGTTGCCCACTACGACGACCAGCACCTTTTCTGCCGCGAGAGAACGGACGTCTGCAAGCCAGCGGGGGAGAGACTCAAAGGTGGATCGTCTGCTCGTCGCCAGGAGAGGAGCGAGGCCTAGTCAGCCCTATTCGGTGAAGCGATCCCCTTTTACTTTGTAGCTGAGCGCCACTCACTTTGTCACATCATACACAAGCAAAGCCCCCGCTGCCCCTCGGTAGTAGTTCCTTGTAACACTCCGGAACTTCTCCTGCCCAGTCGTATCCCACAGTTGAAGCTTGACTGCACTCGCGCGCTTCGTCTTGCTACTGCCTCCAATAGTCGATGTCGTCGAGACACTAGGGGTCATCCCTGTGGCGAGACCGCCCCTCCCCCGACCTTTCCATGCGTATTCCGCATTTGCATCAGCATCTGCGTCCCCGTCCGGGTGGGCAGAAGCATCAGCATCTGCGTCCCCGTCCGGGTGGGCAGAAGAGCCAGGAAAGGCCCCCTGCTGAGGCAGTGGCGAGCTTGCACCTAGGAGTAGCACCCGCGAGGTGAACTCCACTCCAACCGTGTGACTCTTGGGCACGAATTCGTGGTGGATGAACTGGTGTAGGAGTGTAGATTTGCCAGTGGAGGAATCGCCGATGATGATCAGCTTAAAGAGGAAGTCTACGAGGGCCGAGGAGAGGAGAGAGGGATGTGGTGGTCAGAGGGGACAGTGTGATAGGGTTAGACTGCGCTTGGTAGGTCGACTGAGCTGCTCAAATGAAGGCTTTAAGGCTTCGACCGGGCCTCTTGCTGACATGTTCTCCACATATTGAACTCACCGTACGCTGCGCCTAGCTCGAGGGTATCGTTCATGACGACCGAACCGTTAAGGTTTGCTCAGGGGCTGAGATGCGGGGTTGGCAGTCTGCCTGCGAGGTAAGAGGTCAAGACGCCGATGGATGGCAGACGAGAAGGAGGAGGTGCTCCAGTAGCGGCTGAAGGATGCTGTTGCCTTCGGAGTGTGTCGGTATTAGAGGGATTGATCGCTGAGGACGGCGATAATGGCGGCAGTGTTGGTAGCAGCAGTGGTGGAGGGGCGTCTAGGCAGCGAGGCACACCACACACACACGCGGAAGCAGCACTCGACTCCTTGGGCGTCGCGCCGCCGGCGAGGAGGCCTGGGCGCACAATCTCATCTCACACACCTGCAGCCACACTCACAGCACAGACACACAAGGGCCACCCTTAGAGATACGCACATTCTAACAACCGGTAAGAATCTATCACAAGTCTTTTTGAATTGACAGCAGACAGTACTCGTAGCACAAGGTGGTGGGAGATACAAGGTGAACATCGGGAGCGAATCGCTCGCACGCTTTTCATTGCACCTGCCGTCGCGTGGCAATTTAGTCGATGGACTCCATGGCCGACTCGCCGGTGACCTCCTCTGCCTTGGTCGAGTCCTCCACGCTGTCCAGAGCATCAGAAGTGTCGTCGATGCTCAGTCCGAGGCTGATCAGCTTGTACAGCCTAGAAGCGAATGTCTGCGGCTCATCCAGCGAGAAGCCAGAGGTAAGCAGCGAAGTCTCGTAGAGAAGGTTGGTGAGGTCCTTGACGGTAGGGTCCTGGGCATCCTGGGCGACCTTTGCTGCGAGCTCCTTGATAATGGCGTTGCTGGGGTTGATCTCCATGGTCTTCTTCGAGGCCATGTAGCTGCTCATCGAAGAGTCACGCAGGGCCTGGGCCTTCATCACCCTCTCCATCTGAGCACTCCAGCCGAATTGGCCAGTGACCAGCACACAGGGAGAGCCAACGATACGCTTCGAGACGACGACCTTCTCGACCTTGTCGCCGAGAATCTCCTTGACAGTGCTGCAGAGACCCTCGAGAGACTTGGCCTGCTCCTCAGCGGCCTTCTTCTCCTCCTCGGTCTCCTCGAGCTCAAGTCCCTCCTTGGACACCGAGACCAGCTTCTTGCCCTCGAACTCCTTCAGGTTGGTGACACAGTACTCGTCGATGGGCTCGCACATCAGCAGCACCTCGTATCCCTTCGCCTTCAGCCTCTCGATGAAGGGAGAGGTCTTGGCAGCAACGAGCGACTCAGCGGTGAGGTAGTAGATGGACTTCTGAACCTCGGGCATCCTGGTGATGTAGTCCTTCAGGCTGGTCAGCTCATCTCCGCTCTTGGTCGAGGGGAAGCGCAGGAACTCGGCGAGCTTGTTCCTGTGGGTCGAGTCCTCGTGCACACCGAGCTTGATGTTCTTGCCAAAGGCCTCCCAGAACTTGACGTACTGCTCCTTGTCCTCTGCGATCTCAGAGATCATCTCCATGGTTCGCTTAACGACGTTCTTGCGGATGACCTTGAGAATCTTGTTCTGCTGCAGAGTCTCACGCGAGATGTTCAGGGGCAGGTCCTCTGAGTCGACGACACCCTTGACGAAGTTGAGGTACTCGGGGATGATGTCCTCGCAGTCGTCCATGATGAAGACACGTCGGACGTACAGCTTGATGTTGTTGCGCTTCTTCTTGGTCTCGAAGAGATCGAAGGGGGCACGCTTGGGAATGAACAGGAGAGCCTTGAATTCGAGCTGACCCTCAACGCTGAAGTGCTTGACGGCTAGGTGGTCCTCCCAGTCGTTTGTCAGCGACTTGTAGAAGGCACCGTACTCCTCGTTGTTGATGTCCTGAGGAGCGCGAGTCCAAAGAGGCTTAGTCTTGTTGAGCTCCTCGTTGGAGGTCTGCATCTCCTTGACCTTCTTCTTCTCCTTCTTCTTTGAAGCGTCCTCGTCCTCAACCTCCTCGATCTTGTCGTCCTTGGCCTCCTCCTCCTCCTCGACTTCCTTCTCGACCTCCTTGGTGGTCACGAGCTGGATGGGGTAAGAGATGAACTCAGAGTGCTTCTTGACAATGTCCTTGATCTTCTTCTCCTCGAGGTACTCGGTCTGGTCCTCCTTGAGGTGCAGACGCAGCTCGGTTCCTCGTCCGAGAGAAGGACCGTTGTCGGGGCTGATGGTGAAGGTACCGCCGGCGGCCGACTCCCAGATGTACTGCTCGTCGTCGTTGTTCTTGGTGATGATCTGCACCTTGTCAGCGACGAGGTAGGCAGAGTAGAAACCGACACCGAACTGTCCGATCATGGAGATGTCAGCTCCGGAAGAGAGAGCCTCCATGAATCCCTTGGTGCCGGACTTGGCGATGGTACCGATGTTGTTGACCAGGTCAGCCTTGGTCATACCGATACCAGTGTCGCGGATTGAGAGGATCTTGTTCTCCTTGTCGGGGGTGATTCGGATGTAAAGGTCCTTTTCGGTCTCTAGCACCGAGGGGTCGGTGAGAGCAGAGTAGCGGACCTTGTCAAGAGCATCGGAGGCGTTGGAGATGAGTTCTCGCAGGCTGGAAAGGAGACAAGGGAAAGGGATGCATACAGTCAGAATCATGTGCCTTGCGATGCTAGCAACAGCTCCGGGCAAGAGCTGGGAAAGGCTACTCACAAAATCTCCTTGTTGCTGTAGAAGGTGTTGATGATCAGGTCAAGCAGTTGAGAAATGTCGGCGGCCTAAGAAAGGTGAGGGAAGAATGCACAGCGGTATGGACTGGTGTTAGTCGCCACCTCGGAAGGCAAGGCATGCTGCACGGCGGGTCAAGCTCTACTCACGAAGCCGAAGGTCTCTGCGGGTTGGTCTGCCATGGTGTATGAGGTGTGTATGTGTGTGGGTGGAGTAAAGGGTGACGGTGTAGTGGTGGAATCGTGAGGAGAAGGGGGGAAGATCCGAGACGAGGCAGGGCTGCACTTGTATTTCCACCCTTGCTCTCCTCTGTTCTTCTGAGGCGGGGCAAAGAAGCTCACCGAAAATCCGTCCGTCGTCCTGCCAGTCGTGCATCTCATCTCCACACGCGGGCGCGGGCGCCCATCTCCCGTTCCGAGTCTGAGTTCTTGCGCTCTATGCAGGCACGCACGCACACATGCACACACAGAGCTCGAACAGACAGGCTCAAGGAAATGAGACCCAAGTATCAATGAGAACATGTATCAATTGGCGTCGGAAAGGATAGATGAGAAGACAATGACAAGGTCATACAGGCGAGGTATACACACCGTGTGTGGGAGACATCATCGGAGCTGATGCGTGAGAGAGTCGAGAAGGTACAAGTGAAGCGAAAGAGGTGTACAGCAAAGGAGGCTGAGTAAGAGAAAAGAGAAAAGAAGCAGGGCGCACGGGCGATAGATGGTCGAGCGGTCCAGCATCGTCGAGACCGGCGAGGAAAATGGATGAATGATGGTCTAGATGATCATCAGAGCCAAAGGCACTCTGACCAAGGTCTGCCGGCTACTCCAGCAGTGTTGAAGATGGAGTCTGTAGAAAGGGTAAGCTTTAGCCCATCATGCGAGCCAGCAGGTTCTCGATCGTGGTAGATTTGTTGGCCTGACCCATCGCTGGCGCACTCTGCTGCTCATTGCCTGGCGAAATTTGGTCACTGTCCGACTGTCGGTTTGGGGAGGAAGAGTAGTGCGCCGCGGCAGCGCCAGTGCCACCTCTCAGAGACCTCACAGACGAACTGGCAGAAACTTCGGCTGACTTGCCATGGCCACCTTCCTCGCTCGAGAGAGAGGAGGAAGACACCGACCCAGTTGACAATCTGCCGCCGCTAGCAGATGCTTGCATCTGAAGCGCTGTTCTGCTCGCCCTTGAGCTCTTGAACGTCGGTGCTGGAAGACTAGCGGCGCTGGGAGAGTTGTGAAAATCTGGGCCTGCGTAGGCAGCATCTGCTCCGCTGGCAGGCGGTAGAAGATGGTGAGCAGAAGTGGAAGGGATGATTGCCGGCGAAGATGACGGGTGACTTTGCGGTCGCTTGATGGGCGTCGAGGGTTGAGCAGGCAGAGAATTACGCTGGTTGCTGATGCCAGCATTTGGCTTGCTGACGGCAGTCACTGACCGAGTCATGTTTATGGCGGGTTGATGGTTGCCGAATACATCATCGACAGAGATGTCGCCGACAGAGTCGCTTGTAGGGAGACTCTGCGCATCTCCACTCTTTTTGCTGTGCGACGACGACGCTGAAGCCGCCGAACCACGAGAGATGGTGTTTCGTGCAGCGGCAGCCTTCTTCACTACCTTGACCCTCGTCACATCTTCACCTATACTGCCAGATCGTTGCAGTTCGCTGGATCGACTATCCCCGAAGGTTTCAGCATCCCGAGCGTCTGCAAAGACGTCGAACTTGGGACCTCTTTTCGCTTTGGAGGTGGAATTGAGGAGGGATTGCTGCCAATTCTGGGTGTCTTTGCTGGCCTCAGCGTTCGCCGGCGAGTCAGCCGACTTGAGCCGGGCGCCACCTTTCTTGCCAGCAGTCGACTTGCTTTTTCCTGCCGAATGACCGCTCATGAGCTGCTGTTGCCATGTCAGAGCTCCGTCGGCCTCGAACACTCTTCCTTCTGTGTGGGAAGAGGCGGGAGCTGACGTAGACATGACTCCTGCATCGGCAGTCGAGCTGGAGCGCGGGAAAGCGTCTGATGAATCCACTTTGACTAGTTGCCCCTGCTTGGCCCTTGACTTCTTGGTCTTCGAAGACGTGGCTCGCGCATCGCCGCCCATTGGCTTGCTCAGCGAGATGAGGCCTGGGGTCGAGGAGCCGACGACTTGAGGCACTTCTGCAGCCTTGACCTCGTTCTTCATAGACGATGAATTGGTGGATGCTGATGAGGCAGGTTCGGAGCCCGTTGCACGCGACGTATTGCGCTTTGTCTTGGGCTCCTTGGCACTCGATCGAGCAGATGATGAGGATCCTGCCCTCGACAGTGGGCGTGAGTGGGGCGTGGCTATGCCTGAGCTGTTGTAATGAGGCGCATGTTGCGGTTGCTGCAGTGGGGCGGGTCGCATTGTCGCTAACATGTTTCAATCCAAGGGAGGCTAGGAGGATGTCTGACGACCGAGAAAACCAGAAGCGAGACGCGCTGGCGCTGGCTGGGCAAGCAGTTGAGATAGACTGCGACGAGATCGGATTGCTTCAGGAGTCAGAAGCCCTGAAGAACGTGGTTTGTGAAGGCCCGTGGGGATGCAAGAGTCCTTGTCAAGCTCTTGAAGATAGGCTATGGAAGCAAGCGAATTGAAGAAGTGAGGCCGAGACTATATAAGGCTAGGCCGGTTGATGGTACAATGCGACTACGTCGAAAGATAGGTGGGAAGCTTGGCTCTGATATAGCTGCCGAGGAGAGACCGTGGCAAGAACGTGATGTCGCAAAACGGAGTCACTTGACCAGCAAGAGAGAGACAAGAAGGTCGCTTGGTCGTTGATCGCTCTGAGAAGTAAGCGAGGTATACAGGAGCTGTTGCTGGGAGGTAGGGGTGTTTCTAGGTGGCGTGTGTGATGCGTTGTGGCTGTGGATCAGACGTGATGCTTTATGATGATCTGAGTCTAGGCGGAGGGGGGGCCTGGTGGCATGTACGAAGGCTCGAGGTATATGAGGGGTTGCTATAGAGACATAGGGGCATAGGTCGAGTCTGTACAATGGGATAGGAAGGGGAGGAGGATTGGAGACAGGATGCGTCGATGGATGCGTATTGTGGGCCCCTGTGTAGGCGAGGCGAGTCAGCCACTCTGGCGCGCGCGGTGCATGGGCCTGGCAGATTGCTTCCGCCTCGCGCCCTGCGTGCTTGTGTGTGTGCCACTCCCGCTCCCGGGGCCACAGCGCAGGATACAATGGCGCATCTGTGCAAGTCGCAGGTGCATCACAGGGGAAAGCAGAGTGAGGAGATGGGATGGCAAGCTGGATCAACTGATGGAGTGTCGGCGTGTGTCTCTCTCTGTGTGTATATGTGTGTGAGCCAGCAACGCCGTCTGCCCGTTGCGCGTAAAGGTGGCGAGGTGTTTCGGAACGGTGCGTCAGTGGGCCGGGCTCAATCCATTATATTTCATCGCCCATTTCCCTTTCAGACATCCATCTCGTTCTTGCACCCCAATCCCTGTCTCCCTCTACCTTTTGGTCCCGAGACACCTCTTTCCTCCCCAACCTCGCCGCCGTCATGGCTCCTCAGAGGCGCCCAGCCGCCGAGGTCATCAGCTCTGATTCTGATGACGAAGCAGCTAGACCCACAGGTAGCGCCGCTACTCGCAGCGCCGGTGGAGGAGGGGCAGGTGGGGGGAGACGTATTGTTCTCACTGGCAGAGGGAACAACAGCTCTCGCCGAGACAGAGAGGATGAGGACGAGGCAATGATGGAAGCAGACTACCTGTCGCCTTCGGATGGGGAAGGCTACGAAGATACGGCGGTGTCTGGACGAAGTGGACGAACAGCGCCTCGTGCCAGACCTCCTCCTACTCAGCGCAACGGGAATGGTGGTGGCGATCTCGAAGATGATGATGAAGACGACGAAGATGCTGCCCAGCTCGCCCCACGACCTCGTGCAGTGACGAAGCGAGACTTCTCTTCCCTCGCTCTCAAGCATGACCATTCCTCGCGTCCACTCTGGATATCCCCAGACGACGGCCACATCATTCTCGAGGGTTTCAGTCCCATCGCTGAGCAAGCAATGGACTTTCTCGTCGCCATTGCTGAGCCTGTTAGTCGACCCGCTTTCATTCACGAGTACCGTCTGACTCCATACTCCCTATATGCGGCCATCTCGGTTGGCCTTTCGCCACAAGACATCCTCTCTGTCCTCGATCGACTCTCCAAGTCGACATTGCCAGACAGCGTCATCACCTTCATCCAAGAGTATACGGCTTCTTTCGGCAAGATCAAGCTCGTCTTGAAAGACAACCGATACTTTGTGGAGAGTGCAGAGACGGAGACTCTAAGGACGCTTTTGCAGGATGAGACCATCGGTGGGGCCAGAGTCAGAGAAGGGCAGCGCGATGCTCCCAACCAAGCGGAGACCCTTGACAAGAGCAGTGCCCCAAGGCGTGGCGACCTAATTATCCCAGGTACCAATGCAGCTGCCAGGCAGGCTGGTCAGGCTCCTAATGGAGCAGCGTCTACGAATGGCCCCGCCGGACCAACGCCTGAGACAGAGGCAGCTGCCCGGAGAGAAGCTGAGGCCGACCTTTTCACCTCTATCATTGGGGCAGAAGATGATCCCACCTCTTTGGACGCGGATGAGGACACAGTACACTCATTTGAAATCCGCGAGGAGGAGATCGAGAACGTGAAGAGGCGGTGCAACGAACTCGGTCTGCCTATGTTGGAAGAGTACGACTTCCGTGCCGACTTGCGCAACGCAGATCTGCCCATCGATCTGCGACCATCCACCCACATCCGGCCGTATCAGGAGAAGTCACTCTCCAAGATGTTCGGTAACGGGCGAGCTCGAAGTGGCATCATCGTCTTGCCTTGTGGAGCTGGCAAGACCTTGGTCGGCATCACCGCCGCCTGTACCATCAAGAAGAGTACCCTCGTTCTATGCACGAGCAGCGTCAGCGTCATGCAATGGCGGCGAGAGTTTCTCAAATGGAGCAATGTCAAGGAAGAGTCGGTCAGCGTCTTCACTGCTGACACGAAAGAGAAGTTCACGTCTTCTGCTGGTATCGTTGTCTCGACCTACTCAATGGTGGCCAATACCGGAAAGCGCTCTCACAGCTCACAGAAAATGATGAACTTCTTAGAGTCTCGTGAATGGGGTTTCATTCTGCTCGATGAAGTCCACGTCGTGCCAGCGAGTATGTTCCGAAGAGTTTTGACCAGGATCAAGGCTCACAGCAAGTTGGGTCTAACTGCGACTCTAGTGCGAGAGGACGAGAAGATTGACGAGCTCAATTTCCTCGTCGGTCCGAAGCTGTACGAAGCAAATTGGATGGACCTCGCTGCTAAAGGTCACATTGCTACCGTTCAATGTGCCGAGGTATGGTGTCCAATGACACCCGAGTTCTACAGGGAGTATCTCCGAGAGTCTACCAGACGGAAGATGCTTCTGTACTGCATGAACCCGAACAAGTTCCAGGCGGCTCAGTTCCTTATCAATTACCACGAGAACAGAGGAGACAAGATCATCGTCTTCAGTGACAACGTCTACGCGCTCGAGGCATACGCCAAGAAGCTCAACAAGCCTTACATTCACGGTGGTACGCCACAGACGGAGCGCATGCGCATTTTGAATCACTTCCAGCACAACCCAAATATCAACACCGTCTTCCTCTCCAAAGTAGGCGACACCTCCATCGATCTACCCGAAGCCACCTGCCTCATCCAGATTTCCTCCCACTTTGGCTCTCGTAGACAGGAAGCCCAACGTCTAGGCCGAATCCTGCGAGCAAAGAGGAGAAACGACGAAGGATTCAATGCCTTCTTCTACTCACTTGTCTCAAAAGACACCGCGGAGATGTTCTACTCTACCAAGCGCCAGCAATTCCTCATTGATCAGGGCTACGCCTTCCGAGTCATTACCCAGCTAGTGGGACTGGAAGATCTGACCGACCTGGTGTACAAGAGTCAAGAGGAGCAGATTGCCCTCCTGCAGAGCGTTCTGATCGCCAGTGAGAGCGCGGCGGACATTGGCACAGACATTGGAGTCGAGCTTGGCGGTGGTGCGAGAAGCTTCGGCGGTGGAAGTGGTGCACAGAGAAGGATCGGTGGGGGCTCATTGGTAGAGAAGGCCAAGAGGAGTGCGGGAAGCTTGAATGCTCTCAGTGGTGCACAGCACATGGCCTATGCTGAAAAGAACACTTCGGCAAACAAGGCGATTACGAGGGACAAGGAGAGAAATAAGCTCTTCCAGAAGAGGGCGAATCAGCAGAAGAAGAGGAGGGTAGATGGGGAGAATGGAGACTTCTGAGCTTTGAGTACCGATGGCCCTTCGGCTGTATTTGTATCGGCAATTGTAATTGTATATTGCACACAATGATGTATCCTTCCGAATCGACCGCAGGATTTCGAGAGCGCAGATGACGACGCTGTGGTAGCTGCTCGCTGTTCCCCTTCCTGATCATACACCCTTGTATCTCCCCCTCTCCCACGACCTCCAAATCTCCTTGAAAACGCTCTTGCCGGCCTCATCCAGCAGATCGCTCACCAGCACCCAGTCTCGCTCGCTCTCATCGATAATTCCACATAGGTTGGACAGGCCGACCAGAAGCTCCCGCTTGACTCGTCGGTCCAGGTAGCTCGAAGCGCTGCCGGCAATGTCGCCCATGCCCATGCCAGCGCCCATGCCTAGGGAGCTGAGACTGGTCACGTCACTGGAGCTGCCGTCGAGGAGGGCGTGGATGTAGGCTAGGATGACATACACTGCGTGCTTTGAGAAGGGCCTCGAGAGCGAGTCCACTTTACTGCCATGCGCACCGTACCCGCCAGAGGCGGCAGCGGCGGCTTCGCGACGCGTACGACCTGAAGTCGTCTTGGAGGTGATGCCTTCGAGCAGTCGGGAGAATTCGCGGGCGTGCGACTCGCCGAGGACTTCTTGTGAGGAGTCTGAGCTCCCTTCGACATCGTTGACGAGATCGAGATCGTCGCCGTCCCGCACGCTCCAGGCATCGGCGAGCCAATCGGGCATTGTATCGAGCACTCTGGCCCTCTGCAGACCCGTGAGACCCGGAGCGGGCTTGCGCAGGAGGGCCGGCAGTTGGGATAGGACAATGGCGAGTTGGGGTAGGATGGGCAGCAGAAGCTCTTTCCTGAGTCTGATGAGAGTCCCGACTGTGCCAACAACGGAAGAGAAGATGGCCCGAGCATCTGCGGCGGCGGAGCTCTTCACAGCAGAGCACTGGGCTCCATCTCGACTCTTGTGAGACAGAAGATTAGAAAGAAGCCCAAGCAGCAGACCAGCATCCGTCGGGCGAAGGACAATTGATCGCCCGTGACAGACGGTCTCGACGACCCGAAGTGCGCCGAGTAGCACTTGCGTGTCTCCCTGCGCCGTTACGTGCTGCAGTCGACTGAGAAGGCGGGTGAATTGCTTCTGTGCGACAAGCAGAGAACCTGGAAGCAGGAGAGCGATTGTCAGCGTTCCGCCGGAGCTGGTCCCAAAGTCACCGCTATAGCTTACCTTCCGGTCCGTATTTGAGCAGAAGTCCAAGCGTCGTCAGCAATGCTCTGGTCTGTGCTCCCTCCATTGGCTTCCTGACTTCGATGTCCTGGATCAAAGACTTCAACGTGTCTTCGTACTCCTCGACAGCAAGAAGAGCAGAAGCCCGATGAAAGGCACGTTCGACCTCAGCGATTCCTGATTCCTTGTCTCGATTGGCTGAAATGTTGGCGAAGCCTCGGAAAATGCGCTGTCCTAGGCTAGAGCCACGACCTCCGTCGCCACTCTCAAAGCAGACTGCAGCCAACGCGAGATACTCTGAAGGCAGAGCATCGTCGACGATGGCAGACCTTGAGAGCCAGACTTCCTCAGCGTCGAACACCTTGACAGCCCATTCGAGCGTCTGTCGGACCTGCTCTCCATCTTCACCATTCTGAATCGTGGCTAGGCTGAGCGCCAGTCTGACACCCTTGAACGCAGAGACAGGTGTGCTCCAACGTTCGAAAGGGTCAGATGACAGCAAGCCAGCATCGTTCAGTGAGAACTTGACACCCGAGGCTATCTTCTGCCCTGTGCCAATGAAGGCCTCGAGTAGGATGTTGGCAAAGCGACTCTTCTCTAAATCGCTGACCAGAGCTTGCAGCTGGGAGTCGTCCAGGTGCTGGCATTCGACCAGTCTTGTGAGCCAGATCTGAATGAGTTCTTCATTTGCCTCCTCGAGAGCTGGACTTGGGCTCGAAGCCCCTCCTAGAGAGCGACAGGCCCTGAGTACGGACTCCTGTGGGGGATGTGAGAAGCCAGGTGAAGGAAGGTTAGACACGTAATTCACAACCTTTTTCCAGCCGGTTCGGTTCCACTCACCGCCACTGAGTTCGTCAGCCTTGCGGTGGACTTCCCAGTTTGAGTCAGCCAGCGCCTCACTGCCACTAGGTCTCCAGAAGACTCCGCATCTTCTGCAACAGCTGAAGCAGCACTGATCGCTCGCTGAACAAACAGCTCTTTGAGCTCACTGGGGACATACTGCTCAGGGAAGGCGGCCAATGCTGCAAAGACTCGTAGTGCATCGCGGCCAGGGACGTCTCCCGAGGTTAGGGTATCGAATTGGCTCATGATCTCTGCTCTCCACTCCTTCAGCTCAAGAAAGTCTGCGTTGCGGCTCACGGCGGCTGAGCTGTTGTGAAGCCGTGAGGATCCTCTTGGTGATGGCGGCAGTGTCTCAATGAGAAGCAACGACACTTCAGTCAGGAACTCTGGATGAGGCGGCGATGCGCTGGCGGTAATTGTGAAGACAGTGAATCAGTAAGAGACTGCCTCGACGCTGGTCAAGGCGGAGCATACTCACCTCGCAACGAGCAGCCAACGCCTGGAGAGCATCTCCCAGAGCGCACTCTGCGTCGGACCCGCCTCTCCGCCATGAAGTGTTGAGAGCACAGCCGACCAGAATGCTTCCATAGCATCCGGCGTCGCTACAGGCTCAGAGGTAGACCTTGACTCCATTTCGATCTCCCTCCTGTAGAGCAAGAGCCTGACAACCTCCAGCATGAGCTCTCCCTTCTGTACTGACAACGCTTGATTGTCAGGGCCAGCGAAGGCAGCGAGCAGGAGGTTCCAGCAAGATCCGAGCTCCTCAAGCGAATTGGTGACCTGCTCCAGTCGATCCGACCCGCTCTTCTGATCCAGCCTCTTTAGGGCCGTACAAAGCCCGTACCAGCACCACAAAGAGCTTGCTACAAGGCTCAGAGATTGCGAAATTAAGATTTGGCCGGAATCGGCACTGTGCACCGCTGGCTGCTGACCACTGGACTTCCGAGCCTTTTTCGCTGGACGAGTCGTGACAGCTGCGGTCGATGTTGCGTTCATGCTAAGAGAGATTGTCTCCCGCAGAAAACTCTGAATCCGAACAATAGGAGGAAGAGCTTCGCTTGTGATGGCCGCAGGAATATTCAACGCCGACAGCACAGGATGCACAAGCTGTAGCGCATTCGAAAGTTGAATGTGCCTTTGCTCTACGACATCATGACCGCCTTTTCTTTTCCCTCCCTGTTCGTCGGACGGCGCCGCATCTGACCGAAGTGATGCGAACAAGCCTTCCACTCGTGCAGCGACGTCAGTAAGAAGCGGCACCACTTGTGTTGGAGAGACGTAAGCTCCCACCGACGTTGCCAGTGCGGCTACAAATTGTTGAGAATTGAGACCGATGAGTTCATGCCACGGCCGCGCTTTGACGTCAGCGACTTGCTGGATGAGAAGGGCGACGAACGATGGGACTTCCTGGGAACGGGCAAAAGATATGAGGACGTCATCGACGAGAGCTTGGAAGCTGGCTGTCAGCTCGGCGTCGACGTCCGAGACCGGATCTCGAGTGCATATGGAACGGAACAGCGCCTCCAGATGTTGGCGAGCAATATTCTGATCGATACTCCATAAAGCTTGCATGGCAGACATCGAAGCCATCAGCGCTTTCGAGTCTCCGGTCGACGCCACTTCTGAAATTACTGCCTGGGCAGTTGCAGTAAGACGACTTGTCCAAAGCCCTGTATTTGATAGAGTTGTGCCGAAATTAGTGTCGACTATAACGTGTAAGATGGATGATCGACTCTGCGCTGCTTCACGGGCGGACGCGGCCTTGGGAGACGTCACCAAAGCCAAGATCGGGCCGATGAATTGCTCAAATAGGGACATCTCCAAAGCCTGTCTGGTCTCTTCCCTGTCCAGATACTCAGTGGAGGGGACTTCAGGACCTGGCATGAGTGTCGACGCTGCTGCCTTCTTCTTGTGATGAGCTCGCGCAATCGAAGCAAGGTCGTCTGAATAGACTTGTAGAGCCTTGACGGCAGATCGGACAAGTAAATGCAAAGTAGTAAAAGGGGCGTTCAATCCAGCCTCGAGGTGCTGTCGTAGCGCTGCTGTCAAACCCAGCGTAGCGGTATTGCTTGTTTCCCCGGATGATGGGAAGAGCAGCTGCCTTGTAGCTAAACCATTGAACAGTATCGACTGGCCGTAGGCGTAGATATTTTTTCGAAGGGACGAGAGAGCCCTTGACGACGCCAGACGGATGTCTTGTTCTGAATTCGAGGAATTTGACAGACGGTCGAGAGCCTGGGTCCAGGGCAACAATGAATGCTGGAGGAAGTACTGTAAAGACTATGTAGCGCAACGGAGACAGCGTCAGCAGATGTACCTGAAAGCTCATAATCCGAGCGCCGTCACTCACCTTCGACGAGGACGAGGAGGTACCCTCGGCAGAGGCCTCTACAGCAGGCATACACATTGTCTGCACCAGCCGTGTAATACCCTGCATGACAGCGTCCTCCTCCTCAAATCCTTCCGGTAGCTTTACGATCCTGACGCAAACACTTCGCAGAGCCTCGTCAACTACCTGCCGAGTGCCTGGGCTGGACAGGAGGCCCGACATTAGAGGACTGAGCAATCGCGAAAGAGGTCCTGCAGCTACGGGAAGGCAAGATCTGAAGAGGGCTACATCATCGGTCTTGAAGAGGGCAGCAGCGATAGAGACGATGGATTGAGGCGTTGACCTGGGGGCAATCGACGACAACGAATTTTGAGCCAAGTCTGAAAGGTCTGCCTCTGAAGTCAACGAGTCTAGCAGTGTGTAGTAGGCTGCAGTTGTATGAGGCGATCCTGAAGACACCGACATTACAGCTTTTGCCTTGCCTGTCGGCTTTGCTGCAGTTGACAAAGTATCAAGGAGCCATCCTAGCAGCACTGATGGAAGCTGAGGAATATTAACCGTCGCGACCGCCTGCTGTCCTGACCTTGAAAGCTCCCATGCCAGATGCGCTAGCTCGATCTTTGAGATTGAGGAGGGTGCGGAAGAGGAGGACGGCCCTGAGCTTTCGATCGAGATGGGATCTTGGGCACCCTTGAGCTTCTGTATGAACTCTTCTGATGTGTTGATTCCAGCCGAGAGTAGATCAGCGAACCTTGCCATGGTGGAAGGCTGCGAAGGGTACAACTCAAAGGATCATGAGTACGAGGTGCGAAGGTCTTCGGAAGGGCCTCTGCTTGAACTTTTGGCCGAGGTGCACTTTTAGAGTTGGGCCGCAGGATTAGCCGGCGCGCCTCCGCGTCCGGCAGTGCATCGTGGTGCAGGTGTCGGTCAAGCGTAGACTCACCATCGACTTTGCCATCGTAGACATCCTATCCACCCCTGAACCATCCATTCCTGGAGCATCTAGAAGTCTCGCACAGCCACTCACTCCGTCAAACGTCGTACACAGTATCGTCGGCTCTTGTCCAGCATGGCCGGTGAGTATTGCTCTGGGGAGAGATGCTGGCCAACACGTCGCTGAAGCACGTTGGCCCCTTCCGTCACACAGACCCCTTTGCAGATCGCAATGCCAATCCCTTTGCCGACCCCTCCGTACAGGGTGCGCTGGGATCAAACCGCGCCTATGACGACGACGGATCCTCCTCGCTATACAAGGGAGCAGGAGCTTCGCAAGCTTGGAATACAGACTCTACTCACAACCTGGAGTACGAGATCAGCGGGACCCCTACCCCGGCTGCAGGCGGTAGCAGTGGTGGTGGGGGAAGGGCGAGGGAGGAAGAGCTACGGAGGAGAGAACAAGAGCTAGAACAGAGGGAGAGAGACTTGCAGCAGAGGGCAGAGCATATCCAAAAGCATGGCAGGAATAATTGGCCATTCTGTGAGTAGACGTAGTAGCAAGAGCAACCGTAAGCCAAGCTGTTGACCTTCGTCCTGCACGGACTCTTGCGGCATCATCATGCTAGTCTACCCTGTGATCGTGAGTAGAGTCATCTGATGGTCCGATGTAACTCGAGCTCGTTAGAGCAAACCATTGACCCTCGTCCCAATCTTGTTCACGAACTCCAACAGTATCACGATATCACAGCCGAGATCCCTCCGGAATTCCAGCAAGTAGTGAAGCATCTCTACTTCCTATGGCTCGTCTTTGTCGGAACCCTGGTCGTGAATCTAGTTGGCTGCGTGTTCCTGCTCATTCAAGGCTCGTCAGATGGTATCAAGGATATGATTGCAGCCATCGTCTACTTCCCCGTCTTCACCGGCGGCTCATTCCTGCTGTGGTACAGACCAGTCTACAATGGCTTCATGAAGGAGCACTCCCTCTTCTACTACGTCTACTTCCTCTTCGGCGGCATCCACATTGCCCTCTCCGTCTACCTCTTCCTCGGCATCCCTTCAACAGGATCAGATGGTTTGCTCAACATGATTCAGTCCTGGTCCTCGTCGAGGATCGTCGCTGCCATCCTTGGCGTACTCGTAACAATCGGCTTTGCAGTACAAGGACTGGGTAATTTGTGGTACTACCGCGAGATCTGGAAGCACAACCACGAGCAGGGTCACTCCTTTGCTCAAGCCAAGGCAGAGCTGGCTAGTCATGGCGCCAAAGCTTACTTCACCAGGGGTAGCCAAGTCTGAGGGCTTCTGCGGAGCTGTGCAAGTCCAAAATTGTTGCGCTCGCGAAGCTAGGCGGAAGGAGAGGGCGTCAGGGGAGAGGCGGCCCTGAAGTTGTGTAAGGGTAGATACCAAGGCGATCTCAACGGACCCATATGACTGTCGTCCTCTTGGCCGGCTTCTTTTGCCGCTCCAAGCCTCGTTCTAATTCGCGTCATTGTATGCTTTTCCCCAAATATCTTCCTCTGCTGGCGCTCGCAGGCTGTTGATTGAATCTGACCGTATGAGTCTGCCTTGTGTGACGAGCGCCTACATTGCCCATTCATTCTGTTCAGGTAGAAGCGGCCGAGCGCCACTCCGCCGCGCCGGTTCATCATCATCGCTACTGTCATCTTCGTCCTCGCTACTGCTACTACTCAAAGCAGCTCCAGCGCTAGCAGCCGCCCCTTCCTCCTCCTCCTCCTCCTCCTCCTCGCTACTCTCCTCGTTCTCTTCTCCTATACTCTCTACATCGTCGTCTTCTTCCCCCTCACTCGAACTCTCCTCGCTCTCAGATTCCGTAGCCTCATTGAGGAAATCATCCAAATCCTTGTACTTCCCCTTGCCCTGTTTGGCAGCGCCAAGAGCCCCCGCAGCTGCAGCTGTCGAGCCTCCCAAAGCAGGGGAGGAGGCATTGCTCCGATCTGACGCCAGGTTCGTCGGGGTAAGGACGACGCGCGCCGAAGAGGGACCGCGAGTCACGCTTGTGATGGCGGGAAGAGCAGCGCTGTCGCTGGATGAGATGCTGCGTACGGCAGATGCGGGGCCGGCGCCGAAGCCGAAGCCGGCGCTGGAGTTGGATAGCGATGTCGCAGTGTTTGCATTGGAAGGCGGGGTGGTCGGCTCGCGGACGGATGCGGGAGGCAGCTGCGACTGGTCGGCAGCCCAGGCAGGGAGGGAGCCTTCGTACTCCTCACTAGAGGTGTCAACGCCGTGTCCAGCAGCCGATGAGAGTAGCTCGAGAGGATCCAAGGATCTTGCGGGATCGAGACTTCTGCTATTAGAGGATGTCGGAACGCTTGCAATCAAAGTCTCACTATCCTTCGGAAGTGATGCCCGGTCGCCGAATAGAACAAGGAGGACCTGCTCCCGCCTCAGACGAACGCCTCCAGCCGACGCTACTCCTTGAGTGTCTTCTGCGTTAGTCTCTGCGGCCTCAGTAGCCTCGTGAGCGCCGTTGGCTTGTCCAATGCTGGCATTCACTCCAGCGGTTAGATTCTTGTAGTACCGCGCCCGATCTCTGACATCGTAGGTCAGATCAAACCGGGCGAGTTGAAGGAGGTACGAATGGAGCTGAGCGACTGAAGCAACCACGGAGAGCGGTGCATCGGTAGTCGGCAGAAAGACGTGGAGCTTGGCTGAAAGTGTCAGAAGCGCGAGCTTGGCCTGTGAGCTCTCCTTGCCGAAGTTGAGACAACCTTTGCGCAGTATATCAGGCAGAACAACCTCTGCTAACGTCTTCAGCTGCTCTGCCCCACTCAGTGAGGTCTCTCGACGTACTTTCAACTCTTGGCGGCAGAAGTGGCCCAACAGCCAGTATATGCTGGCCCTGCCACTTCCGTCTGCGATCGAAGTTCTTCCAACGAGGGAGGCAATTGACATTGAGCCTCCATCGCTGGGCAACATCTCAAGCTTATCGTTGGCTTTGAAGAGGAGAGCAGAAAGCCGGTAGAGAATATGAGCAGTTGCCGCCGAATCCATCACGTGGGATCCTGAGGCATCGCTCGCCTGTGGCTGCTCCGCTCTGGCTTTGATGAGCAGCCGGAGGACATCCATTGCAGCAGAAACTACACTATCGCCGGTCTTGTTGCCGCTCCGTTCTTTGAGAACAGTCAAGAGAGTCTCTGTGCAATCCTCTACCAGCTGGGGAGATGCGCTAGAGAGAGCGGGAGGAGGTATCGATGACAGGAGTCGGCCAAGTCCTCTTACTGCGCAGATGACGATAGAAGCCTCCGATCGGTATAAGGCTGCATTGTCGAGCTCGACCTTTGTGAACTTGATTGAGGATTTTGATGGGTTGGCAATTGCTAAGTCGACGAGGATGCTGAGCTTCTGCTCAGTGATATAGCACGGCTCGTCGGATATCGATGTCAGAGGAAGGAACGACAGGCTGTGGGAGTTGAACAGCTCTGGTCGAAGCGACAAGAAGCGTCGAATGAAGAGCAGTACCACATGCGCTTGTGAGGGATGGCCGCGAAGCAGTCGGAGGAGTGGCTGCACAAGATCTTGCTGCCGGGGGCTGTCAATGGGCAGTAAGGTCAGATAGAGATGGGCGGTAGACAAGACGACCTAGGGAGGATACAATTGAGAGACGCCCCGTCAGCTTTCAAGCCCAGGATCGTCAATGAAGCGATGCTACTCACAGCAGAGTTGCGACTCAGCAGCAGAGGCTCCGCCTTGCTCAAGAGCAGTTCGAGATCCTTATCGAGCCCTGCGCCCCACTTGCTTCTGCCCGCAACTACCTTTTCGGCCTTTGCCTCGAGCACAGTTCGCGTCTCTTCTGCAGAAGGCTGCCGCAGATATGTCCTCGCGTAGCCAGCAAGGACTCTTAGGGTCACTGTTTGATTCCACTCGTCAATGTCCACCAGTCCGTGGCAGATCCGACGGAAGTGCCGGTGGAGCAGATCGTATCGATCAGGGACCGTACAATTGAATGCGAGAAGAGCTGAACCGAGCACGGATGGATGCCGGTCTCCTAGCAGACTTGACAGATGTGGCAGCAACGACGGTAAAGTTGAGCTCGCCAGCTCAAAGCACTTGCCCAAGGCATCGGCAGCAATTCTCCTGACGTAGAAACTTGGATCTCTGACGCCCTTTGCAATGGCCATTTCCATCAACGGCGCAGCCATCTTTACGCCGAGGCCACTGAGAACGCGTAGAGACATGCCTCTGATGAGAGGGCTGGAGTCTGACAAGTCTCTCTGGAAGGAGTTGATTGATAGCAGTGCGATGTCTGGCTGAGAAGGTGCCAGTCGTAGCGTCACGAGATAGACGAGGGTCTTCACTTGAAGAGACTGGGCAGAGGTCAACTTCAGGACCGAGGGAAAGAGGTGGTTGGAGGCAGGCAGAGACTTCGATATCATCTGAGGGCAGAGCATGGTGAGACAGAGTCAGCTATCTGCTCTATCCTTCCCTGGACCCAATTGTCCGCCGCTTACTGACTGCTACCACGGTCCTCAGACCATCGAGACGGTCTGACTCCAGACTACTCTCCAGTTTCGTCCTTGTCAATCTGACTCCTGCCTCGCCTCCGCCCAGGTCAACTCCTCCCAGATATCGGTCGGCTCCAGAAGGTCCCGCTGCTCCCGGACCCGCGCCGCCGAGAATGCCCTTGAGGGCTGCCTGGGCATCTTCAGCTCTCTCTGTGAGGTAGGAGAGCGCTCTGGACGCCGTAGGGGCATACGACGTCGATGCCGAGACCGTTGCCATGGTCAACGAGAAAGGACGAGGTAGACGATGCTAAAGGAAGGAAGTCTACGGCACGGAAGGAAGCCACAGGCAGAGGACAAATTGTGGCCCGAACGCGGCGAGGGTGAACGGACCTCCGCGTCCCGCTCCGGTCAACTTGTTACCTTGTGGCCATCAGTCCATCTCCTCCCTTGCACTTCGATCCTCTACTCCATACGTCCTCGACAGGGGCTAGTGCAGATACGATCGGTGTAGCATATCGCATCTCGCCTTGCGTTTGTGCCCAGCCGACAGGACAGTCGCAGCGGCCAGACCTAAGAGGGCAGCCTCGACACTTTGCCCGCTCCTGACTCAGCCCTGGTCTCACCATCAACAATGATGATCAGAATCAACAGGGCTCACGATGGCAAGGTCATAGAGGTCAAGCAGGCGCTGTCCCAGTTCAATAGGTGAGACACTATAAGCTGACGGCTATGTGCCATACAATGCTGAAGCTCGGACTGACCCTTGCGCTGGCCCTCCCAGCATTGACGACCTGCTACACGCCATTTCTTTGGCCACTGCTATACCTTCCGATGGCATCATCTGTATGACCGGAGATGGAGCTCAGCTCAACGACGAGCTTCTCGCCACTCTGTCGACTGAAGACCAAGGACAGACTACTGTAAGTGCAGCTGCTGAGCGAGTAGGATGGCGTTGCCGTACGTGCCTCCCGAGCTCACCGCCTCTCGTTGCCCATCGCGCATAGGAATTCTTCGTCTTCAATCGAGACTTTCTCTATACCGACGTCGACGTACTCTCTCAGGATCTGGCAGTTGAGCCAGCCCTGGCTCCTGCCCCGTCCAGCATCGACCTGGTCCAGCCACCCACCCCACGCTCATTAGAGGCCATTGTTGCTTGGTCTCACTCCATTCTAGAGTATGTTCATTCACACGCCTCAACATCGCAGCATCATCACTCAGCACTATCTACAATCCAAAGATCCACCTCTGTTGCCCTGCTCAATCTTCTCTCACATTCGCACAACGTCAAGGACGGAAGCCTCTCGGCCAAGGTCAGCAACGAGGGACAGCTTGGCCGTATGCAGCGTCTTCTGGGCGGCTATCAAAGGGATCTCGAGATCTTGGGCCTGGTCAGGGTCAATCCTGCTCTTCTTCCCCCGAGTAGCGGTAGCTCGTCTAAGCGCACCCTTGGCGACTTTGTGAGCCGCGTCAAGATGGGGGCAGTGGCAGACGCCTGCAACCGAGTCTTCGAAGAGCTACAGAGTCAGCAGAACGAGCTCGCCGGCAACAGCTCTCAGTTAGAAGCTGACACAAGAGATCTCACCTCCGAGGTGGAAGGAACCAGCATCGATCCTTCAACCGAAACACTCGAAGAGGCTCTTCAAGCGGAGACCCGCGCCGAAGAGCTTACTGCGTACCTCGTGGACACCTGTTCTCCGGATTCGAACGGTTGGCCGGTGGCCGACAAGCTGGATGGCTCGACCATAAATGAAATCCAGCAAGCGGTAGAGGAGCTCTATCTCCTTGACGAGGTCGCTCGGGAAAGTGTGCGGCGCCTGACCGCCGACAAGAACGACATGACGGCTCGCTGTCTTAGCCTGCTGGGAGACATTTCGAGTTTACAATCCGACTACGCAGACCTCTCTGCAGGCTTAGCAGCGTTCGATACAGAGCTGAAGTCCGGACGCGTAGACGGTTTTCGCCATCTTACAAGACTCAACAATATGTTGTGGGCATATGGAGCCACGGTCATCGAGATTGTTCGGCGAAGAGAGTTCACCAAATACTTCCTTGCCAAGTCGCAAGCGCTCGCCGAACTGATGGCAAAGGCGTCTTCGAGAGAGCGGAAAAGGCGCAATAAGTATCGCACTAGTATTGCTGGACAACTCCCATGGGAGGTCAAAGGCATGGACGAAGCTCCGCCGTCTCTCGAGATATCAACGAGTCGATCGACTGAAACGACACCGGAGCTGGATCGTCAAGACCTGCAAGGGCTTCTGCAGCTCATAGGAGAAATTGAGGATACACTAGCGAAAGCCGATGCCATCAGTGGAGACTCCTCAGGGGGACCGCTTGCGCGAAGCAAGAAGGACCTACAAGAGCTCATTGCTCGGCTGGATAGCTTGGATGACGAGTTCGCAGTCCTCGTCGAGAAGAACCTTCTGGGTCTTGATGAAGACTGGGAGGGTGGCAGTGAAGATGGCAACGGCAGCGACTCCTCGGATGGCGACATGATCAAGAAGCCCACGAGGCGCCGGGTCAACAACGGAAGCCGCGCTGGCGATGACATACTCGCGATCACTCAGAAGGAGAACGAGAGATTACAGCAAGAGAACAGAGATCTCAACAAGCAGGCAGAGGCAAGGGAAATGTCTGATCACCAGCGGTATCAGTCTGAGCTCACAGCGCTGAGGTCAGAGTGCAGCGCGGCACGACTGGAGAATCGGCGATTGAAGGAAGAGCTCAATTCGGTCACCAGGGAGAAGGCCAGCGCAATGAGCGAGGTCGAGACACTCCGAGGCGATGTAGACCTAGAGCGCGAACGAAGACTCAACATGCAGGAGGAACTTAGTCTCCTACGCAAAGAGGCCCAAGCTGCCAGAAAGGAGGAAGAACAGGCTCGTCGAGAAGCTTCCGAAGAAGCAGAAAGACTTGCTGAAGCTGAGCTGCATGTGCAAGACTTGCAAAACGAGTTGGAAGAGGCCAGAGCTGCTCGTATCGACGCCAGCAATCGGATTGAGAGCCTGCTGAGCGAGGGCAGCAACGTTGAGAAGGAGCTTTCAGCTGCGCAAGAGCATATTGAAGACCTCCTTGCGCAGCTCGGACAAGCCCGTCAAGACGCTCGAGAGGCACGAGACGCTCATGCGGAGGCAGAAGCGACCAAGGAGCGCCTTGTGCGATCTCATCGTGCGGAAGCAGACGGCGATCGAGCGATCCTCGAAGAGAATCTCAGAGAGCACAGAAGCGAGCTCGAAACGGCCCGTGCTGAGCTGGAGAGGATCAAAGACACTACGAAAGCGGAAGTCGAAGCTGCGCAGACGCTACGTGGTCAACTACGTGGTGCCGATGAAGCCCACGAAGAGCTCGTCAAGACAATGGAGGCAGCGAAAGACGCCAGTGCTGAGGCGGAGCTGGCGATGCGGCATGCCGAGCGGGAGAGCGAGCAGCTCAACGAACTCGTCAGGCCAATGCTTCTCAGTCTGCTCAGCCTACAAAGTCATATACGAGCTCTACCTGTGCTGTCTTCTTCAAGGTCAGCTTCCGCTAGCACGCCAGGACCCATCGAGGAGAATAAACAAATCGGTGTCGCAGAGGAGGAGGATGACGAAGAGGCAAATGAAGCCGAAGCCGCTCGCCAGGCTGCTCTGCAAGACTTTGTGGCTGCCGGAGGTGAGGCCAATGCTGCGACAACTCTAGCTGCACTTCGAGCTTTATCCGGTCAAGGTCTGTGTCAAGAGGTAACAAAGAAGCTTGACGTGCTCGTCACCCTCGTGCGCAAGTGGCAGAAGACTTACAAGCGTCATACTGCAGACTCAAATGCCAAGTTGACAGCCGCGATAGGCAACCGCATCGCATTCCGTAACTTCCAGGTTGGAGACCTAGCCCTCTTCCTTCCATCGCGCAACAACACGTTGGATCCGAAGCCATGGGCTGCCTTCAACATTTCTTTTCCTCACTTTTTCCTCAATGCTCCTGCCAAGAGTGTTCTAGCTGAGCAGTTGCGAAGCAAAGAATGGATTGTGGCGAGGATCGTCAAGATCATTGAGAGGGTCACAGATACTCGGGAAGGAGGCGGAAACCCATTTCAGCTTGTGGATGGAACCCGCTTCTGCCTGCTCGATGTAGATGGATGGAATCCGAATGGAACTTCTACAGTTGCGGTTCGGCCTGCGATGCCACCGAACAAGCAGCGGACCTCGTCTGTCGGCTTCAAGAGTCCGGGTGACGAGAGCGCTGCTAACACAGCAGAAGCAGTTTTGCGAGATAAGGAGGGCACTTCTCGCCAAGCCGGTGAGCAAGCACAGAGCGCAAGTCTAGACCAGGAGGGCAGCACTGTAGCCGCAAGTACCCAAGACATTGGCGTCAGCAGCAACCCTCCCGAGACACCCGAAGCCAGTGTAGCAGACGTTGATTCACTGGTCTCACCCGAGGCTACCCTCGAGGTTCGGAGGCCGTCAAATGCGACGGAGCTCACTAGCCAAAATGGATTCAGCCCGGGCCGATTTTCACAGATTGCCCCTTCAACTAATGCTCTGGCTTCCTCGGAAAGAGGCACGCTTGCATCTTCTCCATCTGCTTTGACTCGCGCCATCAGAGCAGCAGCATCTCGGTCACCGTCTACCTCTCGTGCCCGAGAGCGCATCAGTACACCGACAAACGGAACAGGCGCAGAGGCTGGTTCTGCGTTGCACTTGACTTCCAACAAGCGCCCTGGTACTCTTTCAACATCCCACGAGGCGGTGTCCAAGTCTCATGTGTCTGTCGACTCTTCCATGAGTACTAGCACAGCTCCCGCATTCGGCATTCGGGGTAGGCGAAGAGGCCTACGTGGCGGTGGAGGTAACATAGGCGGCATTGCTAGCGCTGCAACTTCTCCTGGGGCAACTGCCAGTGCGAGTCGAGCCATAGAGTCGACGTTGGCTGCTGCTGGCAATCCCTTCTCCCAGAGTCCTGGCGGGCCCTTTGCGACTTCGTTGCCTAGGGCAGCCGCCAGCAGCAATGGAGATGATCGGCAGCAGACAGGCATTCCCGCTTCTACAATCGAGTCTGCTGCTGTCGTACCCGTCGACAGTGCCAAAGAAGTCCCGCCGGCCATGTCCTCCCCGCGCCGCCGCTCTCCCTCTTCCATGAGCACTGCGCCTCGACGTCCTAATTCTCTCAACTTCGCTACCGGGTCACCGACAGCAATGGCCTCCGGTGTCCCTGCCAATGCTGAAGCTAGTCTCGCACAAGCAATCGGTGTGAATAGTGGAAGCTACAAGGACACCAGTAACGGATCGAAGCGACCGGGCTTGGCAACTTCGCCACTGGCGCAGGGCACGGGTGGACTAGCGGCCAAGTCCCCTCCTACGCCTTCCGCAAGATCACCCTCTTTCCTCCTTGGCGCCTTTGGAAGAAAAGGCAGCAACACCAAAGGAACAGTGTCTTCTCTCTTTGGTTCTTCGGCAGACAAGAATGGAGAAGCACCCAATGCGTCGTCGCCCTCGTCGTTGCGGATCCCAAGGAAGGTGACTGGGTTTCAAGGAGGAAATCTGGACGGGAGCGCTTCTGCCAGCGACCTTCTGAGAAGACTCAGCGATGGCATGGGGGGCGGCAGTGGTCAGAAGTGAGCAGTGGAGGGCTCTGGAATGCTGTGAGCCTTCCTTCGTTCCGTACAATACAAATCGTCTGCCATTATAAAGACTTGTCAACTTGTGCGCACCCGGGTGCTTGTTACTCGATCCTCGCAGCATCGTGCAGCCACGCGGCTGTTTCCGCTGAGCTCACTCCTTCCTGTAGGACGCACTTCTTCTTACTCCCCCCTTTGCCTGTCTCGCTCCTGACTCAGTTTGTGCAACGGTCTGGTGGCAGTGAATCATCTTGCTGATACGATGCGGTGAGAATTCCTCGCCCGGTTACCATGATCATCCGCCTCTCCTCTTCCTCGACCGGTCATGCAGCCTCTACCACCTTCACCTTCTGTGTTCCCCGAGCACTCCTAGCATGTCAGCCGCCTAGGCCATGTCCAAGATCGAGGCTACAGCCCGCCTGGTCGCCTCCTCTGACCACATCCCGAGGACTTACAACACATGCACTCGGGTCTCTTTATGAGACGCACTGTCTCGCAAGTCTGGAGCGTCTCCTACCTGGCCTCACACTACAACAAGTAGGCGGAGCAGGTGATCGAGGCGTGGATCTGCGTGGGTGGATCCAGCCTGGAGATCTCGACGCCGCTGCCGCTGCTACTGCCTCTTCATCACCATCTCATTCTAGACCTGTTTCTAGCGCAGAAGCAGTGCATAGAGTTGGGGAGAGGAGAGTAAGGGTGGTGGTGCAGTGCAAGGCTACGAACCGGCTCAAGGAGAAGAAGCTCGGGCCAGTGATCCTGCGCGAGTTAGAGGGGGTGATGGGCCGCATTACTCGCAATCTTCGCAATGGAGAAGACGAGCAGGAGGATCAAGTAATGACGGACGGAGAAGAGGCAAGAGGGACCGGGGAGGCTGCGAGCGAGCGGCAAATCTCCCCTCAGCCCACAGGTAGCCTCCCCGCGGCCTCTACCGCTACGAGTATCCTGGCCATCCTGTGCTCTTCGTCGGGATTTTCGAAACAGACTATGCTCCAAGCCACCAATCAAGTCGAGGGGAACGTCATGTTGGTCCATTTACCGCTGCCGGAAGAGATCAGCAGACGCATTGCTCTCGAGGGTCTCACTATAGGTGATGATCCGCAAGCTAGCCAGAGCAGAGAGGACCTTGTGTCTGCTTCTACCTCTGCGACTGCATCTCAGGCTTTCCCTTCCCCTCCTCCTCCATCGTCGATGCCATCTGCTGAAGATGCCCAAAAGGCAGCAGACGTCATGTGTCCAATCTCGATCCTCCTATCTTCGAGGCTACGCTCAGCTACCAGCGGCAGCGGCGGCAGGGGAAATGAGAGGCAGCGAGACCCTCTTGCTGGACGTTTCTCGGTCGGTACTAGACGCAGTCTGGAAGAGGGCGGAGGAGAGGCACCCTTCTTGCTCTGGGACGGTGCGGAGATTGTGGGCTAGGTAGGGGAGTCTAGGAGCATGTTTCCTCATTTGTAATGTATACCATTCGATCACCAGTATTGCCGCGTCATCTTTGGGCGAGGCAGACAGCCTGGTGGCACCAAGGATGACGCGAATGTCTACGTCGCGTCAATCTCGCGTGGGAGTAAGTGAACCAGATCCCATATTCAGACAGTAGAGCAGACAAGCAGAGGTAAATGTTAAAAGATCGTGTAAACGTCTAATTGCGTGACACAGATGAGAGAGAGAGGCAAGATGATGCTACATAGTGGAGAGAGAGATGGGCCGGCCAAGGTGCATCGTGCTCTAAAACCGCTAGGGCTTCAGATACGCGAAGTGGAATGGGGGGCTACTGAACATAAAAGACGATCTCCGAACAGGGAGAATCGACACCGATGAAAGGGTGGGAACTAGGGGCTTCCCGAAATGAAGTATGAAAAGCGGATGGAGCAGCAGCTGGAAGGTGACCGAGCTGGCATCGACATCCTGTGTGTGTGGGTGGGTGTGCTTGTGGGAGGGATACCGAAGTCGCAAGCGACTTGCAGGCGTCTTGAGTTTGAATGAGTAAGTCATAGAGGCCGTGACATGTGACGAGAGAGGTAGAGTGCTTCTAGTACCGAGCAAGCGGCGTCTTGTGCACTGTAGACCAGGTGAGGAAACCGGTTTCCGCTAGCCTTTTGTTTTGTGTCTAGGTTGGAGAAGTCTATCGCGACGGCGCTAGATGGAGTGGAGATGCCAAGGACCGAAGAGGAGATTTGACGTCGCTAGGACGAAATCTCATCGTCGAGAACCATTTACCAGTTGGCCCACCACTTGATGTTGAGCTCACCAAGAGAGTGGTCGGCAAAGGAGCCGAAGAGACCGGAGCTGAGGTCCAGGTCGTAGAAGCCGCAGCCGGGGCAGGTGTCGGCAATGGTGGCGACCTTCTGGACACCGTTGTACTCAATGGTGATGGTCTTGCCACAGTTGGAAGAGTCGTGGTGCTCCTGAGAGACGGCGACGATCCAGGCGTCGTCGGAGTTGTAGTTACCGCAGGATCCGGGGTTACCGTTCTGGTAGAAGTAGGTGGCCACTCCAGAGTGGGCATCGGCTCGGGACTCGATGGGGGCGGCAAGGGCCATGGTGGAGAGGGCGGCGACGGCGGCGACAAAGGCGGTAGTGAACTGCATCTTGAAAAAAGAAGTGTGGGTGGGGTGGGGTGGGTTGGTTGGTTGAAGGTGAGAGGTAGTGAGAGGGATGAGAGTGGAGTGTTTGTGTGTCGAAAAGAAAGTGGGAGAGGAGGGCGCTCAATGGGTCTGGTTAAGTATCTTTCGAGGAGTATCCCACTTGGCTTCTGGTATCCCAGTGAGTTTCCTCCGATCCTCTGAGCTACTGCTGGAGGCACCTCGTGTCGGGGATAGGACCTCGTCTTGCTCCCTTTGCTATCCTGCCCTGGCAGGCTGTAGGACCAGGCAGCCGAGGGCTGGTAGAAGTTTGGCACTGAAAATTTGCTCTGGCCATTGTCCCCCCACCCCTCACCCCAAGGATGAGAGACAAAGAAGGGGGAGGGTGGCTGTCGGCGGCGTGGGGGTCCCTATCCGGCCAACTTCCTTTCATGCGCCTGGCCGATTGACATTGATCTCGTGCGAAGGAGTGGCACCACGACGGGCAATTGACCCGAGGGGTTGACAGCCCTGAGACTTCGGGACAAGCATCGGGAAATGGCCCTGTTGCCTCGGCTCGTGGTCGATCTAGGGCATCAACAGAGGCTCCCGCATCTAGGGACGTCGGAGGCAGTCGGTGTCTGCTCCTGCCATGAGGGTGGCAGAAAAGGGAGGAAACGATCAATCGGCTGCACGAAGAAGTGGTCCCTAGTCCCTCGACCCCCCCGCCGCATAAGGCGCAGACTGCAGCAGTGCGACAGGTCTGGGCATTTGGCGCATGATCTCGTGCAGGCGCGGCACCACTCCTCAGCCACACCACCCGCACGCGTCGGCGAGAAGCATCTGCACCACGCCTGCACGGCGTCTTCTTGTCAGAGGTCCGCTACCCCTGTACCCTTGTTTCGCATCTAATCGATTCGCCCCCCATAATTAGCCACTTTGTGAAGCAGACGGCCGGAACATGAGAAAGACGCCGTAGGGCCGCATGGCGGGCGCCCCTCGCCGCCACAAACGTGCTTCGGTTGTGGACACGCGGTTGAAACGTATGCACTCGCTCTTGCAAGGCGGCAGAAGCGAACAGCACAGTAGAAGACACCTTGAACCAGCAGGTCGCAGGAACTAGGAAGCGAACGTTGGAAGGCGTCATGCTTGCACCAGAGAAGCTCTTCTAGCCTCTACTATACATTGCAAGATGTCAGGTAGCCTCACCAAAGTGATACGTATCTTTACCAGATTCACTCACGGTCGTCTCGCTTCGAGCGTCTCGGCGTCCTTTGGCCCATTGTGACAGGGATGAGATGCCTAGAGTGAGACTCCTCCGACTTGTTGTCGGTATCGCGCAACTCTTCTTCGCTTTGACATCGGCGATCCCTCGGAACTTCGCCGAACAAGGGGCGTGGTGCCCATTGTCCCGTGTCTCTGACCGCGCCGCCTGTGAAGGCGAGCTAGGTCCGGCCAAGAGATCCCCGGACCTGACGGCTAAGGAGGGACCCCCCACCACCACCCCGAGGACTGCGCCCGCGAGCCCATCGGCTGCCTCCGGCATCGTATCAGACGGCAACTTCATGTTCCTCCCGCCTTTGTCGCACGCCACCTCCTGCTTTGATCCCGTGTACCTGCGCAAGTATCTGATGTTGCCTGGCCACGTTGTTTGTGTTGAGTTTTCGACCCGGAGCTAGAGCTTATGCCTCCGTGAGTCCCTACCCTCAGACTGCCTCGGAGTTCTTGGCTCCCCACCCCCACCACTTGCATTGTTTATTGCGTCCCTTGTTTGGTCGGATGTCCGAGTTTTAGGCCCGAAATCATTGTTTGCCACGGACGCAGGAACACGCGATACGCAAGAGCACTTGTGAGCGCCCCGAAAGCCCAAGGGAGCAAAACTTGGCGCGGCAAGCCTTCCCATGCGCCACGTGGGAGAGATGGCGCGCTCGAGCTTCCTGCAGCAAAGGGGCCTACCTATCATATCATGACCTCCCCTTGCCCTCTCGGCATCGCCGGCACAGACGGCGGCACAGGTCACCATCGAGAGTGGGGAGGGACAGCAACGGGTGTACCGGACGCACCAGAACTTGTCCTGACCTGCACCTTGTGCGCATACCCTCAAGACCTGTTTCATGTCAGGTACCAAGAGTTGAGCTTGCATGGCCGGACACTTCGTCTTCGGGCAGAGTCTGTCTGTCTCGTGACCCAATCAAACAAAGGTCCCCAACTCGGCATATCCGTCATATTCCCCACCCCAATGTCCCACGCGGCCAAAAGAGTTTCGGAAGCGAGAATCTAGCGAGGTAGACGGAACGCGGGGCAGGCGCATCCTGCACTATATCGCGCTTTTCAGTGCATCGCAGCTCGCTACAGCCTTGTAGAATTCTACATCGAAGAACGCATGATTTTCGTCCGAAGAGGGGTCTAGGGGGCAATTCATCTGTCTGACAAATCATTCATGGGGACCGCCTGATCAGGGTGCCTGTCACTGAACGCGGAACGACCTGTCAAGACGGTACAGATCGAATCGGCAATCGCTCTCACCCACCTCGGCTTCACCACGGATAATCGGCGCCGAATCCGTCGTTTAGTCACCGTCACCGGCGGGAAGTGAGATGCAACATGTCATTACAAAAAGTAGGGTCGTCGTCATCATCATCATCATGTCTTGGCAGCCGTGCTTGCAGGTAGCGAGGTAGCTGCAGAGCTTGGCGGCTCTTTGGCTCCTGCCGCCGGCTCCGCCCCCGCTGCTGCTGCTTTCGATGCTCGCTCCTTTGCCGTCTCTAGCGACTCGACGTATCTGTGAGGTCAGTGGCAAGCGCAGACAAGTCAGTGAGAATGGTCTCGCACTACTTGAGCCGAGAAAGGCAGAGACTACTCACGTGCTTGGGAACCACCCAACTCGTCCGTCTCTTGTGCGCCCTCTCCACCAGGCACTCTCCGCCCCCGTCTGTGGGTCTACCTTGCTGAGAATGGCTACAATGTCGTTCTGCTTGAGACTGAGCTCCAGCGGATCCGACGAGGTGTATGGATAGAGCGCCCTCACAAAGGTAAGCTTGCTCGGGTCTACTGCTGTTCCCTCTCCGGGCTGGACCATGCCCCCGCCCTGCTGGCCGGGCAACATTGCCATACCTGGCTGGGCTTGCCCTTGGCCCTCTGCTTCTAGGCGCAGTCGCTCTGCCTCTTGTCTGGCAGTAATGAGTCGTACCAACTTGCCCATCAGATATGGCAGACCGACCACGGCTAGGAAAAAGACTACGAGAGGCCTCTTGCTGGGCTTGGCGGCGGCTGCTTGACCCGATGCCTTCGCTGTAGCAAAGTCCTGGAAGTCCTTTGCGTTGAGGTCGATGGCGGGGGCGCGACCTGTTAGTCGGAGGAGAAGATTCTTGAGGTACCTTGCTAGCGCAAAGATCGATAGCACCTGACCTAGGTAGTTTCTTAGCGAAGCGAATTGATCCGCTACTCCGACCATTGCGAAGAAGCTCGAGTGCGTAGCCATGAAGGTACTTTCGAGCATCTGTGCGAAGCCTCCGAAAGCCCCGACGATGCTCGAGATGAGCTCAAAGGTGGCCTGTGTACCAGATTCCATCCTTTGAGTGAGGGAAGCATCCCCTGGACCACCCATCCCAGGCATTCCGCCACCCATGCCCATACCGCCCATACCGCCCATGCCGTAGCCTCCCATACCACCGTACCCGCCCATGCCGTATCCACCGGCGCCATACCCTGCTCCATATCCACCGAGCCCTCCCAGGCCGCCGTAGCCGCCCATACCATAGCTTCCATACCCGCCCATACGCGAGTAAGGCGAGTAGCCACCCGCGCCTAATGAAGTCCCGTAGCCAGCTCCACCATAGCCGGTCATGCCTCCCGTCCGGCCGTAGGTCGTTGTCGCTCCATATGGATCTGCAAGCGATCAAGTCAAAAGAGGGAAGTATGTCAGAATGTGTCGCTCTCCTCGCTCAGCATAAAGCAGAGCTCCCTGCTCCCTTTCGCTCACCTGCTGCACCGACTCCGCCCAATGTAGAAGGCCGCTCTGGCACAGCTGGGACAGCTGCAGTTTGTGAAGCGCTTGAGAAATCGGCCGGAGAACTATTCAATGCTGCTGACGTCGAAGGAGCCACGGATGTCGAGGTTGCGGATGTACCGGCCGCGCCGGCCCTCTCCCATGGCTTCAGTGGTGCGACCATCTGCTTGTTTGATGACGAGGCGGGACAGGATCCGCCAGCTCTACCGGATACGGGACAGGTAGCCACCTTGAAAAGCTGAATGATAGATCAGGGGTATAAGGGTCGAAGAAGGCTGTGATCTGGTCACTAGCGAGTACGAGCAGGGGAAGGCGAGACGGAGGATGGTCGTGGAGGCATTGCCGGTATCCGGGGCAGCTGAATCGAGCCGACGCCTCGGAGCCGCGCGCGCAACTTTTGTGAGGCAAGGCTGAGGAAAGACAGTCAGAAGCTTTGGCAAAGGATGGTAGGAGGCAGGTAGCACAGACGCCATCTTACCGCTCCTCGTCCCTCGTCAATCACCCTAATCGTAGAACTCATCATGGCCAGTCTACAGAGAACGTCAAGAGCATCATCCAGAGCGATTCGCTCTTTGCTTCATCAGAGTCAGAGGAACCTTGCTACCCATGCTGCCGCATCCTCGTCCAGCAGTAGCAGCAGTAGCAGCTCTGAGCCATCTTCCTCTTCTTCTTCCTCTTCCTCGTGGTCGCCTCGCCTAGCTCCAGGCGTATCTCCAGCGTACGATGAAGCTCTTCACTTCATCTCTTCCCACCAAGCATCTCTCAAGAGGCGCATCACCGAGCTGCAGTCGTCAGCACCAGCCTCACCTGAGACTGCTGCTGTCATCGAGAGTCTGACAGTGGCTAGTCAGATCAACGACCCACAGGTTCGCTGGGCTTTCGAGAATACTGCAGAGGATAATTTGGATCTGAAGAGCCCGGTAGTGCGGCATTTGAGGGAGAGGGCGTGGAGAAAATGCGGCTCGTTGGACAAGCTGGTAAGTAGGGCGATGCCCAACAAGTCCACAATGTGGCACAAAGCTGATATGGTCTCTTATCCGTCACCAGATTGAGCGTCTACGGGATCAGTACGTTCTTCCGGACTCTGTAGCATCTATAGTCCCTACGGTCGATGTGCAGCTCATCCTGGGCTCACCCACCGGGCCTGGTGTATCGGACCACACATCGCAAGGCTCTACGCCTGCGCCCTCGGGTGATGTACTTCCCGGTGTGCTGCTCGACCAACGTCATCTTGTCGAGCAGCCGATCCTTAGGCTGACCAGCTTCAACGGCAAAGAGGGCAAGAAGTACTCGCTCCTCATGGTGGATTTGGACCGACCGGATGAGGAAGGCAAACTGGTGACTCATGCGCATTGGATAGTGTGAGTGGATGGCAGCCTGTACATGCATTCTGATGCTACTTTCCTCTTCTGACCCACTTGTACATTCTCCCTTTCTCAGGACTGACATCAGCCTATCGGCATCTCAGCCTCGGCTGCTCACTCCAGGCTCGCTCCTAGGCGGGCAAGCTGCTCTCCCTTACGTCGCGCCATACCCAGCCAAAGGCTCCGCAAAGCACCGCTACGTCACGCTCCTCGCCGAGCAGACCTCTTCTGCCTCACCTACTGCACCCGTCAAGCGCTCCAACTTTGAGCTGCGCGATTACCTCTCAGCAAACGGCCTCGAGCCAGTCGGTATTCACTTCTTCCGGTCAGAGTGGACCGAAGGGTCCAAGGAGAGCATTTCAAAGGTATGGAAGAGCCTGCAGGGAGAAGAGGAGGGCAAAGAGGAGGTGTGGGGAACATTGGGAAGGAGGGAGAGGAAGAAGCGACAGGAAGTGTGGTAAGAGAGCGGGACTCGTGTCGGCTTCTTGACAAGGCAGCAATGACAGTCAGTCTCATACGTGCGAGCTCCCTTCAGGCGACTAGATTTCGGTTTCGAGCTTCCTATTTTTAAACAGTCCAGTACAAGTGTGGAACAGCAGGGCGAAGCAGACAGAAATCGTTAACGGGAACAGGCAGCTATCAACCGGATCCACTATAGGCACAAATTCCCACTCCCTCTACCTACACAACAGTCATACCACACCTCACACGTCTACAGACGAGCAGGGGCGGCGTTGTCGTCGAGGAAGGGCGTGAGGTCGGTGGTAAGGAACTCCGAGGGTGCCTTTGCGCGCACCTGTTCCGAGAGGTACCTCTTTGCCGTGTCCACCCTCTTTGCATCGAGCTTATCGAGCTTCTTTGCCTCTTCATCCAAGAGCTGGTCTACAAATTGAGGAGTAATCTTCTTGCCGTCAGAGGTAGAGGCGCCGTGGTAGCACCATTGCCAGAGCATCAGGCGGGAAATCTCGGCAGTGGCTGCGTCCTCCATGGAGAAGTTGATGGGCACACAACCCACTCCACCCATCCAGTTGGCACAGTAGCCCAGCAGAGCCGAGACGTTGGCGCGAGCACCACCCTCGGTGATCTTACCGGGGACGTTGGCGTTGAGGAGGTCAAGAGCGGTGACGTTGACCTCGTCGCGGCGCTTGAAGTACTGGTTGGGTCCCTTCATGTTGGCATTGAAGATCTCCAGAGCAATGGTGACCAGGGCAGGGTGGGCGACCCAGGTACCATCGTGACCCTTCTGAACCTCGCGCAGCTTGTCGTTGCGCACCTTGTCCATGGCTGCTGCGTTGGCCTTTTCGTCGCCCTTAATTGGGATCTGAGCAGCCATACCACCAATGGCGGCGACGTGTCGGTTGTGGCACGTCTTGATGAGCAGGTCGACGTACGAGTTCATGAAGGGCACAGTCATGGTCACATCGCTACGGTCGGGCAGGACGGCGTTCTTGTTGTATCGCTGACGCTTGATGAAGGAGAAGATATAGTCCCATCGACCACAGTTGAGACCCGAAGAGTGGTCTCGCAGCTCGTACAGGATCTCGTCCATCTCAAAGACAGCAGTGATAGTTTCGATCAGAACGGTACCTCGGATGGTTCCGCGAGGCATCTTGATGTAGTCCTGAGAGAAGTTGAAGACGTCGTTCCACAGACGAGCCTCGATGTGAGACTCCATCTTGGGCAGGTAGAAGTAAGGACCAAAGCCACGGTTCACCAGCTCCTGGGCATTGTTGAAAAAGTAGAGACCAAAGTCGAACAGACTGGCCGACATGGGCTTGCCGTCGACGAAGAAGTGCTCCTCGTTGAGATGCCAGCCTCGTGGTCGGACAATGAGTGTGGCAGTCTGACCCTCGGGCTTGAGCTTGTAGCTCTTGCCGTTGGACTGCTGTGTGAAGTCGATCTTGCGGGTGATGGCGAGGTTCATGTTGACCTGTCCGTCGAGGTTGTTAGCCCAGGTGGGCGAGTTGGAGTCCTCGAAGTCGGCCATGTATGTGTAAGCACCCGAGTTGAGAGCATTGATAACCATCTTCTTGTCGACTGGTCCAGTAATCTCCACCCTTCGGTCACGGAGACCGGGTGCAGGAGGAGCGCACTTCCATGTCTTGTTCTCTCGGATGTGAGCAGTCTCGGGCAGAAAGTCGGGCAGAGCACCTCCGTCGAAGCGAGTCTGCCTCAGCTGCCTGTTTCGCAGATTTTGCTGACGAGTAGCATCGAAGTTGCGGTGGAGAGTAGCGAGGAACTGCACAGCATCGGCTGTGAGGATCTTCTCGTGAGCGGCCTCAATGCGACCTGTGATTCGCAGACAAGGGAGGGGCAAGGTGAGGGAATGTTGAGTAGCTGTAATGCTGAGCTGCACTCATCTTCCGGTCCACTCCGGCATCTGGGGATGCCGCATCGGAGACCCCGGTGATGCGAGCCGGAGAAGGCAAGAGAGTGGGCTACTCACCAGTAATGCGAACGCCCTCGACTCCTGACATGATGAATGATGCGGGTATGGGATGTGAGTATGCAAAGGGATGAGTTGGTTTACCAGATGGTATGGTCAAGTGTGGGAGGAGGTGGGGGAGGGCGAGTGGAGTGTGGGTGATGGTATAAGAGTCTGGCCAGTGGCCGTGTGCCCGTGGGTGGCTGCTGCCCTGCCACCTTTCAGCCTCCACGCTCCGGGTCACACTTTCTTCCCCGCATCACCGGTCGAAGCGGAACGGATTTATCTAAAGCGCACGCCCGGATAGGCACCAAGCACCGCGCGCACTCCCAGCCTCCACCCCGCACACGGCCACCCCACTCACCACTCACACCCAAGCGCCGTGATACCCAGGCACAGCCGTATCCGTCAGCAAGATGACCACAGCGAAACAAGACTCAAGCGAGAAGGCCGTGAGAATTCCCATTAGCCTAGCCCCGGAAATAATGGTAAACGCCGGAAATGATTACAGCAGTCACCGCCACCAGCTGCTCGTCGCAGAAATCTTCTTGTGGTGAAGTGATTGACATCTATAGGACTCGTCGAGACACGCACGGTCAAGACAGAGGTAAGACATCTCAATTGTATAGCAGTGTCAAGTGAGAAAGGTGCCCTTGTGCCTCTTCCTGACTGGTGCCGCCGAAACCCAAGGCGGTACCTGCCACCTGTTGCGTCTACTCACCCGCGCTGAGGAGTCATCCAGCTGGCGCTAGTGCAGACGCCCGCAGAGACCATACACAGACTCGTCCCTACTCTAGCTCCCACAAGCACGACCTCTCCACCACTTTACCAATACATCACTGTCCCCACCAGCCTGCTTGCCCCGACCCGCTCAGAAAGGCGCTGCCACCCACACTCGTTCACCATTCCCTTGCTCTAGTATCACTCACCAGCACCCGCACATGGCTACGCCTCTGCTACCTCCTGCTCCTCAGACCCCACTGAAATCAACGCGGACAAGGAGCCGACTGAGGTCAAATACCTTCTCGCTATCCTCCCCTCCCTCCTACTCAGGTCGAACCTTCTTCGGTAGCTCGCCAGCCTCGGTCAAGACCCATCACCGGGGCGGCTCATCGGCGCTGCTCATACCCGATGGCAGCTTTGCTCCTACTTCACCAACGACCGGAAAGACGAGAGCTGCCTCGCCTTCTTCAGCTCGAGGTCACTCATCCCGCCCGTCCATCGGCACGCCCTTTGCCCCTGCTCCGCGACAGCTCAATGCACCTCGATCTGCTCCTCCCCTTCCACCTCTGATGCCAGTGCCGCTCTGCACACCTCCGCTGCCGTCTCCTTCAGCCACTTCCACAGTCTTTGGGTATCCCTTTCCAGAGCAGCCCAAGCTACCTGCGAGTTCAAGCGCCACCGCCAACAGCGCCACCACTGCCACTCCACCAAGACATCAACGACCTGCACCTCTACGACGACGAAGCAGCAGCTCGGGATCATTTCGCTCTGCTCTAGCCGTAGAGTTCGACAATGCCATCCGAAAGAGGGACGAAGAGTCGGCGAGCTCCTCCTTCAGCCTGCAGAATCGCCAGCTCTGGGCTGATACTCTTTTCCTCAGACTCTGTAGTAGACCCTCCCGACCTACTACAAGCGTGATGGCTCAGACCGGTCCTGCTTCATTTGTTCTTCCTGCTGCTTCTTCAGCGGCACCAGCGGTCATGTCCCCACCTCCTTCAGACCGCAATCCAAAGGAGATGTACCGCAAGCGAGAGGGCAGCTCGAGCCTAGGTCGGTTCAAGAAGCCGAATGCTCTCGGTCATCGAAGCTCAAAGATCGCCTCTGTAGACGTCACTCGCGGCGTCGACGCTAGCGCCAACAGCCTACCGCTGCAAGAAGGCTCTCCGAAGAGCACTCGATTACACCGTCGAAGGCCCTCGATGCCCAATGTGCCTTCGCCGTCCCACGTCAAGCGTGAGTCTTGCGGTGTGACTACGAAGAGTATGCCTGTGCCTAGGCTGCCGGAGTGGGCTTGCGTAGAGCGCGCTGCAAGAAAGAGCGAAGAGACGTCGAGATCATCGAAAGAGGGTATTGCGAATAGTCGAGCTCTTGCGTCCCCTGACAGCCCGTCTGATGCCAAAGCCGATCCCGGATGCCGACCGCTGAGGGCATCCGTCAAACTTGGAGAGCTGAGACTAACACCGCTCTCGAGTGCGCAACCCTCGAGCGTGTCATCAGGCGATTCTTCTATTCCACCCAGTCCTCTGACTCCTGCAAGCATCTCCCCAATGGTCGTCACCGAGCCCACTCTACAGACGAAGCCCGTTGCTCCGTTCGAGCCTTCCCCAAGCACAGTCTCAGACTCTCCTGGGCGTACCAGAGTCGAGCAGCGCGCCTCTCTACCCGAGCGAGGACCTCGACGCTCCCGCGCTCATACCATGGGCAGCCCCTCCCACTCGGAAGAGGTAGCAACGCTGTCGAAGAGTCTCGGAGGGCGATCTGGCCTCCTCCCAGCGCTAATGCCGGTGCTCTTCTCTCCACCCTCAAGAGCCGGCAGGGTAAGATCGACGACTACGACTACGACGCAATCGAAGATGGACGAAGTGCTGCCCTTTGTAGAAGCTACGCAAGAGAGTCTTCTTTTGGACGTCTTGACGGCTGGTAGTGCGTACAAGTCTTTGCCGCCTTCGCCTACATCACCGCTGTCGCCGACTGGGTCTCACAAGGATGCAGGAGACGAAGTCACAGTGGAGAAACGAATCAATAGCGCAAGATTCGGAAGTGATGCAAAGCAAGGCGGGAGCGCCTATGCTGAAGCGCCTCATCATGCCTCGTACATCGCGCAAGATCAATCAGGACCGTCCAAGTCTCACAAGTTCAAATCGGCTTCGCTCTCCTGCAAGAGAAGCTCGCAAGCCCCCTCGCCCGCACCACTAGGCAAAGCTCCTCCTCCTCCTCCTCCTCCTCCCCGCTACCGAGCATCTACAGGCAAGCGCTCCATCTCTTCTCGCGAGGGAGATACCTCTTCTGAAGAACATGGAGGAGGAGAGGATCCGATGAGGAAGACGCCACGTCGCTTCGGAGACTCGCCTAGGAGGGAGTAGCATGGACAGTGGGCGGGAGAAGAGAGATAGATGGGAGAGAGACGGCAGTTCGACTTGCTCTAGGAGCGTGTGAATGACTGGTACTGGCAGTGGTCGAGATGCTGCTACTGCTGCCAGCTCCGAGGCTCTCCATGCACCTAGCTAGCTAGGGAGCGCTGCTCCTTCTACGTCTCCAAGCATCAACATCCCATTTCCTTCCTTTGTGATCACTTTCATACTCATGTTGAATGCATTTCATTGCAAAAAAAAAGTGTGTTTCAGGTGTAAGGCTCTACACGGGAGTCAGTAGTGGTAGTCGGAGCGAAAGTACATGTTTGTTTGTTTCTTTGTCACTGGAATTTTGTTGAGAAAGGGCAGAAGAGGAGCACGGAGCGATTGACTTGGGAATCGGGGCAGAGAGTCAGGGGGCAAAGGGAGGGGAGGGGGAATTAAGAAAGTCATGTTGAAATGGTGAAGGATGGGATTCGGAAGGAGGTAACGAGTCTTGAGAAAGGCTAAGGGAGGCAGATGCGAGCAGGGCATCGACAATGCTCTATGAGAGACCAACGACGTTTCCATCCTCATCAATGTCATGCTCGAAGAATCCGGGACGTGTTCCCAGTCCTGGCATCGTCGAGATGGTCCCCACTTGCGGGTAGATGAATCCTGCACCAGCGCTCAGCCGTGCCTCTCGAATGGGCACGGTGAAGCCCGTGGGTGCACCCTTGAGTGCCGGGTCATGGCTGAGGGACAGGGGAGTCTTGGCCATGCAGATGGGCAGGTGACCAAAGCCCTGGCGAGTGTACGTCTCGAGTTGCTTCTGCGCTGCGGGCTCGAAGGAAACATCGGCAGCGCCGTACATCTCCTTGGCAATGATGTTGATCTTCTCCACCAGGGGGAGGTTGACGTCGTAGAGGAACTTGAAGTTCGACTCAGAGCCCTCTAGCTGACGGATCACAGCCTGGGCCAGGTCAGTGGCACCGGCTCCTCCAAGGGCCCAGTGGTTGGCAGGGACAGCCTCGTCGGCTCCATACTCTAGCGCAATCTTGCGCACCAACTCCATCTCCGCATCTGTGTCGGTGGTGAATTTGTTGATGGCTACGATGACCTTCAGGCCGAACTTCTTGGCATTGCTGATGTGCTTGACCAGATTCGATCTGGCTCCGGCTTCGAGAATCTCAAGGTTCTCCTGCGAATACGTCTCGTGAAGAGGCTTGCCCGGGGTGACTTCAGGTCCACCTCCGTGAGTCTTCAGCGCTCGCACAGTGGCGACCAGGACCACGGCGTCGGGCTTGAGACCACTCTCGCGGCACTTGATGTTGCAGAACTTCTCCATACCAATGTCGGCACCGAATCCAGCTTCGGTGATGACGTACCCTACTTGCTCGTCTGATTCGCCCTCCTCGAGACCAGCCAGCTTCAGAGCAATCCGGTCTGCCAGAATGGAAGAGTTGCCGTGGGCAATGTTGGCGAAAGGACCAGCGTGGACAAAGACGGGGGTGCCTTCGATAGTCTGCATTAAGTTGGGCTTGATAGCATCCTTCATCAGGACAGCCAGCGCTCCACCAACGCCGAGATCATCGGCAGTGACGGGGTCGCCGGCCCTGCTGGTTCCAACGACCATCCTTCCAAGTCGCTCCCTCATGTCCTTGAGGTCCTTGGCCAAGGCCAGGACAGCCATGCACTCCGATGCAACGGCGATGTCAAACGCAGTCTTCCTGCTGAGACCCTTCTCGGTAGGGGCCTGGCCGATGGTGATCTCTCGCAGGTATCGATCATTGGTGTCTGTCACACGATTCCAAGTGACTGTCTCAGGGTCGATGTCCAGACGTGCGAACTTGGACTTCTCCTCGTCGGTGAGGTCGTCAGGGTTCGTCTTGTCGATGCCCAGCTTCTTGAGACGTCGGAACATGACGGGGGCAAAGGTACGGACCCCCTTCTTCTTGGGGCACAGGCGGTCGAACAGAGGCCCATCCTTCTGCGTAGCTTCGTGGAACATGCGGGCATCTAGAGCAGCAGCGAGCAAGTTGTTGGCAGCCTGCACGGCGTGGTTGTCACCAGTCAAGTGCAAGTTGAACTCCTCCATCGGGATGACTTGAGAGTAACCGCCTCCTGCAGCTCCTCCCTTGATACCGAAAGTGGGTCCTTGCGAAGGCTGACGCACGTTAGCAAAGCAGGGCTTGTTCAGATGTGCGCCCAGGGCCTGAGCGAGACCAATCGTAGTGGTAGACTTGCCCTCTCCCAGAGGAGTAGGCGTGATACCAGCAACGACGATATACTTTCCGTCCCGTCGGTGAGCCAGACGCTTGAGCACGTCAAGCGAGACCTTAGCCTTGACATCTCCGTACGGCTCCAGCTCAGAGGGTACCAGACCGATCTCCTTAGCAAGCAGTGAGATTGGCTTGGGCTTCTGGCTTCGAGCGACGATAATGTCGGCAGGGACCTTCTCCAGAGGCTTAATGGGGTTGATGGAGGCGACTCCCCTGCCCTTTCCGCCTTTGCGAGCAGCCAATGCGCTCTCAGCTCCGCGCAGAACATTCTCCATGAGCATAGCGACCGTCATTGGTCCCACACCACCGGGAACAGGGGTGATAGCAGATGCCACCTTGGAGGCGGACTCGGGGTCGACGTCTCCCACCAGTCGCTGACCGGACTTCTTCGACGCGTCAGCGATGTAGTTGGTGCCGACGTCGATGACGATGACGCCAGGCTTAAGCCACTCTCCCTTGACAAAGTGAGCTTTGCCCATTGCAGCCACGACAATGTCAGCGTCCTTGAGATGAGAGGGCAGATCTTTGGTGCGAGAGTGGACCTGAGTGACAGTGCAGTTCTTGGATCGCAGCAGGGACATGACGGGATTTCCGACGATGTCGCTACGTCCGATGACAGTTGCGCGGAGGCCAGAGAGGTCATTTAGACCCGCCTCCTCAAGAAGCCTGATACAGCCGGCAGGGGTGCAGGGGAAGAACAGGGGGTTGCAGGCCTTGGAAGAGAGGTGGCCAATGTTGAGGGCGTGGAAGCCGTCGACGTCCTTTGCTGGGCTGACGGCCTCTGTTACCCTTCGTTCGGCATCATTGTCGATGTGGTCGCCGAGAGGGAGCTGGACCAAGACACCGTCCACAGCTGGGTCCTCGTTGAGGTCCGAGACCCTCTTGACGATGTCAATCTCTGAGGCGCCAGCTGGGAGATGAGTGTGGGTAAACTTCATACCACACTCCTCGGCAGCCAATCGCTTCATGCGAATGTAGGTAGACGAGGCAGAGTCTTCGCCAACCTGTACGATGACCAGGTGAGGCTGGAAGGAAGGGTTCGTCTTCTTGAGTTCGGCGATGCGGTCTGCCACAGAAGCGCGAACAGACCTGGGATGAGTACGGGGAGAGGGACGAGCTCGCTGTCAGCGGAGGAGACCATAGGCGCAGTTGCCAAGCCAACTCACTTTGCCAATGCGGTACCATCGATGATCTTGGCCTGACCCGGGGCGGCCTGCTTCCCGGGGAGACTGTCAGCGGCAGCAGCAGCGGACATTCTAGATGAAGTGGATAGATATCGAGGAATAGGGTGGAAGGGAGCACGGTGTAGCGGCTGGAGCCTTTGCAGAGGACTGTGGGCTGTGGTGGGTGTTGCGATTGCTGAGGAGAGTAGGCGCAAGGATAGACGACTGGCTCTGTTGCGAAGATGGAAATGTGCGACTGTATTGGTCGTGGGCTTCAGTGGCATCGCCAAGCGACACAGCCAAAGGTGATGAGGAGGACGAGGTGGAGGGAGAGGGGTGAGACGATACTGTCACAGGTTCGTGGTATAGAAGCAGCGGCAATAGCAGCAGCAGACGACGACGACGACGTTGGCGTGAGAAGGAGCGGAGGAAGCAAGCGGCGGGCGGCTCGTGCTCCTCACACGCCGGGGCAAAAGGCAAAGGCACACTTCAATCTCCGCCTCGCCTCTCTCTGCCTGGGAGGAAGAAGTCGGGAAGCACCAGGCGGGGCGAGGCGCAGGCAGGACCCACCCACGCTGGGCATCTCATACCAACCACCATCGACTTGCTGCTGATCGACGCCGCCTTGCCTTCCGAGTCCTCACCCTACTCCCCCCTTCCTCCCACCAGGTGACATGGCCTCGTCTTCGGCTCACTCCGTCGTACGCGCAGCCATCCAGCGGCGCCTACTCACCACCGCCCAGCAGCAACAGCGTCACACCCTCCTCCGCTCTCCGCCTTCCCTCCTCGTACGACATGCCACGACTTCCAGCACAGGCGGAATGCCGCAACCCACACCGGTACAGAACGTTCCTTCGGCCAGTCCACTGAGCGCGGCTCCCCAAGCAGCTCTGCCCAAGAGCTCACCCGTAGTCCCTGCTGTCTCGCCTCCCACACCGCAAGTAGTACCCTCACCACATCGTCCCAAGCCCTCTGGCTCCGGCTTCTTCGGCAAGGTGGTCTCCTATTCCCTCTTCCTCTTTGGCGGCACATTCCTCGTCACCTACTACCTCGACTCCCGGTCTGCCATCCACAGATGGGTCGCCATGCCCTTCTTGCACTCCTTTGTCGATGCAGAGGAGGGACAGAAGCTGGCAATTCAGCTCCTCAAGAGCGGACTTGCGCCCAAGGACTACACCGGAGATGAAGATTCGCTAGCAACAGAGGTCAGCAGTCGGGTCCCTCTACCCAGATTGAGAGCTCGTCCACCCTGCTGACGTGTCTCTCATTGTCTGCCCTCCCCTACACAGCTCTTTGGACAGCCTCTGGTCAACCCCATCGGTCTCGCAGCAGGATTTGACAAGCAAGCAGAGGCAATTGATGGACTCTTTGATCTGGGCTTCGGAATCGTCGAGGTCGGAAGCGTTACCCCCGAGCCACAGGTGAGTCGTCGAAGAGGACAAAGTGGGGGTTGCGATTGCGATACTGACCTCGGTTACCTCGCGGTCTGCCCTCACCCAGCCTGGAAATCCCAAGCCTCGCTACTTCCGCCTGCCCTCTCAATCAGCTAGCATCAACCGATACGGCTTCAACTCTGATGGACACAAGGTCGTCCTTGGCCGACTGCTCGCACGAGTGAGGGACCACCTGATCCTTCACCCCGAGCTCATCCCGGCCGAGTTCCTCCCAGACCTTCGTAGCCCAGATGTTGACCCACGACTGACGAGACATGAGGCCGTTCACCAGGCCGCAACAAAGGTAGCGCAGGATCCTGCCCTAGTCGCTCGCCTCCTGGACCACATCGAATTGCCCCGTTCACTGCGACCAGGACACATGCTGTCAATCAACCTGGGCAAGAACAAGACGTCTGCTGAGTCTGACGCCTCCGACTTCGTGAAGGGGGTGGAACGCTTCGGCCCGCTGGCCGACATGCTCGTCATCAACGTCTCCTCGCCTAACACGCCTGGTCTGAGGGATCTACAGAAGCGAGACGCACTCAAGAGGTTGCTCAAGGAGGTGGTGAAAGCCAGAAATGAGCTGCCACATCGTCAGACCAAGGACGGAGCAAAGGGCAAACAAGTGCCACTGGTCGTCAAGATCTCCCCCGATCTCTCCGAGGGCGAGCTGGACTCAGTGGCCTCCACCGTCCTCTCGTCGGGTATCGATGGAGTGATCATCTCCAACACTACCGTTCAGCGGCCCGCCTCGCTAGCCGCTACCCTGCCGCAAGGAGAGCTGGCTACTCTTCAGGAGACTGGTGGTCTCTCGGGTCCTCCTTTGAGGCCAATTGCACGCAAGGCGCTGCAGAGGATCGCAGGAAAGCTGAGGAGCGGCGGAGTGGAGGTAATTGCGGCTGGTGGAATCTCGACGCCTGAGGATGTGCTGCAAGCGAGCCGGGATGGAGCCAGCGCTATTCAAGTCTACACCGCCTTTGGATGGCAGGGCGTAGGCATGATCTCGAGGTGGAAGGAGGAGTTGAGGTCGCTTCTGGCATCGCCATCCAGCCCGACGTCCTTCTTGGATGGAGCAAAGGGCGTTGAGAAGGACGGAGGTAAGAGCACGACCTGGAAGCTGCTAGCGAGGGATGTCAAGACTTCACTGGCTGCTGCCGAGGAGGAGAGGAAAAAGGCCGACGCACGTGCCTTCAGTCAGAGTGGAAGCGAAGTCAAGAAGGAGCTGGAGCAGCTCAAGCAGTCCCTGGGCGGCAGTCGCAGCGAGAGCAGTGAGAAGGCCGCTCCTTCTTCTGCCCCTGTCACCGGTGCTGGCGTTGGACTCGGTGACGTCTGGTTCCCAGATGAGAAGGACGAGAGTTACAATTCGCTGTTGAGCTCAACGCGCAAAGCGCTAGGCCTCGATGAGCCTTCCCGCGCTGCTTCATCATCGTCTTCATCGTCCTCGCCGAAGTCCGACGATACTCTTTCGGAGCGAATCTCAAGCATCAGGCAACAATCTTCTCAAATCAACCCCCTCGACGCCACTCCCGCACCCCCCGTATCCGTCCTCCAAGGTTCCGAGGGCACTTCAAATCCCACAGAGACGCGCGGCAGGCAAGAGGAGAAGAGCGTCGTCTTTGTCAATGAGGGCGGGAAGCCACTGCAGGTCACTGTCCAGCCTATCAAAGGAGCTGCTCCTGGCAGCTCGAAGTCAACTGGAGAAAAGGCGAAGGGGGCAGTGGAGAACAAGGTCGAAGAGTGGAAGCAGTGGGCTGGTGTGGATAAGGGGAGGAGAGTCTGAGAGCCAGGACGGAAGAATCTCTGTCCGGCAAAAGGGAGGAGAGCATAGAATAGCAAAAGCTGGCATACACGTATAACATTGGGCAGACGCGACTTCGAAGTGTCCTCGATCTGTTCAACGTCTGCCCAGCTGCTCGAAGGTCGTCTTGAGTCTAGCGAGCGTGATAGTAATAGCTTCCTACGACAGGGAAAAGGGGCAGAGCGACTTTCACGATCAGCTTCTTCTTCTTTCTTCGCTCGCTCGGCAGCTTCCGTGGAAGTCAGTCCAGTCAATAGCTCTACTCACCTCAGTGCGAACTGTCCGACTACCCTGACCCTCAACCGCATCCACCCAGTAATCACACAGCTCTCTTGCGTCCTCCAATCCCAGAGGAATGCCCTCGTCGCGCTCGATTGCCACCTCCAAGCCCGAGAGACCGCCAAAGAGGAGTAGGGCGTGTGTGAAACCCTCAGCTGGTAAAGGGTTGACTTCGCTCTCACTGGCGCCGAGACCGGTACTGGACGGTTTGGAAGAAGGGACAGAGCTGCCCGTCTGTGTTGCGTAGAGGAGATCAGTGAGCGAGTCGCCCCGCTCGGCGGTACCGATTACCAGGTCGTACTCTGCTGGTTGATCTGAGTCCGCAGAGGCAGAGGGAGAGGAGAAGGGGCAGGAAGTGAAGACTTGTGAGAGAGAGGAGGCTAGACGAACAGAGTAGCCCCAATAGAGGCCGGAGTTTTGCACTGGGGTACGCGGGGAGACAAGAGTGCCTAGGGGAAAGGGGAAAGGGTGAGGTGGATCAGAATGCGATGCCGGGGTCTTTGGATGTACCCTCGTGTACTCACCCAACCCTCTCCCGCTCTTGGGCATCTCCACCGTCACCCGCGCACCACTAGGCGGTAGTACCGCCTTTGCACCGCCGGCAACCCGACACTGCATCGCCTCCCTCGAGCCAACATTGACCCACACGGTATTCCCGCTGTCATTGACTCTGTGAGAAGTATAGTGAGGCTCCTCGACGACGATTCCCTCTCTGTAAGGAGACTCTTCTTCGAAGCGTAAGTGGTGCGGGCAGTCCAGAGGTGGGAGTAGACCGGCAAGACGCAGATTAGGGTGCATGGGAAAGAGCTGCTTGCGGAGGTACTGGGGCGTCTCGAGGTACTGGAGGATCATTGCGGTGAAGGAGTCTGGGTCGAATACCTCCCGATCGCCTCCCCCTCCTCCGCTATAAGATCCTTGTGCTTCGTACAATGGCCCAGATTGTTGGTCGAGGCCTTCATTGAAGACGATGATCTCATCGACGTTGAACACGGCGCATATCCGAGCAATGGACCCTACCAGCCGGGTCTTGAGCTCCATCGTTTGCGCATTCAACACGATGCTTGACGGGAGAGCCACAGAGAGTGTGTACTTGCGCGGTCCATAGATGGACGGTCTAGGTAGGACTGAGGGCTTGTGAGGGTTGGACGAGAGGATGGCGGGGGCTACGGGGGCAGGAATTGCGGGAGTCTTGTTCGGTTTGAGGGAGGACGAGCCTACTGATACTTGCTGTGGTACCGGTTCAGGCTTCGACGCTGGAGCAGATGGGCCTGCTTCTGCCTCGTCTCCTTGCTTCGCTACCTGCTCCTGCTCGCCGTCGCTCCCATCTGCCGCATGGCCGTCGGCCTTGGCCTTTGACTTTCTCGCCCGCTGCACAGGAAGGTGGATGGTGAGCCCGCTATTGCCGCCTGGGCGCTTGGCACGACGCCCCTACTCACCTTTCTCGGTCGTTTCCTCGATCCTGAGCTAGACTCCCCTGTTACTGTAGCTGGCTCTGGCATCGTCACTGAGTCACTTGTGCCTTGAGCTGACTATAGTACAATGCAAGTAGGACTGAGGAGCCAGAATTTTGAGAATCGGAAGATGTCAATCCTGCGAGATTCTCTTTCCGCATCCTCGTCTCTCCACTCCGCCAATCCCACCCACCATCCCATTCTACCACAGCAGCCCAATCACGACTCTTCTGCTTGGACCCGACTTCGCCGTCAATCTGTCGGTCTCACCCGTCAATCTCTTTCCCAATGGCTCCCTCAACACAATCCGAAATCATCCAAGAGTGGGCAGATTACATTCCCACGCCTGGCGTACCCTCCCCTGCAGGCCCTTACACTTTTGAGAGGGGAAGGATGGAAAAGGCAATCAGAAAGGTCTGCATTGAGATGCCTGAGGAGGCTGCTCAGAACAGGAAGAAGAATGCGAGCGCTGCTGGAAGTGCGGGAGGGGTTAAAAAGGTCAAGAAGGAGGATGTGGACTTTTTGGTAAGTGCGAGGACGTGGGCGAGCGCTGCTGAGAGCATCGGACGGAGGTGACTGATTGCAATGTCGATTGATTTGATCTGCTTTCTTCATCCGGTAGTACAAGGAGCTGCTTCTCTCGCGGACACAGGCTGAAAGCGCTCTGCAAGAAGCCAATGGTGACCTGAGTGCAGCCATCAAGAAGATTGTGGTGTCGTAGAAACCCGTCTCAAGACCAGTTCATTTCGTTAACTGTCGAGCAGACACAGGGGCATCAAGAGAGGAAGCGACAGAAGGAGAAAGACTATGGAGATAGTTGTACAACAGCTCAGTATTCCATCTAGACAATCTTGAGGCCTTGTTATATTACATATGAATCGAGTGACAGGTATGATGTAGCTTCGAGAGCTTGGGTGCCCGCCTTGCCCGCTCTTTCATTGCCCTTGGCAATTCCTCCCTTTGCATGGCTAAGCAGTCCCTTGCGTCCCTCTCGCCCAAAAGTGCGTCTTGCCGTCGTTGCCAATGAGGAAGAGGACAGCTTTGCCATTGCCAGTGGCCGGTGTGAGAACGTCACCCTCAGCGCCCTCCAGAGGATGCACGGCAATCTCGCCGGTACAGTCACGCGCTCGACCCGAGGAGAGCTCTTTGACCTCGATCCAGAGGGACGAGGAGCGAAATAAGCGGGCAAAGAGCTGGGTGGAGAGGGAGTCGGCCCGCGAGTGCTGCAGTGTAATGAGCGAGGCAGAATGCTGCGACGAAGATTGCAGAGGAATTCATCAGCTGTGTTACGCCTACGCAATCCTCTGGTCTACATATACTCACGTTCGAACAGAGAGTTCTAAGAGCGACCGCCCAGCGACCAGCGGATCTGGCAGCAGCATTTACTTCGTGCATAGAGGGAAGTGAGGGAAGCGTCCAAGCGAGGGAGGAGATATCATCCACGATGACGACTGCCTTAGGCGAGCTCGATGCCGCGTGAGCTCCGTTCGCTACAGTAGATACTCGAGGCGGCGCTAGCTGAGTCACACGTTCAAGCTGCTGCTTCAGGGTTGAGTATAGACGTTTCAAGGGGCTGTCCCCACTGAATTCCTCATCTTCTTGACACACCACCTCTGTGGCATCGATGTATGTAAACAGGCCCTTTGACATCATCATTTGCAGATTGAGACCCACTTTCCTACATATCGAGGACCAGTGTGGTAGACCCTGACCATCGCAGCCCAGCCATATCACTGGCGTTGGAGCAGCTGTGGACTCAAGAAGCGCAGAGCGAGCAAAGTGAACTAAGAGGACAGCAGCCGGACAGGCGAGGGTATCGGTGACCAGGACTTGAGTGCCCGTTGGCGGCAAGAGAGGAGCGCTCGATGAAGACGGAAATGACAGCAGAGAGGTGAGAGGGGTAGGAGCCATTGCTAGATCAGGGACGAGCTCCTGTGAGAAGCACCATGCGGGTAGGACCCAGGCGAGAAGTCGTAGTACACTTCTCTCACTCTCTTTCCGCTCTTTCCGTTCCGATGTGCGCGCATTCTACTGTCTCTGGGCGGAGTCAGGCTGGTCGGAGCATGTGCCCCTCCTTGACCACCTCGACGACCCGAGTGAGTAGTAGCCCTACCGTACATTCGCCTTCTCCATCGATCTTTCTCGCAAGCCTCCTTGGCTAGTACGATTGCGAATCGCCTCCTCTGTACCCCCTTCCTCCTTCATCGACATCTGCAAGGGCGCCCCTGATCTACGCGGTGCGGCGTCCTGACGTAGCATACGCGCTTCCCCGTGCCCAGGCGGGCCTAAGCCCAAGCTCTAAGCTGACAGCTCTGCCTTGCTCGAGAGCGTTGCTGGATCACTTCACTGGGAAGCACGATGTCCAAGAGCAAACCCTTGGCCAATGCCGCTAGTTCATCAACCTTGACTACCGATGGCGAGGGAGAAGGGGACCACTCGGTGAGTATCTCGCGGAAGCCATGTCAGCTCATCTACCTGGCCCATCCCCTCGCGTCGCGAGCTACCCTGTTCCGTCTCGGCAGCCCCGGAATGGGCGCAGACGGTGACGATGACCCACAAGCTTGATGGGATAGCATACATGACATGCTTGACGCTGTACTTACGCCACTGTTCACCACCGTACTCCCCATCCAGCAGGTCTTTGCTTCCTCGTCGGCCTCTTCCAGTGTTGCACGACCTGCAAAGCGGCCAAAGAGGGACCATACGCACGGCCCCTCTTCGTCCACTTCCTTCGCGTCGTCTCCCGTCCCTCTCAGCACACCTCAGCCTTCTAGACCTTCCAAGACAAAGACTCCTAAGCAGAATCGTAGCATCATCAAAAAAGCAGCGCCTCCTAGTAATCAATGCGCCTTTTGTGGTTATCAGAAGAACAAGGCTGGCCAAGATGAGCTACTAATAAGCTGTCATGTCTGTGGGAGCAGTGGTGAGTTGATTCGGCCAGTTTGAGCAGACGAGCGATCGTCGCTGATCACGACCGTTCCTTTGTCTCCTTGCGTCACCGACATTTAGGTCATCCCACTTGTATGCGATGGGGCAGAAACCCTCGCAAGATTGCCGTGGCTCAGAACTACCCTTGGTCGTGCCTAGAATGCAAAGAGTGCGAAATTTGTGGGACAAAGGGCGACGATGTGAGTAGAGGCCGGAGAGCATCGAAGCCAGAATCGAGTCGTCAACTGATTTGCCCCCGGTCTCACCAGGATGCTATTATGTTCTGCGATCGTTGCGACCGAGGGTGGCATCTGTACTGCCTCTCGCCGCCTCTGAAAGAGCCTCCGAAGGGACAGTGGTACTGTCCGACGTGCCAGGAACTTGGCGAGCACGTCAAGAAGGTCTCCCATCGCCCCAAACCTCTACCCAACGGTCTTGTAGGCGCTCGTTCTTCGTCGTTCTCATCTCCCTTGGCCTCGAGCTACGGAGTCTGGGAGAGAGGCGCTAGAGCAGTCAGTCCTAATACCCCAGAGAAGTATCCTGGTCGGATGGAGGCGAGTACGCCGCTACCTCCCGAGGAAGATGATGGGGGCCCACAGACCATCGGAGAGGCCAGGAAGGGCATCAGGGCCAGGAAGCCAACGAACAAGAATAAGAGCTACGAGGTGAGTAAAGAGGCAGGCTGAGGCCCACTTTGGCCCGTATTCTGACAGTCCAAGATCGCCTGCCCTCACAGATCGCAAGCCCATCGGATGACCAGTCCCCGGCATCTTCAAGTTCAGCTAGGAAAGGAAAGGAGAAAGCTTTAGAGCGATCGACGCCCCTGCTGAAGCTCAAGCTAGGTACTCTCAATGGTACGCCAGACCATTCCAGGCGCGTTTCGTCATCCTCGGCTTCTCAGCTACCAGCCAGGAAGCGGGCAGCTGCAGGATCGATGGCTATCTCGAATTTCTACGACGACGATTCTGACTCGGAGCCGTGGGATCGGCCGGATCAAGAAGAGGGGCCAGACGAGGACGATCAGGAGATTGTGTCTGCACAAAGAAAGCATCGTGGCAAGCGAGTTCAAGTCAGCGAGACGCCCGAGGAGAACGACGCTGACTCAACGGCAGACGAGGAAGCAGAAGAGACCGACGTCGATCGCTTCGGCGGCATTCTTACTGCGACGGAAGCTGACACAGGCCGAACAAGGCCTCAAGCAGATGACAAGGCGAGGTTCGAGAGGAGCAAATTGAGTGCTGAGACGAAGTTGGGCAGCGCTGTAGCGGCACTTCCAGGAACATCGCGAGGTCGACCGATTAAGCGGCCCGGAGAAAATTCTGCATCGTCTGGCTTGGCTCATCAGTCCTCTGCAGCTGGGTACTTCACCGGATCGTCTTGGGCAGGGACCGGCGCGGCAGACGGAGCGAGTCGGACACCTCGCATGGTTCCGGCCAGACGTCCTCTTCATGAGCAAGTCGAAGGCGGTACCTCCTCCAATCTAGGAGAGACAGGAGGCTCGGCTACTCCGATGGGCTCGTCTCAAATGTCCGTGCCATCGACGCCCGTTGCAGAAGACCTTGCCGTAGCAGCTTCGGCAGCCGAGACCGGAACTGCAACTCCTATCCGCATGATCCGCTTCGCGACTTTCGACCTCGATGTCTGGTATCAAGCTCCATACCCCGAAGAATACTCCCTTGTTCCAGACGGGAGGCTGTGGCTCTGCGAATACTGCTTGAAGTACATGAAGAGTAGGTTCATGGCGACTCGACACCGGATCAAGTGTAAGGTCCGACATCCGCCAGGTGATGAGATCTATCGAGATGGCAATATCAGTATCTTCGAGGTCGACGGAAGGAAGAGCAAGGTGAGCAGCAGAAGGCGAGTGAGCATGCGTATTGGGCTTTACTGACCGAGACGTAACGGTGACTTTCCCGTAGATCTATTGTCAGAACCTTTGCCTCCTCGCCAAAATGTTTCTTGATCACAAGACCCTCTACTACGATGTTGAACCTTTCCTCTTCTACATCGTGGCTGAAATGGACGATCTGGGTGCTCACTTCGTGGGCTACTTTTCCAAAGAGAAAAGGAGCCACATGGGCTACAATCTGTCTTGCATCATGACCCTGCCCATTCGCCAACGAAGGGGCTGGGGCAACTTCATCATCGACTTCAGCTACCTCCTGTCGAAGAAAGAGGGAACACTAGGCTCGCCCGAAAAGCCTCTGTCCGATCTCGGTCTTCTGTCATACCGTAATTACTGGACTCTGGCAGTGTTCCAGTACCTCCGCACCGCTCCGGACACTGTGACCATCGAAGACATCTGTGCTGGCACGGCGATGACTCCGGAAGATATTCACTATGTTCTCAAAGAGCAGGATATGATCATTGTCTACGATGGAGCATCTGGGTCACGGGCTCCCGCGACGCTCAAGTACAAGTCGCGAGACGGCCAGGTCAATAGCGACACAACGTCTCCGCCCTTGAGCTCGGCCTCTGCCACAGCGACACAACGTCAGGGCAGACGGGGCAGACCACGAGGTGGTGGGTCTAATAGTAGGGCTGCCGCGGCTCGCAAGGGCAAGGAGAACGCCAATGCTGTTCCGACTGATTATCAGATCCACTTCGATCGAGACTACATCGTGGCGCACCTGAAGAACTATGATTCAAAGGGCTACGTCAAGGTCAAGCCGGAAAAGCTTCGCTGGACCCCCTTCCTCATGACTCGAGGTGGCGCTGCTGCTGCTTTGAGCCTCTCGATGTCAGCAACAGCTCCGTCGGCAGACGCCAATGCTCAAGTAGCCTTCCAATCAGCGGGATCTCCGACCTTTGTCGAGGCGACTGACAAAGCGATTGCCGCGGCCGCTCCGATGTCCCCGACCACGAACGGAGAAGTTGCCAATGCAGCTACTGCCAGTCCCACAGAAGCCGGCCTTGCGAGATCGGCGAAAGACGCAAAAGCAGCAGCAAGGAGGCTTGATCAGGCTGTCGAGGTTACAGAAGAGACACTGGGACGCGCCCAGAGTGGTGGCGAGACTCTGGCCAATGGGCATTACCGGGAGGGAGATCCCCCTTCTCAGAATATCTTGCTGCAGGAAGCAGGCCAGCCAGACGTCATCCTCCCCGCCTCGGCCACGAAAGCTGAATCCCCGAGGCGTACACCGGAAGACTACTTGGACAGCGGATACTCGCCTGTACGTCCTACCTCACCTCTAACCTCAGGGCCAACCACGCCTACTAGACGCTCAAATCGACCAATGGTGGCCGCAGGCGTCTCACCAGGCAGGGAGATCACGTCGGACAAGAACTTGAAGCGGATCACGACTCTAGGACGTGGCGAGACAGTAGTCGAGGTGGTCATCGGGGATGGGTCCGATGATGATGCCGATGCCGAGGGAGAAGAGGACGAGGATGCAGAAGGGGAAGGGAACTCTGTGTATGTAGATGATGATGACGACGCTGATGGTGAGGACGACCCGGACGTTGATGGGCAGCTGTGATCGTATATCGTAGAAAAGTCGGAATCTCTTCGCCTTCTCTGTCAATTGTACAAATGTACCCTACCATCCACGCCGCACTTTCCGACGAGTTTCGATTGCAGCGTGAGAACAAAGCATTCATCCGACGTGTCTGCTGTTTGTGCCTGACCTGCGATTGAGCTTGCAAGCCATAGCAAATTTGATTAGGGGTGGCCGAACCCAAGTGGGTCAAGCAGTATATAGGGTAACATGATGATACATACCAGTGGGGATACGACCCTCTCCATCTCCATCTCCATCTCGATCCTCACGATCCTCTACCTCTTCTCTCTCTCCCTCTCCGCCGCTCCTCTTATCCTTCCCTCCGTCATTGGCGATACCCTTGTTCCCAGGGCCATCGCTCCCCCGCCTGACGTCCACCATGGCCTCTCCGTAGTCCCTCCTCGGCCGAGCCCTCCATTGAAGGAGCCCCGCTGCCGACATCACCTGCACCTGTTCCTGGCCCTGCACCTGCAGAAGGAGGACGTCTCTCCCTACTTGATGGACGCGGTCCAGGATCACCAGTCACGTTGAGGACGTGCTGGATAGAGGGGAGACGCAGGCGGTTGGAAGGGTAGTCTTCTTGACTGACAGTGGCACTGGCACTAGCACTGCTGCTACTGGCACTGCTGCTGCTATTGCTGGCGGTAGGTATGGGTGGAGGCCCCATGATGATATCTTGATCGTATGGATCGTGTGACTGTCGCTGCTGCTGGAATTGATGCTGGTACTGATGTTGATGTTGATGTTGATGGGACTGAGGCTGGGGGTATTGCTGTTGAGGCTGATGGTATTGTTGATAGGAAGATTGCTGGGGAAGCTGACTGTGATACCGAGGCTGATGCGGTTGCAGGTGCTGCTGCTGCTGCTGCTGTTGAGGCTGATAGAGTGAAGGTAGAGCTGGAGGTCCCATCGCGGGTAAGCGCATACTGGATGTACGAGGTAAGCTCTGCAAAGGTGGCAACTGTGCTGATAATCGAGAGGGATGATACTGCTCCTCACTTCCACTCAAGCGAAGCGGTGGAAGATAGGTACCAGGCTGCTCCCATGGTCTGATCGGATCTGATCTAGCGGAAGACGCTGGTAGACGAGGTAGGCTTGCTGCTGAACGCAAGACATGAGGGGTAGGCTCCGGAGGAAGAGGGCTAGACCGCCCTGGAGCTGAGGCTCTTGAGATGATACCTGGCCGTGGACTGCTTCTGCTTGAGCTATGCTGAGGGGAGCTACTTCCTGAGATATCGGCGGGAGAGCGATTGAAGGTTCTCAACGACTCGTGTCGATTGAGAGCCTGGATGGAAGACACGAAATGTCAGCATGTGTACGAAGAGCTATATACGACTGTCTGCTCACCTCGATCTCTGCCGTTCGCGGCCTCTCTGTTGGATACGGTTCGAGGGGATGTGCCCTACTCGTGCCGGCCCACTCGGTACTGGAAGGTCCGGGAGACTCTACGCGTCGTTTTGTGCTGGCTGCTGAAGCCTTCTTCTTCGACTTGCTTTGGGACGTTGGGGCCTCTCTGAAAGATGAGAGAAGAGTATTAGCTAGATGTTGAATAGATCTCACTAAGAGGCCATACTCGTACTCACTCCTTCGAGGACTTCGTCAACCTCAGCTTGAGACCTCTACGAACGATGGCTTGCATTAGATCTGAAGATGGGCTGAGTCCAGGATAGCTGCTCTTGTCACCGACTACAACGAAGCGTTCTGTGTAGACGCAGCCTAGGTTGATGAAAGTCATGCCCGATCGGTCAACGAGGTCAAGCCGGATTCGAAAGTCACCTGCTGGGCGAACGCATAGCTCAGAGAAGATGAAGAGACTTTGCTCTGTTGAGTGGGTAGGAGGAATGCAATGTTGACAACAAGTCAGAGGTAGGTTACCAGGCTGATTCGTCCCGACTGTAGAGTTGCGTACCTGTGCGAGAAAATATCGGCGCAATGAAAGCACTCTGGTCGACATCGCCATGGAGAGGACGAAGACCTGCTGTGGTTGTGCCAATGACCCTTTCGGGTGACATGCCATCGACTAACGTAGCTCGCAATGCGAGCTCCAAAATGCCAAATAATGATCTGTTGGAAATGGAAGGATGTTGCGGGAAAGCTTGTTAGCAATGTGGAAGGCTTGTGTGTCGTTCCGTTGGTACTCACGCTCCGGCCTGGGTATGTGCAATGAGCTCGCAAATTATCGGTGGATCGAGGGGAGGGATTCGGGCTGTGGGAGGGGAGACCGCAGGGCATGTAAAGGGGTTGATATGCATCATACGTAAACGACCATGCGCTTTCTGCTCGGTGGTGAGGCTCTCTGCAGACTTACAACTCTTGGCTGACGACCTCTCGTCGCCTAGTGCCAGGCCTACACGGGCGTGTTGTTGAACCTTTAATGTGAATTGATGCTGTGCTTTGTTTTCTCTTTCGCTTTTGAGGAGAGAAGATTGTGCCAGGCTGGGTATTTCATCTAATGTGATGGAGCTCGGGAAAGCTTCTTGACTTGCTATCTCTGAAGCACTGGATGAGGGTATCATGTAGGCAGGCGAGCCACGAGATTGGCTTGAAGAGGTCGCTGATGCGGCCTGTGAAGCAGGTAGCGTCGAGTCCACAAGTATTCGCGGTGGTGTGGTTGTAGAAGACCCGACTGCAATAGGCTTCGCCTTGTCTTGGCTTCGGTCCTGGTGAGGCTCCATTGCTGTTGTCAAGCCCAATTACGCGAGTCCAAGAGGCCTCTCTTACGAGGAGCGCCTGGTCGCCGCGAGAAGGCGGGAGGGAGCGGGGGATACCTTTACAGCTTCCCCCTCGGCGTATAACAGCCGAGTTAGTCCCTGTGAATGTGAAAGCAAGGGTTATTCCACTAGGTCCGCCATCGAAGCGTCTTGCGAGATCGAGTGTAGCAAGGGAAAGATGCAGCGTACAAACTACTAGCCCAGCTAGGCACAAGTATAGCGTGAATCGAGGTAGAGGGGGATGTTTCGCGAGGCACAGGTGCGGCAGAAAGCTTAGACACCGGCTAAATAAGATGGAGAAGGTTCAGGTGCTCTGTGAGGGAGGGGCGAGCAGCGCAACGAAGGAGCAGGGAGAGAGAGAGAGAGCGTGCAAGGGAGTTTGGGACCGAAGATGGGCGAATACAGAGAAGAAGGAGTGGAAAGGATAGAGAGCAAGCGGGGTGACTCAATCCCTATGCCTTTACCCTGTCGGTCCGACAAGAGTCCCAAGACGTCAGGCCACTTCCCTTCCCAAGCTTACGGACCTGTCTAAACCCCTCCCGGGAGATGCAAGCGAACTTCATCCGAGTCTTGTCCGGCTGCAGTCCGATGTATATGCGGCGGCGGAGTGCCCTGAGCGGGACAGATTGCCAGGTTGCAACGCAGACAGTCCTCCAGAGCTGCCGTGCGTCGATAAGTGTGGGAATCAAGACTGAGGGACTGCACTCGAGCTCCGCTAGCCAGGCGTGGGGAGGAGGGAGGGGGGCGTTTACGTCCGAGAGGCACTTCCAGGGGCCCTGGCTGAAGTGGTGGCGACAGATTCGAGGCCACCTAAGTGGAACTTGGGTGTCTAGCAAACGGCGGGCAGCCCACGGCGGCACTGCCCACTCAGCCCAAGGTCCGACAGACCGCATAGCTTGGCTGAGCCCAAGCCGGGAGGTCGAAATCGGGGAGGGGGCATGGGCGGAGGAAGAAGGATTGGGCGGAGGAGGCAGAGTGCTAGGGACGCAACAGGCTGAGATGCAAACATTGGTCGTCTCGACATACCCGCCTACCCCGCGGGACTAGACCTGTCTGAATGGACTGATTATCAGGCTGATACTGTAGAATGGATGCGCCTTCCCCATCTTGCCCCTACGTCACATTTCCTCAGGTGCTCCCGAAGATGCCCTGGCACCTCCTCGCTAGTCATCGTACCTGCTTTGTTGGCGGAGGTAAAAGGCCACGCGACGAGGGAGCCGAGGCAGGGCGTCTGATTCCCGACGCACCATGCTTCTCTTGTCCCGCCCATGCGATGAAGGCCTCAGAACCAGAACCCTGTGTGAAGCGTACGTCGTCTACCTGGATCGTTCTGCAAGCGGAGTGCAATCGGCGGCAAGTCTGAGCCGATACGTGTTCAAGCGCCGCTTAGAATGACTTGGCCGCTCAGGTTTGCCCTTCAGCTCCGTCCGTACGAGAATGGGCCATGCAACGGATGATGATGCTGGGGCGATTACAAAAAGGCCCTGGCTTCCGCCATAAGCTATGCAGTGACGCATCTCGCAACCTCCGAGGGGGGAGGTGCCCGAGATCGATCCGTGACAGGTGGAGTCGTCTTACCACTCTAAGCGAAGGTTGCGGGCTCCTTTCCCACCTTCAAGCCGAGGGCGCTGAAGCTTTCGGCGCTGTCCGTCTCTTAGGGTCTGAGTGATAAGAGTGCTTACGGCCAGACCTTGCTATTGACCCCACGCACCCGGAGACAGGATTAGCAGCCAAAGCTGCATGCTGCAAGCAAGGAGAGGAGGATCAAGACGAAGCAAAGCGTGAGCTTGCTTCTTTACCTCCGCGGAGCGTACATCAATGTGGTCTTCACGTCATTCTTGCTGTCCTCTGGTACCCTGTACCTCCTGGTTCCCGTTGGTTGGAATATCATCCTCCGTCGTTTGCTGCCAAATCACCGCACTCGGCATTTGGACCAATCGCGCTTCGCCGGCTGCTTCGAAATTTTTCCCACGCAGCCACGCTGGGGACACTCGGTTGCCGCACGCCGTGGGCCCAGTCATTCCACGAGGCTTTCAGTCAGCAGGGGGGCTTCCCAGGCAACAAGCGAGCATTGGAGCTCATGGTGCTGTGAAAAGCACACCTCCGTCTGCTCATAGAGTCAATTGAGGTTTGTCCATCGTGCGGGTGATTACAGACGTCGCTCGCCGCCAAGCACCGAGCAGTCCTGCGTCACCACTTCCTCGGAAACTGGGTGTTCCTCTGCGAGGCCTGGACAAAGTCCAAAACACGTGGCGTTTGAGACCTGACCAAAACTTGCTGCGCACCCAGACCGAGGTATGATCTCGTAAGCTCAACAGCGCTCTGGAAAGCTCTGGGAGCAAGGCGAGGCGCACAATGCGGGGTCGGCAGCCCGAGATGGCAGGCATCAAGTCGCGGCGGAGCTGTGCGGAGGTACGGGTCCTCAATTGACGCATGACAGAAGGCTCACGTGGCGAATACAGCCGAATTCATGGGAATGGCAAATGTGCTCCAATAGATGTGCCGGGGGACGAGCGACAAAGCACAACGTATGTCACGGTCGTCAGTACGCCGAAATCCCTCAAAATGGGCCGATCGGAGCCTACTCAATAGCCGCACACTCTGGTCAGGCGATTGCTCAGTCCCGGACAGGGGACGTCATGATGGCTCAAAGCAGCGCAAGATCAGTGCTGGTTGCTCTCTGGCTCTGTTCTGGTAGGGCCGTCAATTGGGATGTCGGCCGTTGAAGACTATGCAAAATAGGGTATATACAGTACATGCAGTGATGTCGGGGACTTCTCAAAACCAAGACTACGGACGAACGACAGGCACTTCCAGATGCGCTTTGCCCTCTCCCGACTTGCCCTCTCTCTTGGGCTGGGAAGTAATCGACGTGGGTAGCGTTGCCAAGACGTCTTTCATTTGCTCTGCATACGTCTTCTGGAATGCCTCCTGGGCTGCCAGGAAAGCCACTTCGTGTCTCTCTTGCACATACGCGCGGTGATCTGCCGAGAGAGAATCGTACACGGCTGAATCAATTGTGATGGAGGGGGTCATCCACACCGAGTCTGGCACCACGCCTGTGGAGCCGTCCTGCGAGGAGCGACTTCGAGCTGACGGACTCTTGCTGACTGGGATGGAGCGGTGTTGGGGGCTTTCACCCCTTGCCGGTAGTAGGCTCGGAAGGCTTGACATTGTCGAAGAGCGAGGCATGCGACCATTGCTCAAAGGACCGCGAGACGATGCACTAGAGCTTGCCGGCGCTTCGTTAGCACCAGCCTTCTCCAGGGGCGTAGCCCAACCAGATGTTGACGGAAGCGTCGGAGTCCTCGGTGCTGAGGATCCGCCTGATTGCTGTGGGACCTCCTCGTCATGCAACCAAGGCCTTCGGGGTGTCTGGATCGCATCCACATCCTCTTGATCGCCGCCAAGTCGAGCGAGAGCGTCAAGCAGAGTACGAGTCGGGATTCCGCCACTGCCGACCGCTCTTTGACCGAACGAGGACAGGGCATTAGCAGCGTCCCAAGCACGACCGCGGACCAGCATACTGTGCCTCGCTGACGAAGGCGCAGGCATATCATTGCCCATGCTACTAGGGCTCTGCTCGAATCTTTCGGAAAAGCGTCTCGTGTTCTTAGCCGGCGGACTCGGCGGCACAGGTCTGGGGATCGCCTCGATGGTCGGTAGAGCTCCTCCATCGAACGACGCCTGCCTGCTCCGGTACGACCGCGCAGAGCCTTTAGTTGGTACCGGTGGCGGTGAAAGAATAGGCTCATCATCGCCCGTTCTACCTGGCTCGGCACTGAAGTAGCTGCCACTCGAGGCGATCCTCGATCTCTGCCCATCTGCTCGTCCTTCGAAGTGCCTCAGCAAAGGCGTAGCCCTTCCCCCTCGCGCCGCGGTTGCTTCCAGAGCAGCAAGCTGTTCCGAAGGTGTGAGGCCTTCGCCGTTTTGCAGCGATGTCGCAAATAGGACCGGACTGGTAGGTCCAGGCCCAGACGGCGATACACCAATATTGCTCATGTCCAACGTATTGCCTACGGATTCGGAGCGAACGCGCGTGTTTCTGAATTTGGCCACAGAGATGGATGAGCTATGAGCGCCGGTCAGGGAATACAGATTGCGGGAAGATGTAGAGGGCGAGAGAGTGGGCGAGCCTGGCGTGCGCCTAAGCGGCATCTCAGCTGGCGTAGTTGGGGCTGAAGGATCTTGCGTTGACGGTGAAGGAGCTCTATGAGTCGCAAGTTCTTCGCTCGGAGATGCTACAGCTAATGCCTGAGATTTGAGTGCAGCCCTATCAGTTTCCAAAGTTGCAGAGCTACCAAGACTGACCTTGCGCATAGAACGTAGAGCAAAAGATTGCTTTGGGTCTGCAGCAGAGGGAGCAGTTGCGATCTCGATTGATTCCTGAGGGCGAACTTGCTCAGAATCTCGGCTGCCACTGCTTGGCGCGGCTTCGCCTACTCCATTGAGCCTTCGCCCAATGGCATTAGCTAAGGACCGCCGTGTGCGACCTACCGGGGGCGGATGTGATACCTTGGCAGAAGCGCTGCTTGTGGAGTTCGTCATATCGCTTGCTTCCGGCTCATCACCAACAGTTACGTCGGTCCGATAGGCATCTGCCGACGATTCTGCCTCTCGTGGGCGACTGTCCGTTCCGACTGCTGGTGCCTGTGCTAGACCTTGCGCCGGCAATGGCAGTGGCAATGCTGTCGTCGTCAGGTCTGGCGATTCGACAATCTCAAAGGGAGAAGAGACTGACCCCCTATCGTCTGCGCTGGCTCTTTGAGCGTCAAAATAGTCGGAATGCGGACGCTCGAGTCGGACGCTATGTACCTCGAAGGAAGACTGGCGAGCTTTTTGGTTCTGGCCTCCCTTGAATGAGCTGAGTATACCGCCAGATCTGCTCCCTCTGGGCCTGCTTCTGTCATTAGACGAGATGGAATCCTTGCTCTGACTACTGCTAGGAGTCATCGCCGCCCCCACCCCTGCCGCTTCGGAAGGGACGCGGATTGAACCATTTCTCGAGCTTTGGGAAGTGCTAGAGGACGATGTGCGCATTCGGCTTCCAATTTGAGCCAAAGAAGGCCTCGAGGGCTTTGGAGTGACGACGTCACCTTGTCCTAGACTAGTGCTTCTCTGACCACGTACGCGTGAGTCTTCCGCCTTTGAGACGTTGCCGGAGGACTTGCTCGTACTGCCCTTGGAGCTGCTGAAGATGGGCGCCATGGCTAGCGAAGCACGCCAATATCAAGCAGGTGGCGAGACCTTCGGGCTGGGCGTGTGAAGTTTATGTACCTCTTCAGAGGCTGCGACGGAGAGATTGTATCATGGGGAATGAAGGATAGTAAGCAATGGGAAGGGATGAGTAGCCGTGGGATCAGCTGAGCCAAGGCGGTGTAACTGTAGAGGCAAGAGATTGAGTGAGCGGCGGCGAAGTGCCAAATTGCTCCACCTGTGACTTTGGGCCAGACTCGAAAGCGGAAAGGGGACTTCTGCGCCCTCGGCTGCATGGAGACGCTTTGCTGTTTCACCATAGACTAAGACTACACATTCACCATCCCTCGTCTGACACAAACCCTTGCGAATGGTATACCTTGAACTCGATCCATCTTGGCGGGCTTCCCGCTAGCATATACCCCGCATGCCTTCACAGATACAAAGCACGAGGGCCGACTCCCCAGACTCCTTTGGCTCTCGTGCAGGCTCCGGTCCACTCAATGGCCTCACATCCTCTTACCCTCTTCCCGACGGGTCCTTCTGCTTCCTTTCCTCCACGTATCGATCACCTATTCCGCTGCCTTCGAGCTCTCCTCCAGAAACTCGTGCTAGAAGCGCCGCTTCGTCAAGTGCTTCGACTGGATATGGCTCATGGCAGCTGAGGGCCGCTCGTATAGTAGGGGCGCATACAGCCTGGTTCGAAGGCAAGTGGGAGGGGTTAGTGCTGAAAGACCTCTCGCTCAAGAACAATTGTACAACCTGGTCTGCTTTTGAAGAAAAGGTCTTGCAGTTCTGGAGGAGCAGTGAGATCAGCTTTGGCGCCTCGAAGCAGCAGACGCCCGAGACCTGCAGCGTCCTCTACGTCATGGTGGGTGTCGATCCCGATTCTTGGATCCGCCTCAAATTGTCCAGCATTGCGGCACAAGACGCTCTTCTGCTGTCGACCTCACTGTGTATGGAGCTATCACGGACGTGTGACTTGCTACGCTCACATCTAGATACCAAGCAGGCGCAACTTGACCACTCGCGGAGTCTAGCTGGAGTCGCTCCTCCGCCCCCGTCACAAGTCAGCTCGTCACTCGTGAACCCAGGTAGAATTAAGAGGAAGCACATCGACGATGGTGGCTTTGAAGATGATGATGATGATGCGGCTGAACTGGAGCCAACGCAGCCAGAGGAACACTCCAAGAATGTAGCCAAAGCTGTGATGATAGCCCAGGCAGGGGCTGAGGAAGAGGACGATGTTCTTTCGCCTATAGCCGCTCGAGAAGGGGCTGCTGCCGCCGCCACCAAGGACGTGACTTCAAACGGTAACGTCGCATCTGCAGTACCAGCCGCAGAAGGGGGAGAGAAGGTTCAAGAGGAAGCCCCTGGCTCGGATGCGGATGACAGTGATGATTCTGAGACACAGGAAGATCTGCTGAGCACAGTCGTCCGTAAGAGGCACAAGACCTGATATCGCATCAAGCGTCACTCCATCCTGTTGTATGATACCCGCATTCCCAACCACTATACCATGAACGTCGCTGTAACGCACGCCAGCTTCCACGACCCCCATTTGACATCTCACTCTTTTGGTCAATTGCAGGCGAAAAGAGAGGCTTCGATGTGAAGCGACATGATCTTGTCGGATTCTGATGCCATGCTCTATCCCTCTAGCTATACTACTTGCTCAGTATCCAACACCCAAGAGGTAATCTGCCAAATTCTCCACCACCTTTGTCGCTTCACCGGGCAGAATGGGCGAGGAGTATTGGCCTACCAGGACTGCTTGGTTGGTCTTGACGAGGACGACGCCGTCGGCCTGTGAGTGAGTGAGTGGAGATAGGGGAAGGTAGATGATAAAGAAGAGAGGCAGAGAGTGGGCAGAGATGGTGAGAGTCAGTAGCTTGCCGGCGTTTGATCGTGGCTGATCGAAGAGAGCCATGGGAAGGTCTCAAGAGGAGCTGCGTTGTGAATCGCAGCCGACCGAGGCATTTGGTCCCTCCCCTTCGGTACATGGCTTGATGCTGTACCCAGCCCTCGCCAGGCCTCACTGCTCTCGGTCGCAGCCCGCAAGCAAAGGATACTCACACCAGCCTTTCCATAGATGCTCCTATCATTTGCCTGCAGACAAAAGTACTTCTTTCCCGCCACGTGCAGTCCTCCACTCTGAAGTGGCAAAGGGTCATCGAATCCCTTTGTGAGTGAGGCCTGCTCCTGAGGTGATACGGTGAATCCGGGAGAAGAAGCCCATACGCCTCCCTTTAGACCGAGGATGGCGGCTTGTGTGATGGACTTTGTGCCCAGGAGCTGGTTGTCGATGTATCCCTGCCAAGACATGTTGGTGGTGGTGGGTGTGGGGTAATGATGAGAGTGAGAGTGTCCGTCTACTGTTGATGAATGACGACGATGCTGCTGTGTATGGACGATGATGGTTAGAAAGGGGGAAGAGAGGAGAGCAACAGTTGCCATCCATGGCCCACGCACGCACACACACGCACGGCCAAGGCCCAGTTGTTCTCTGTGCCTCCACCGCGCTCAGCCCCGGAGACAAGGCAGGCAGAGCTGGGCCTTGGCTCTGGCTGTGATTATCAGCGGAGAGTAGAAGGTCCATCCTTCGCATCCCTCCCTCGACCCAACAATTCTACCATCGTTATCCATACCATCACAACACTACACGGCACTCTCTTACCCTCACACAATTCTCAACCATCATGTCTGCTGACCGAAAGTTCTTTGTGTGAGTGCTTGGCGGGGGGGAGACTCATCTCATTACTCCCTCGTTCTTCCTTCCTGACTCTTTTCCCTCCCTTCCACTTCCTCTTCAGTGGTGGAAATTGGAAGATGAACGGTACCATCGAGTCCGGCAAGAAGCTCGTAGAGACCATCAAGAGCGCCAAGCTCGACTCCAACGTTGGTGAGTAGAGATGTCAGGTAATGCAGCAACCAGCTCCGCTTGTCGATCTCCCAGCATCTTCCTGACATGCTGTGACGCA